CCATCCATCCATCCATCCATCCATCCATCCATCCATCCATCCATCCACGTTTTGTGTCCACATAAGCATATTCTGGACTGTAGGTTGACAGGAGCCTCTTCCGCCATCATGCCAGAGACGTAATTCACCCCGGACAGAAGGAATCTCATCCCATCTTTACTTTTTGCAGATGGCAGGCAGGGCACAGGTGGCATTTAAAAACTAATGGAGACAACACTAGTGGATCCTGTTTGAGTACCTTTTTTTTCAACAAAATGTTTTAATATTGCATCATTACATCTTTCAGCTCTGATGATAAATGAATTGCCATTTAAGTAATTTATTATTTGTTAAGTCCTACATTTCCCGGTCAACATATTTTGTGCATATTCATAAGAAATCCAGAATATTTTTCTTAAACTGGGCACATCTTATATATTTCTGAATACAAATAATGCCAAATGATCATCCTTATGGACATTTAAATGCTTCATGTGTAAAATCCTGCAAACAAACTTCATCCAGTTCCATCAAATGACCACAAGGTGACAGCAGTAGTTCAGAGTTAGGGTGTCTAACTTTATTAACTCCACTCGCCTCAACCACTTGTCCTGATTTTTTTGGTTGTCACTCTTTTCAGAAGCTTTTCATTTCAGGTCCACACAAAGGAATCTCAAATGACAATATATGCAATGCACAAGTATAAATACAATTCAGTCCTCCTCCCATTTATGATGTCTCATTTACTCTAACATCATTGTGGTACAACTGCACACAGCAAGACAAGACAGTGATGTAAAACCAGGTTTATTTGTAACTGTACATATTTTCTTGTAAATATTTATATATTTTCAGTTAAACTTCATGAATTGACCTTCAACCAGCCTTTCAATAGACTTGTGATCTCTCCAGGGATTACCCGTTGTCAGTTGGCATTGGCTCTAGCCCCCCCTGCGACCCCGGTGGGAATAAGCGGTATAGAAAATGGATAGATGGACTTCTAATCAAGCTCCTCTTCAATATACATCCATGACTTGATGCCACATTAGGGCAGCTGTGAAAATGGCACTTTTGTAATTTGTTTTTATCACTTACTTCAATATTTGAGCAAGTCTTTTTCTGTCCTTTTCTTTGTTTGTCTTTTGGAGATAATTTATGTTGAGGTACATAAATCTTGATCAAAACAACCCAATGTCTATAGAGGCACAAAACATGCTATATAAATAAAAACAGATATCCTTAATTTGTCCCACTGTTCCCAACCTTGTGTCATGATAACCTTGGAACAAATCACAGGCATATGGTACAAAGCACACTCTGATTCATACAAAGTCATCTCTTGCTCTTCACATAATTTATATCCTGACCCCAAAACAGTATGAAATCGTAGAACACAATTTACAGAATAATTTTCTCACAGTATCAAAATAGCAGATTTAAAATTGCAAACGTCTACTGCAAACATCACCTTAAAGTTCCACAGCAGCACGGGTGGTGTCACTGTAAAAAGCACTGCTATTTGCTTTGTGAGTGTCGGTGCAAAGGAGCAAACTGCACACAGTTAAAAACTGTGCAGAATAAATACACTTGATATCATATAGTGAAGAAGAGACAATGCAGCCTCTTTCTACTGCTAACCATTAAACATTTGCAAGGGAAATAGAATCATATTAATATCTTACAAATTTGTGCAGTTGTAGACAAATGTTTCAATTAATCTGTTAACAACTATAGTCGGTCTTCTGAGTAGTATCACAAAGGTTCAGTTTAGCTGAATGGACATCACAATTTAGAAGACTGTAGTCTCTCCAAATAAGCTATCGGACAATATAAAGGTGAACAAAAGTAGTAAGCAACAAATTTGGAATTGACTCAATCTATACTAACCTTATGTGGTCTTTTTACTCAGCTTCATAAGAACAAAATGTTTGGGCAAGATACTTTACTTAAAGCAATCAAATCATGTGGGAAAATGTGAGGATAATGTGGAGTTCAATGATTTTTTTTGTGTTTGCTATGAACATGGAAAACAGTAATTGCTCCTTTTATTGTCCTTTAACAAGTATGGTAGATCATGGTAGATCATGATTTAAAATCATATGTGTTTTACTCTCTAATGCATGGATTCATCTTTTCAAGGTGGCATTTTCATTTATCACAGCAAACAAACAGATTTTCAAGGCTTGCCCGTGAAGAAATAAGCAAGATCTTCACAGAGGGTATTTTATGCAAGTGAGTTAGTCCATTAAACATTGAATTATGTCACAGTGGCAGATATATGTTACTGTTCTTGTGTGATTAGTTGCTTTCTGTACATCCAGAATAGAGTAAAGGTCAGTTGTTAAAAATGAGCATTTACTGTTTGTCACAAAATTAAACTATGGTACTGGTATCAAATTGAGCTTTTTTTCTATCATTTCTTCTTTTCATAGTAGAATTTTCTTCTGTACTTCTCTGTCTTCTCACACTTCATCTGACTCAGTTCTCGGCAGCTCCAATTTCTCTTCATAGTCGCAACTGCTCTCCTGCATTCCCCGTGAGAAAGTCCTGCGATGTGTCTGCTGAGCACTGAGATCCAGCAGATCAAAAGAATCGGAGGAGAAGAGGCTATCCTCGCTGACCACACTGGAGGGCCGGCTGTGGTGGCTCTCGGCATCCCCTTTGGCCTGCAGGAGCTGCTGCAGAGCCTCCGGGAGTATTGCCGGGGCAGATGATGGAGCCAGACTGGGGTGGTCAGGAAGATCTAGGCTGCGAGAGAACTTGCCATTGCGTTTGAGAATACCTTTCCGTCTTCTCACTGCCTCATTGTGCATGGTGGGACTTTCTTCTGCTGCTGGGAGACACGTGTGATGTTTGTGGGAGCCTGACTGACATGCATCAACCTCTTTCGCTCCTAATCCAGAATCTCTTCTTTTATTTGTTGAGTTTGAACCTGACTCCCCCACATACAAGTTCTTCAGAATCCCTTTCTTGGGCATCTTGGATGAAGGCTGGCTGAATGTGGAGGGAGGTGTAAGGACAGTGGAGAATGCGTCAACACACGGGTGAGGCAGTGTTTGTGTCCGATAAGGCTGGGGAACCGTGTTAGACAGTTTGGAGGAACATCTCTCCTTAGGAGCATTGTAGAAGACTGAATCTAAGCTTCTTTGATGCTTCAGTATGCCTTTGGGTTTCCTTCTTTCAGTGGTGGAACTGGAGGAAATTTTATTAGGAGATTCAGCTGTCGGAGGAACACCCCAAGCCCCGAGAGCTGTTTGGGGGATTGCATTCTCTTTGCGTGACTTCCTAAGACTCAAAATCTCTTTGCACAGCCTTCCGTCTGCTCCCCCTCCTGCTTCACTGTTGCTCCTCAGGGGATAGCTGAAGCAAAACAAGTTTGGACCGAGTTGGTTTGGACAGGAGGATTCAGAGGACCGGCACCCAAGGTCGACAGTCATGTTGCCACCAGCAGCGGCCTGATTCTGCCAGTCAATGTAGCGAGCCAGCAGAGGGGAAGGGCATTCTTGGTGAGGAGATGAAGGGCAGTCACACACACTCTCTTCATAACCCCAGTTCACCCACCAGTGGTTAGCCACATCCTCTATTGTGGCCCTCTCTTCTGCGCGCACTGTCAACAGCCAGTCGATGAGAGAACAGGCATCTGGAGGGAACAGAGTCAACAATTACTTAAAGCTACACACGTACCACCACCAGCAATGATATTTCAAAAGATTGCTAGTACAGGCATGGATGCTGTCAAGAGTTTACCAGAGGGGGGGTTGGGTCTGCGATAGTGGCCTTGGGTTATCTGCTCTGTGAGCTTGGTGTGACTGGCCCCATCAAACGGCATCCTGCTGTACACCAGAGCATACAGCAGCACTCCCAGAGCCCAGCAGTCCACCTAGCACACACACACACAAACACACACACGAAAAGTTAACATTACATTTTCATGAAATGTTATTTTTTCTAATTCAGTTACAGTAATCTAAACTTAAGGGCACACATAAAGGATGTTTCATTCTTAGAAGAATTGCAAGCCTTGTCAATGTTGATCAGATGTTTTCTTGTGTACACTTTATTAAACTTTCTCACAGTTTTTCATTTGAGAACAAAAACAAGCAGTTTATTACTTAAGTAATTAATTAATTGAGATTCTCATGAGAACAAAACCGAAAAACATAAAAATACAACCTAAAAAGTCATGTATTTTAACAGTTTTTCAAGCCATTGCATCAACCCACCTCTGGCCCCTGGTAAGGTGACCCCTTCACTATCTCTGGTGCAGCATAGAGCGGACTTCCACAATATGTGTGCAGAAGAGTGCCCCTCTGGAAATGATTTGAAAGTCCGAAGTCTGCCAGCTGTAAGGAAAAGTTGGATGATTTTATTTTGCTGAAACTTGTACTCCTCTCTCTTTTATTATACACACTAACTATATTATCAAGCCCATGAACATCTAAATCTAAACATAGTGTTCAGTACAAGTTGTCAAACAACAAATAATTTAAAGCCACGGACACACAAATGTTGAAAATCTGACAAATTGCAAAACATTTTTAAAGAATACAGCTATAAAGTTAAAAGACTGTCACAGACGGTGGGATAGAGAACCCTTCCAGCCAGTTCATCTGAGTTTTTGTCTGGTGAAAACACTTTAATTTCACAGGTAACTTAACATCCCTTCACACTATGACAGACGTAAATCTAGTTTTGGTTCTACTTTGTCTTCGGCAGAAAATGATTAAACCTTGGGGCATAATAGTTAAGATACCAGTGAGCCCCTTGTTAAATTTGTACATACACTCTCTTCCCAATTAAAATCTGAATTCCTTTTCAGTGAGTCCTTTTCATCCTGCAAACTTGAAGTCATGTGTTTAAAGAAAAATAATTGAAAGCAAATTCTCCTAAAAGAGCCAGAAATAGGTATGCTCAGCCCATGCCAATGTGTGAGTGTGTGTGCGTATGTGAGGAAAGAGAAGTGGGGCTAAAAACATCAGGCCGCTCACGCTCACGTAATGGAACAATCAGTCACTTGAGGCTCAGAGGAGCCATACACAAACATACCGCGCCTCCTCTTTATCTAAAGAGATTGTTAACACGCACAGGACTACACTATCAGAGCCTCTAGTGTCAAAAATATTCAGTATGACAGCTTTGACACAAGTCAGCTCTTGGTTATTATTTGTTCTTAGCAACGACTGTGTGAAATTGTGAAATATAAACATTACAACGGCAACCCTGCTCCGTGTTTGTGTGTGTGTGCCTCTTACAGCATTTAAAGCTCAAACTAGATGTGAAGTAAAATTACATTTTCAAGCTTTTTAAGTTTTGACATGCAGAGCAAGATATTCAAGAACTGTTTAATTTAGTTTTGCAAACATCATGCAAAAGTTCTCTTTCAGTTAAAAACCAGTGTGCGTGACTTTTAACTTGACAAACTTCCAAAATTTTACATAACGTGTCCCGGTGTTCCTATCTGCTTACACATGCCATTAGGCAGCTATTGTGCAGACATAACAGACGCATACATAACACAGCACTGAGCATTTCCTTCAGTCCATGCAGTGAGAGGCTGGTGTGGAGAACCTGTGCTGATTAGGTTGGCGATGAATGAAAAGCTGCTGAGAGGTCTGCACATAGTGTTTTGTTTTGTCTGTCAGACAGAGAATATATGGCCTTCCAAATGGCAATAGTGCCAATATGGCCTGCTGAATTCCCTGCATTCCCCTTTAACCATGCACAGTTTCCTTTTAAGGACAGCAATATCCTTAAGAGGCAGAAACTATCCAGACTTGTTTTATGGGACCTTGTCCTGTGTTTGTTCAGGTTCACTATGCATAGTTTTATAATATTTTCATAGAAAATGCTCCAATGTATGTTCTCAATGAGTGTGAAGATATTCCCTGGGCTACTCTGTGGAGATTAGATGGAAGCAAATAAAAACTAAAAACAAAACAAAACAAAACATAAGCTTCCCGAAATGGACAACACTCAACTTATTATATTATTTTAAAATAGTTTACAAACCCAAGGAATGCAATTTGCAATTGCAAATGACAGTCAATAATAAACTGTGTTGTTTTCTAAGTCTCTGGCCAGCTCACTTTTAACATAAAACCATAATTTATTTTAAAAAAATAAATCCAGAACTGGTTTTATGGTACAGAGCCTCATCCGTCTTACCTTAACATTCAAATCTTGATCTAAAAGGATGTTCTCCAGCTTAAGGTCTCGATGCACAACACCATTCTGCAAGAGAGCAATTACACACCATGAGGCCCTCTGATTTGAGTTTGAAGTTCATCTGGTGTTGGCTTTATAAGCACCTGTAAGCCAATCAGGGACAGGCAGCTGTGGGACCTGGGGAGGAAAGCTTAAGCTCCAAAAACCTGTTGCAAATGTTTTTTCCACTGATTTAGAGTGGGCTTTATTTTCTAAGAGGAGACAAAGCCCCAATAAACAACTGCGGCTACCCGGGAAGCTGAGTGGCAACTAAAACTGCCTCCTGAAGCAAGTCACTTCCTCCTCAGGGTACTTTAGTAGAGGAAATGCTCCTTTTGTCCAGGCAGTATTTTGCAGACAAAATAAAAAAGGGATTAGAATTGTATTTTTGTGTGTTTGCTTGATTTGTTTGGACGTGGGCAAGTTATTTTCATTCTTCTCTCGAAGCCTTGAAAGGTTCTCCAAGTACCCTGCATACCTCTGAGGCACATTCAATAATTCATCCATGCCAGAACATTCATGTCTATTTTGGGACAGTGTTCTAGGGCAGTAGTAGCACAAAACCCACCAGCCTGCACAACACAGAGCTGCAGGAGCCAGATGATAATCCCAGTGTAATGTGTGGCATTTGTGAAGAGTCCAAACAAACACAGCCCTCTTGATCACTTCCATATCAGCTGACTGTCAGGCACAGCTCCTCACAGCTAATATGTATTAGTAAGATTGACATATTTCCTTGATAATGCCTTCTTTCTAGCACAATGTTTAATTTCATGAACAAAACAATAATAAAAAGAGCAAAAAAGTGCTCCTGAGCTATAATGTACAGAGATTTGTAAGATCACATATGTGAGTGTACGACAATAAAAAACAGTCGAGGCTTAATGGGTTCTTAACCCAGAAAGATCTGAAAACTGAAGTCAAGTTTTTCAACAGCATAACGGTTAAGATTTAGTGGGATTTATCAGCACAGAATTTACTTATGCTCAACTAAACACTGGGCACGTGCCTTCTGGTGCAGCCCTAATATAGACTGAGCTCCAGTGGCACGTTAAAATACGGTACAGTGTGTGCAGCATGTGTGTGCGTGTGGAACCTTGTGGCAGTAGTGGACGGCAGATGTGATTTGTCTAAAGATGCTTCTGGCTTCTGTCTCTGGCAGTCGTCTCCTCTCTTGTATGTAATCATACAGCTCTCCTCTGCTGGCGAACTCCATCACTATCACAATCTTATCCCGGCTCTCGAAAACTGTCAACAGAGCACATTCATTGTCTATCTTTATGCAGATATGTGGTGTATTAGACATAGTAAATACACCAAATCCATAACACAGAACATTACAATTACCCCCATTACCAGTACCATTACAGTGCACAGTTCTTTGAACTTTATGTAAATGGAAATCTTATGGTGGATGTTTTGAGGTGACTTTTTGGATGTCTATATTCGAGGTTAAGTTGGTCTTTTATCGATTTAAATGATAAAATGAATTTATACTTTAAATGTGACTCTATTCAAACATAAGTAGAAACTTATGTTTGGGATATTTATTACATGTATCATGGGGACAGACAAATGCCAAACCAGTCGAACTGAGATTATTTAAAAGACAGAAAATGGTGCAGATTGAACGCTAAATATTTTAGTAGTAAAAATGGAAGTGGCCTGACATGTTTATTGTAGGGACTGCAGGTATCAGCCATACACTGATGTGAAATAGGAAATGTCATGGAGAAATGTCCATGACTTCAGCAAGAAGAATGAAAAACACCAGACTTTAGACACATAAATAATACTTAATTGGACTGAGTGCTGGTTGTAGTCATCAAATGTTTTTTTGAGGATAGCAAATATTTATTAAACAATGTTCCTGGGAACTTTTTATACAATACTCCTGTAAAGTATATAGTGTCCCATGAGTGCTGAGCAAATACAACTTACTTGCATACATCGTTTCACTAATGGTACTGGTTTTGTCAACTTCATTTGTTAATTAGAGTACAATAATTCCTAGTGTTTTTTGGATTGAAAGTCCTTGTGCAGTCCTACCTTCGTGGAAGCGTATGATGTTGGAGTGTCTTAGTGAGGAGGTGATCTCGATCTCTCGCTGGATGTGGATCTTGTCCAGATCATCGGTAATGCGCTCTTTGCGGATGGACTTGATAGCCACCTGAGTTGAATAGAAACACGAGCTAAGCCTTCTGTTCAATTCCTGCATCATTTGATTCATTTAGTGGGTCAGTGTTTCAGGTTAACAAGTAAAAGGATACATAGCTAATAACATCCTTCCAGAGAGCTCATATTCTTCTTCTAGATAATAGTAACAGGTCATTAAGGGAGAGTGGGGGATATCCCCATCATCACAGACATTTCAGTGCCACACAGAGAGAGAGAATCTTTCAACCCCTACAGGATCCCTATGTCTGGCTGACTTCTCCCAAAGGTCACAGCTGCAGCTTTTTCGGCTGCCGGAAAAACGTCAACAAGACACTGGAAGAAACAATTCACACGCTCCATCAACTGTACTTGTTATGCAACACAACACAAACATACACCTTTGGATTCTCTGGATATTAATTCTACTTATGTGGATGGCAACCAATTGATTTAGTTTAATTATTCTTTTTTAGGTTTTGGTGTATTTTCCTAAATCATTGAACACAAGGCTGATGTAGCACAATTTAGAGGCCTGTGGCACTGGGTGCTCAGCACAGGGTCTCAGCTAATCTTTTGAAAATTTCTCTTAATTATAGCCAAAGCTGGGAAGCAATGTTCTGACCTAGATGATGTGGGGCATTTGCTGATTTTCTTTTTGAGAGCTTTTAGTTTTTTATTTACGTATATAGTAACTCTCCACTAAATTTCTTGAAATCCAGCCAGGTATTTCTGTTTAATCTTGCGATTCAGATTTACAGACGATCAGCACTGAAAACAAACTTCTGCCAAGGATTAGTTGAAGTGATGAGGAGGGATATTGCAAGAGGAATCTAAAAGAACAGATGAAAGGAGTGGATTAAGTGTGTGTAGGCCAGTGCACTTTGTGGAAGTATTATACCATCACTCCCCAATCTTCAGCATCAATGAATAAGCAGCTGAGCACAGGGAACAAGTGAGGCCTTCTGGGCATTGCTCATCTACCAAGGAAGCAAGAACATTGTTTCAACAGAGCACATGTATATGGAGGAAGCTTGGGTGCATGTTTACATCTATGATCTCATCCGAGTGTGTCCCTCTATCAAACAATGTCCTATTGTTTGGCCAAATATTCTGCTGCGTGTGAAAAATGGACCTATGGGCTAGATGCCAGACACTTGCAGGACACTCGAGAAGGTACATGTATGACTCACGCAAAAGTAATAGGATAGGGAAGGGAATGTGAGAAGACAAACCAAAGTTATTTTTTTATGGAATAAAGTAGAAGGGATGCGCAGTCAAACAACATAGAACATTTACAGTTTCCCTACCACACTTTCCTTTTATATCAATAGCAATATTTTTGATCATTACGGAATTCCTTGTATGTCCAAATCTTTAGATAGCTGTTCTGTTGTAAGCATCCTCTACGTGAGTTTAAGTGGAAATCATGAAGAGGGTTGATTATTTCCTGTGCTCTTATTCCCAAATGCGCATGCATACCGATACAAACATGCATCCCAAGAGACACTAAAGCATCAGTAAAGGTCCCTGTGGTTTTTATGAAAGATTTAGCAGCTGAAATACTTGTGTTGAGAGCCAAAAGGTCTAACATGTTTCCTCTTATAGACAATAAGTATTGAACTGTTTGAGAAAATAGTTATCTTTATAGTAAAATCTACAGTAATAACTAAAAGCACAGGTTTTTTAGTTTTGATGAGGTTGCATGATTGGCAAAACAAAACAACATCCTGGGGTCTTCAGAAATTTATACTTGTTTACAGGTTAATTTATCTGGGATACTATTAAAGTAGACTCACATACTTTAAACATTTTAGCCTCCCAGAAAAAGTACTGCCCTGAATAATGGCTCAATAATCAATCCTCTCTTAAATGCTGGGCCACAGTTAAATACTAGGGTTGTAAGTTTCTTTGGCTTTTGCCGAAAACATCTCTTATAGAGATGTTTGAACTGCAAAGTGTGGGTTCATAAGCATGCCAAGACAATAAAAAGCTGCATCTACATTTCACAAGAAAGAGACTTTCAAAAGAAGTTTTGTTTTCTAAAGGTAGATTATTTTCAGGAGCTGAAAGAAGTGAAATACTTAAATACGTAAACAAGTAGTCTCTTTAAAGATGTACAAATTTGACGTAATTATCAAATGAAAAAAAAAATACAGTTGAGCGCAATGTACAGCCATGTGAGTGCTATTTCTTTAATAATGTGCCTCATATTTAATTACAGCACAGCTTCCCAGTGAGGAAAAGGAATCTGCTTTTGATATCCAATCAGCCATTTCATACTGTGAATTAGTCATGCTCAGCTCCAGTCAAACAACACAGAACAAGCACTCCGAAAAGTTTCTGGGACTTTCTCCATATCTATCTCACTTACTTAATCTAAAACGGATACTACTGCCTTCTCTTCCCTTTGCTCTAAAACTGTCTTCTTCTCTGCCTCCTTTTGTTTCCAAAAATAATGTCTGATTTGTTTCAAAGAATCTCTGGTATGCGCTGGCTAATGGCTTAAGGAATTTAGCATTTTCCCCCCGTCATACCAAACCCCCTCACCCTGCACTCGAACACACGCAGCACAAAGCTGCCCTCCTCTCTCTGTGTACTCTGACTACTTTACTTTTACTTTCCACTTACTCCAAGAGATGTCCTTCTCACTGATGTTAGCCATAGAGTATCAGTGGACGCCACAAGCACACGGAATGTGAAAACCTCACTTCCATGAGCTGATTTCCAAGAGGTTAATGCCTCTGCGTTTGTTGACTAAGAGCAAAAGAGGAACTCAGTTGTGATGAGGCCTCTCTGTGTTTGTCAGGGTAGAGGGATTAAGGCCTGACTAGACATAAACCCACGATTATTTACACTAATCTCAGGCCACATTCGGTCTTTAACCCATATTCGGAGCACATTTTTTATTAGGAACATATACTTTGGCTCTTTGTCCCTGCATGCCTGCGTATTTTGTTAAACAGGTCAGGCTGCTGGTGAAGGAAGCCCATTGTAATGAATTTATCCCTTTCTTCAAGTGCTGAGTGAGTCAGACCAAAGGCATCTCGGTCTGGCAGCATAGGAAGCAAGAAGTGGGGTCAGCATCAGACAAACACTAGCACACAGACACCACCCAAGAGCTTTTTTGCACCTACAAATCAGTATTCAGTAACCAGAAGGCATTATTTTTGACTGCCTGGCAAGTGACACACTGCACTGAGGAGAGACTGGCAAAAATAAAAAGTAGGAAAACTGAACAACGTTCATCTATAAAACTTAAGTTTCTGCATGGATAGGTTCACAGGTCGTTCTCTGACCAAAAAAAAGTTAATATTAAATACCACTCTCGAGAAGGAGCCTCAAAGTTCTTGTTCACCAGCAACTCACCGTCCTCAGACTCGCTCTCTCGACCGCTCTCTTCACTTTTCCATAGGTGCCTTTCCCCAGCGTCTCCATCACCTCATAGCGGTGTTTCAGGTTGTGTTTGTGCTGATGCTTCTTCACCTCCTCCGGCGCTGCGGTGGCCGCCGGTGCCCTGCCCGCGTCTGCCTGTCTCCGGCGCCCCTCCGGGCTGCAGGCATGGTGGTGGGGGCTGATTCTGGGGAGCTGCTGGCCGTCGTGGTGGCTGCCGGAGGCCGCGTCCTGCAGACGGCCGAGCTCGGAGCGCTGGCTGGGGTTCATCGCACCTCTGCTGTCCGCCTGACGTCTGCCCATCCTCTCCGCGCACCGTGCGCACCTGTCAGCACCCCTCTGGGGAGCTGGACCCCCAAATGTTTACGCGTTCTGACAAAAGAAGCTGATAAAACAAAGGAGCCTCTTCTTGCCCATATGGAGAAAAAACGTCAACGCGTCTGACTACTTTTTACTGAAATTGAGGACACTGGAGAAAGCCATCCGACTCTCACTGACAGCTCCTCTTTGTATTGTGGAGCGCAGGGACAGGAGCGTTGGGAACCACATGGTCCTGAGCGATGGGTGGAGCCTTCTCCACCCCAGCATCTCTGTGCGTCACGCTCAGAAGGCAGCGTTTAAGGGTTTTCCGACGGCTCATGCTGACCGAGCCGCGCAAGAAAGCAGAGGCAGGCATCCGCGGAATGTTCTACCCATCCTTATCGCTCCACTTCGGTCAGACATGCTTGTTGATGTTTTGCCATGCTGTCACCTCAGGAAAAATAAATCAGTAGAAGACGACTTTGTGGATTTGGAGAGAGAGAGAGAGACTCAGAAGAGGAGCAGATAATTCGAAACCACAGGATTCCATTAGAATATTTTGTGTTCTGTTTTTATAAAAGCCTGCTTGAATAAAGGCATGGAGCACACTGCATAGCAGAGGTAGTAATTAGACATATCCGCTTATTTACAAGACTTAGAGTGTTCTGTTGACAGCTGGTTGTATAATTAGTTCATTGAAGACCACACTTTTTTTTTGTTATACACACTTTATTGACCACCCTTAGTTTACTGATAAGGGTGTGAAATCCTAGGACTCCAAATGAAATATAGCTATACTCAAATGTAAGCTCAAATGGCTGATTCAGTTAGGTCAAACATGCAAAACAACCACAAATTAAAGAAAGATGCTTTCTTCTCCATTTTCTATGCCCTCTTCTTTTTTAGATTTTAAATAGGCATTACTGACACCCAGCAGAAGAGTTGGAGTAGTACTGGTAGAGCATTACATACAAATTTTATTAGATTTTTTTTAACCAAGTGAACATTGTGACAAAATGTGCCAATGATATAAAAAAAGAGACGAAAAGGTTTTTCCTTCCCAATTCAGTTAATGCTGCATGATTCGAATTAGGTGGAGGCAGAAATGGGGAGGCCTGTATGAAACTTTCTTATTGATGGTTTTGGTAGTCACAGGCTAAAATCTACCCAAAACAGGGACTTCAGAAAGCACACCTACATGGATGTTCTTGGGTTGAATTGAAGAACATTTCCCAGAGTTTTTGCCATATGTGTAGTGTCAAATAAATGCTTTGCAATTACATTCAATTTTGTACAGACTAAGAGCAATGAAGTTATCAGTCGAGGCTGAAATGTATTTTAAAGAAATTGGAAAACAGACTTTAATGGGGATTGAAATTAGAAGCTACATTACAAGTGAAGTGAAACAAAAATAGTTAACTGAAACTATTATGTGAATATACAGCCAAAGAGCAGGACAAAAAGAAGTCATGGAAAGTAAGAGGACTTAAGAGACATTAATCTGTCCACAACACATGGAGCGGTCAGTCGGGCATCCATATCAAGATCCCAGCAGTCTGTCAGGAGCTCCTTCAGCACGGGCCCCTAAGATTGTTTGTATTCTGTTAGAACATTTATAAAAGTGAACCGTCGCTACTTAGTCGACACAACTCCACAATTTAATTTAGAAATACCTGTGGAAGCCTGTCCCAGTGTTCAGGTATGGAGGGTCTCTTGTCCATCTTAGACACATAAAGAATTAACCTTTCCCTTGTTGCATTTGCATCCAGCTCCAGTTCATAAGGTAATAGATGCTGTGGAACAATTGCACCTACAGATGAAAGCATTTGTAAAAAATAATGAATTCCTTGTGCTCAGAAATCTGTTGGGAATGGGCTATTTTTCAGCTTTCCAGGTAAAGCAAAAATAATTTGAATACAGTATGAGGACTACAATTTTTTTAGACTGTTTATTTATGCGTTTGGACACAAGGAGTCCTAAAGTTCTCACTCACAGTTTGTCGTGGTTGGACTCAAATAAAATCAATTCTGTAAGAGGCACTATCACAATAATATGTGAGTCACTGGCCAATGTGAGCAGATGAATAATTCACACGCACCCCCACCCATCACCTACCTTTGGTTGTATGTACCTACTTGCTTCATTTGCTGCTGGTGTGCACTGTGTGTGCAGATGTAATTGGTTTCATTCTTAAACATCTGTCAAATTATGTATGTCCCACAAAATTTGAATATCTTTATTAATTTAGCCTTCAAATATGTACAATATAATGTTATCAGTTCATGGGTTTAAGTTACCTAGAGAAATATATTATTAAAAAATTATGACGAAAGTTTAATGCTATTATCTAACGGGTGCCCACATGTTGTCTGTACAATAAATAAAGAAGTAATAAACCATTTCGGTCTTTGACAAACACAGCACAATTTGTCAAAGAAGAAAATAAACCTATTCAAATAAATCTGAAATATTGTATTTTTTTCATCAAATCTAAGAACGCAACATCTAAATGACAGTGTTTATTACCCAAATTTGTTCATTACCCAATCGTGATGGCTTACCTTCAAATAAATCTGAGCAGCGCATCCAAATCTCCCACAGCACCAGACTCAAGGAATATATGTCCCCTTGCATGAGGAATAAGTGGCTTCTCAGGTTTACAGAGCCCTCCAGGATCTCAGGGGACATGTAGTTCAATGTGCCAAACTGTGCATGATCCTACAGAAATTTGAACTGGCTTGTGCAATTATGCATGCTGCATTGGAACATTTCTGAGACATTTTGCTGCCGGTAGAAAAAAAGACTACTTGCATGGGTATTTTTGAAAAAAAAAAAAAAAATTGTTTAACTGAAACACAAATGACCAGTTGTATTGCTCTATGTGCAATGCAGTATTTCACCTTCATGTTTTGGATGTGGTGCTGCCAAAAATCACCATCAGAACAAGAACGCAGGATGGTGGAACATCCAAAATCACAGAGCGCACAGGTACCGTCTGCTTTGATCAGCACGTTGGAGCTGCTGAGGTCTCGGTGGGCCACTGGTGGTTTGTGCACATCTGCAAGAAGGACACCCACACAGACATAGACTCACATATAATCAATATTTGAGAGCAATGACCCTTTCATATTTTGGATACATTTAAATTTACCATTAAAGATAAAGATATAAAGAGTTAAATTCTCTTTGATCATATGCAGAACATGACTACAATGTGTTAATTCATACATGTGTTTGTTGTGTGTCTTATTGTGGCCAGTACCATGGCTGTGGAGGTCAGAGTGTAGATAGGAAAGTCCCTGTGATAAGGACTGGCACAGCTTCAGTGTTTGGATCCAGCTGGTGGTATGTTTATGCAGAAAGGAATGGAGAGAACCCTGAAATTAAGGGGATACCCAGGCTTCAAAATACTCAACCAGTAAAGAAGACAAAGCTCTCACTGCAAGAAATACTGATTAGTTCCATGACAGCGGCATATACATAACATTTAAACCCAAAACAAATAATAACAACACAATTAAGATTAGTTTTTAAATACTGGAGTGTGAACATCAGTTTTCTTCATGGAACACTATTATCTGACCTGATATGTTGATTTAAGACTTCAATTGAGATTAAAAAAATTACTAGTTACAGTGAAAAACCGCAAATCTTTCAATAATCTCAGATGTTTTTACTTACAGATGTATTAAAGTATTGCAAACTGCAACATGAACACTAGGGGGCGTCATAGGATTTAGGCTTTGCAGATTCAGTAAGCACTGGCATGCTTTAGCTGATCAATTATGACTCATTTGATCAAAGTTATCAAATAGCTACGAGGTGATTTATGGGATATGGGACGATTGGATAGTTTTTCACTCACATATTCTGCATATCGCAGCACAATGAACCAGCTGCCATCGTCTGATTTCCACCCGGTGCCCAAGAAGTGGATAATCCCACCATGTCTCATCAGAGGAAGCTCATAAACCTCCTTTTCTGTGGTAAATTTTTGTTTCCAGCCTGCAGGGTAGACTTTCACTGCCACTTTGGAGTCTTGGTACTTCCCTTGAAAAACAGTGGCAAAATGCCCTTCGCCCACAACCTGTGACACACATGAAGAAATAGATTATAAGGAGCTTCATGCATTGATTGGAGCTACTTTCGTTGCTCTGTGATTACAACACAGTTTAAACTAAATACAAGTTAGCTGGTCTTACCTGTTGTATTTCAATGTCAGTTATGTAATTCTCTGTTTTTGCCTCACGGGAAGAAAGTGGCTGCAGAGGGTCATCATGAAAAGAGGACTGTAGATCCCCCTCTAAAATAAGATATTCCAACACACTATTAAAGGTCAAGAAAATCAGTGGCGATGTTGTATTTTATATGACACTAACAAAAAATGTTGCGGAAGAGTTACAGCGGTAAAAGGGAGTTTTGTGACCGAGATAAAGAGCAAGGTCATTTTAACAGGGGGAGAAAAAGTGTTTCAAGGTTGAATAAAGACATTATCAAAACTCAATTAAAGTTTGGAAAATGTTGAAACGATTGCTAGGGGACGTTGTCAACTTAAGATTTGAACTGAGCAACTCCATAGTTTTTTAGCCACCACACAGTACAGTTTAGATTCATAATATGTTTAATATGTTTAGCCTTAAGTGGGGTTCGATAAACTTTCATTATCTTTTTCGTGTACACCAGTGAAAACTTTATCCATATGCCTGGAAAAGTAAACATGGAGATAAACACTAAAGAAAGCAATCAAATCATAAATTATTTTGTTATCCAGCTAAAAAAAAAATCTCCGCTTGATGACGCCATCCTGTGCCATCAAACACGTACATCACACACACACGTACATTATGGCTAATTTTCTGGAGGAGAAAGAAAAAACATCACCTCTCTCAAGTTATTAAAGGACCTTACTTTTCTCTTTACGGATGCTTCTCCATTTGATGGCAGTAAGTGCAAATCCAGCGACTGGCAAAATGACTGCCACAACCATGACTGCTGTTACACCTGAAAATGAGATAAAGTGCGGTTGAAATTAACTGTGCTTTTCATGCAGATTCTGGACAAACGTCACATTTTGTCACAACAAGAATATTGAAAATAACACATAGTGACATTCTCTGCAGGTTCTGGAGGAATAAGTTGATAAATCTTAGTAACTTTTTATGGGTATACCTGCAGAATAGGAGATGGTGTGTGGAGGATCCTCTGATTTTGGAGTCAGCGTTATGTTGCCGTTGCAGAGGTCTGAGTTGCACACACATGTGATGAAGTTTCGAAGTTTCTTGCAGGTTGGATCTGGACAAGACTTCTCTACCACATTACAGGCTACAACACAAAAGCTGGTGTCATGGTAACAATCAAGTGCTTAGTTTCAATGTTACCACACATCAAATAAAACACTTTACAGTCAACCATGCAAACAACTAAACTGATTAATTGAAGACTTTACGATTTTAACAAGCTTTCTAGACAGTTAAATGTTTCACTTTAATACCAAAAATGTTAAAAATAGCAAAGGATTCTTAAATGTATTGGCTCTGATTTAGATATTCATCTTTCTTACCTAGGGTTTCAACCTTTAGTTCGCCAGTTATGTTCCGGAAAATGCCCAAACAGCAGGTGCTGTTCTCACAGACCTGGACGGACCCACTCACATTCCCAGCTGCAGTGTATCTGCGGATATTTTTGTGACTGACTTGGAAAACACATTGCCTCTTCTGAAGTAAAGACTGGTGTGAGGTGCATGTAAAGCCACATTCTAAGAAGAACAGTAAATGCAAAGTGTCATATGACAATGTCGATTTGGAGTTTGGAGTATTGAGATGATTTAAACAATTTTTTTTACATAATAAAAAACCATACAGTTGCAGATACAGTATATTCATCAATAAAAACAAATCTGTGAATTCGTTACCACAATTTCTAAATGTTTAACTTTCTTAACTTCAAAACATTTTCAAATTAACCTTCTCAGTTAATACATTGTATTTAACTTAAGTACTAGAGTAATACTTCGGTGCACAACTTGTTTTATAGACTATTATTACTGTTTCAAATTCAACTGAGTTGACTATACCAAATAGGTTCACTGTATTTTCTGTCACAAGAGATAATGTGAATAAAAAACAGACTATAGTCTACCACCTAAATAAAAAGACATTAAAAACCAACAGTAACAAAAAAAAAACAATTAAAATAAGGAAGTAGTAGTTGGTCACTCACGCAAAGCCAGAACCAAGAGCCACTGCAGCATGATTGTAGACTCGGATCCCAGAGCCAAGCTGTAAGTATCATTTCTGGGAATGTGAGAAGAGTTTCCCACGTTTGCGTGCATCACTCCCACTGAGACACCTGCCCTTGTATCTTTGTAGGAGGACGTTTTGTTGTTTTAGATATGATAAAAATGCATATGCTCCCCACTAACTGTACCTGCTTTTGCAGCATCATCAAAGAGCCAGACAATCTCTGGCAGATATGTGGAAAATTTTACATGTTGTGTTTTTTTATGTCCGGGAAGGGTTAACCCTTGATAAAATTGTTAAAGAACAGAACAATATGAAAATCTTTCTTTTAAAAACCCAATGTTGGTTTGTTCAAATTTGACAAGAATGTACTTTTAAACAGGTTTTTTATTTAGTACTTATACAATCCATCTGGGTAAGAAACTGTTTTTTACCTGAAACAGAGCGACCGTGTAAATACAACTATGGGAGACTCTGCTGCAGTAGAAGCGACTACTCTTTGAAGAAGTGCTGCTCAGACATTTTTGTGCAGTTTTTGTGCAAAGTTTTATTTCCCTATTTTTTTTAAAGGAACATGAATACGAGAAACAGGAAACAAACAGCACAATACATTTAGTGGAACCAAACTAGCACACACTAATCTTATTAAACTATTGCTAGGAAGTTGAAAGGTCAAGGGGAAAAAAGTGGATGATTTCTAATGATGTTTGGCTAAAAGTTTGGAGGAAATAAACAACATTTGTCTTCTTTATTTTCCAAAAGGTGGTCCATTAAGGTGTGAAGAGGTCACGAGGATTGAGATTAGCAACCAGGCAAACGTCATAGCTGTCATGCATGGCTGCTCGTTTCTCCACCACAGTCCACACATTGTCTGCAGGGTCCAGTTCCAAGATCTCTTTGGTGATGATCTCGTGACGACCTGCAGCCATGAGATAATGTATGTCAATGATGGCTGACCAAAATTGGACTCTCAGAAATACCGTCTCATCGTTTAACTTTAATTCTCCAACTTTGAAGCAAAGTGAAAGCATGACCAATTCGTGTGCAACAGAAGGAGCGTCAACTTTAATCATGCTTCCCCTCTCTGAAGAAGATCATCAAACTAATTCTCCACAGAGTTCATCAAGGTATCCAAAGACTTCACTAAACCCTATCCCTGCTTCTGAACCACAATCAGTTGAATTGAATGTGAATAGAATTTGATATTGTAAAAGTTGCATGATCCAGGTGTGTGTCACGAACATGCAAATACGTTTGCACACCTCGTGTCAGTAGAAGGTGGTGTGGTGGTGGTGCTGATGTAACTGGGTTTAATACCATAGAGGCTAAACGAATTGAGACACTGACCCGCTCCCTTGTAGTATCCACAGAGGTAGAGCTTTCCCTCTACCGCTGCTGTGTTTGAGGCATTGGTTCGAAGGGAGAGGAGAGATGTGGGCAGCGTTGGTCCTGCCCTCCAGGTGTCTGTATCTGGATTATAGATCTCCACAGAGCTGAGACAGCGACGTGATTGTCCACGGTCCTCTCCATCGCACCCTATACCACCTGGAGAACATACGCACACAGAGGTTGCGTGTTGTCACGGCAAAAGTTTGATATGAATTGAACTGTACATTTACTGCTGGAACATCATTTTTGGAGTCTGACCTAATATGTAGATTTCTCCGTTGAAGACGGCCGTGCCACAGCGGTACCTGGAATATTTCATCCTGGCACACTCTGTCCACCTGTCTTTGCCGGGGTCAAACTGAAACAATCTGTTACTCAGCTTGTCGGGCTCATCATCTGGCTGAAACTGAAGAAGGAGAGGTGAAGATTAAGCAATGGAAGAGAGGAAAAGTCAAGAAATGTAAAAAAAAGTGATAAGTATGATCTTGTCCAAAATGTAACTATTACATGTAACTGTCACATTTCCTTTTGTTTTCGATTTATTGAAATCAATTTTGAAAATTCAAAAACAAAACATTACATGTCTTGCAAAATTATTTAGTGCCACCGTGAATGAAATGAAAAAAATTGTACAGTGCACTCATTATACCATACTGTGACCCCAAGTTACCATAGCACTGCTGTTCTGTGACTGTACATTTCTGTGTTATATTTTTCTATTTTCCCCATGATCCGTTGGGTACCTGTGGAGTCCAGCCCCCGAGCACATAAATATGCTCCTTCAGGCTCACAGCAGAGTGGCAGGCTAAAGGAAGTGGAAGAGGGGCGAAGCTCAGCCAGCTGCCTCCTCTCTTCAGTGACCATCTTTCCACGCTGTCAGTGATCACATAGTGATTGCGCACTTTTGTCTGACCACCAATTAAATAAATGGACTCCCCTACGAGTCCCAAGGCGTACATGTCCCTGTAGGGTGCAGAACAAATCTCTACCCAGCTGTTCTCCTCTGAGTTACTGTACCTAGAAAATACAAAAATAAGTGCAGATTAAGAAGGCAGGGCAATTCTAAATATCTACACGGTATTTCATCATTAACATTTACACACTTGTAGATATCAACCCTCTTCATCCTGCACTGATCTTCAGCTTCCACAGCGACAATTATGCTGTTGTCTCGGGTCACTGCCCCTGCTGTGATCTGCCCCATACCTCCCCTGCCTCTCAGTGGAGAGGCGATGTAGTAGGCTTTTCTGCCACGAGGGGAGAAGCAGAAACTGAGGTCAGCAATGCCTCCACGCCGAGAAGGCACACCCTCTGTATTAACTCCGCTCAAACAGAGCAGCAAGTCAGTAGTCTCCATGCCATATCGGAGTGGTGGGCGAGGTGGAGCTGATGTCTCAGGGAGACCTGAAGTCTGAAGAGCAGCATCAATCATCCCAAAGCATTCTGCATCTTGTAGCAACACCTAGACGGTTATAGGGCCATGAAAAAATATCTATTTGTTTTCTCTTGTCAAATATGGTTAAGGCACAGTGACTTTTGGTCCACTCACAGGGTTTCTTCTCCTTGCTTTTCTCAGAAATCCAGGATCCACCAGTTCCAGACGTACACGTCTAAGTAGTTCCACAGCCTGGGCTTCACTCTGCGAGTCCCCCCTGCGCCTCTCTACCCAACGCAGCACCAGCTCCAGCACAACCTCCTCCTGCGATACGTTGAGGTCATCTGAACCCAACAGATCCCCAAGACTTTGAGCATCCAACTCCAGCACTTCTTCTTCCTCAGACACCTAATAACAGCCGGAAAACATGGTGGATAAACACTGGCAATAAGGTGGAAAAGAGAAGAAATAACACAGGATGAAGAGGAAAGTTTATTTAAAGAAACATTCTTATTCCCAAAGTGCTTAATCAGTATGAAATATGAAAACTAAGCCTGAGGACATGCATGAAATGTTTCATCCTGGAGCCAAAAACATATCTAATCGTTCCTGTTGCTAAAATATGTTACTCTCTGTCTAACCTGTGCAAAGTGTTGACAGAGGTATCTCATGGCACAGTCTGCAAGATCAGTAGCCCCAAGATCCCTGGCCCAGTGGTACAGACCAACACAGTTTGATGAGTCCATGCGAGCCTCCATTTGACTCTGACATAACCTAAGATAATCAACAAGATTGCAGAGGAAAGGGACTGCACATCAAACTGTGCTAAAATGTCTTAGCATGTGTATTAATAGTTGTAGAAACTTCCAGTTTCTCACCTAAAAGCTCCGTCTACGTGGAGCAGGAAAGCAGCAGCAGCCACTGCCTGGATATTGCTGTTGGAAAGGGGGAGTTCAGCACGGTACATGTAGTCTAGCAGAAGTTCCAGGCTCTGGGCAGCGGTGTCCCTAAGAGGCACTTCTCCACCTCGGGTCTCCCTCAAACCACATGTGAACATGGCCTGTACAGCAACATTTATCAGAACTTAATGCAATATGTCTGTTAAAAAAAATGGTAAAAAACAGGTTGCAAAATCTTTTATTTAAAGACATGGCTCCAATTATGATTGTCTACAAAATGCTTGCTATCCACCATAATTTTTTTTAACCTGGAAGTAAGGGCTGAATGCAGACAGCACCACCTTGTGGCAATGGAAAGAAACCCCCTCTGCCAGCAGCACCACATCAGTGAGTTCCTGGGCTGCTCTCATCCTCTCCAGGTGCCTGAGAAGATGGAGGCCATGTTCTCCTTGAGCCGAGAGCTCCCGCTCAGGCTCCATGGAAACCTGCTCAGGTTGTCTGCACCACTCCCCTCAGCCCAAACAGAAACACTCTGGGGTGATGCCAGACAAATCGGAGAAAGAATAAAGAAGGACTTAAAATCATATAAATGCAAGACTATCCAGGATTATACAGCGAGCTTACAGATAAGCAATCAGTTTACTTTTCTCTTAAATCTTCAAGTGCTTTCTTTAGTTTCCAAAACAAAGAGACAGAATTCTAAATGAAGCTGCATTATTCACTATTATCAAAGTTGTGCCTTTGCTATAGTTGGTTAAAAGATTTTAATACAAATCAATTCAAAAGCTGGACTTTAAAGGCAAGAGGGGTGGTGGAAACCCTCAGAGACTGCAGCCCGTGAGCCATGACGTTTTGAGACAGCCTCTGTAACCTGTCCACACTGTGTGTACTCAGCTGTAAACAAACGCGAGCAGAAACCCAACAACTCGACGTTTGGGATGCAGAAACGCTCCTTCTCGGTGGCTCAGGATTACTTTGGTTGGTAGAGGTTTATCTGTGCTGATGGAGATGAACATGCCGATGCATAAAACTCTTTGGAGACATGCTGTTACTTTGCTAATAATATAATCAATGGGCTGCTGACATATTCACTGGGCCAGTCTTTCTCTCACATTTCATGACAAAAATCGCAAAGTAGATGGACAATATCAGACTGTCTAAATAGGGACGGTGTTTAAAAAAATGTGATTCTGATTCTGTATCAATCTTGATTAATTAATTGTGGATTTTGTGGATTCTAAAAGTGATTCCTGAAGACACTGTTAGTGTGTCAGCTAAACATACACAGGTCACCTTAGAGGCATGCACAGACAGCTGGGATTGAGAGGTCGCAGGTTAGAATGATATCTAACAAAGGTGCATGCAGAAAATCAACTGTCATACCCTTGGTGTCCAAACGTATTCCAAGGCTAATGTCTAAAACTTTCTGAACTAATGTTACTTTCCATTTAATATCATGAAGTGCATGACCGATTGGTTTATTTTCAGGTGCCAGCAGATCTGCCTTGTGTGCTATGCTACTTGCTAGTAGAGAGAGCATGGGTCTGATTGCAAGCTTGCGAGAAAAATAAGTTTAAAATAGATCAGCAAGCTGTTGGTCTCATCAGGTTTCTCAGTGTAGCTGCACAGGAAGTCCTCTCATTCAACCCGTGTGATATCCTGTTGGACTTTTGCTTCAAATACATATATTAAAAAGTTTTTTAAAATTCTGATTAATTTCATTATATTTGATTAAGTGAATTTACAGAAAACAAATGGTTTGGCTTCAAGCCAAAGGGGCCATGCATTTCAGACATTTCTAAAAGAATTTAGGGTTTGAATCAATCAATGAACTGATTTGTTTGAAATTATTATGGTAATAAGGCCAGTTTGTGTTAAATGGTCACTTATTACAAATTCTCTAAATCTCCCTCTTTCCACACGATTGTATGTTGAACATTTGTCTCTAACACTAACTTCTGCTTTGTTGGAAAACAATGCAACAGATGCATATTTAGTCTTACGAGTTATCAATTCTTGAAACAGCCTAAACACAGGTCTTGAAAATGTTATGTGCATTAAAAACTAATGAATGTAAAAAAAAATTAAAAGTATTGCTTCAGTCAAACACAAGATGAGAAAAAAATACTCAAAATATACCAAAATCATGGAATGGCTCACTTTGTACTTTTTTAATTGTTTTCATATGTCCTGTCTGTGTGTTATGCAAATCGTTTGATTACATTTTCGCTTACATTTTATACTACATTGCAATAATCAAAGAGGTGCCATTTGAAAATTAGTGAGAGCAGAAACTGGCAGTTTTTGCCTCTGTAATTTCATTATTTGACTGGTAAATGGGCTTGAACAGTACTTCTATAGAACATTTCCAGTCAAATTGACAACTCAAAGGACTTTACACTGCATGTTATTCACCCATTCAGACACAAACTTGTCGTTCTGTGTCTTGCCCAGGGATGTTAAAAACATGTCAACCAGGAGAGCATATAGTTCAACCCCTGCATTTTCTCCTGAGCCACAGCCTTTACCACACCTTCAATCTACAACATGGGAAAAGGAAAAACACTGAAAAATTCCAGAAGCTTTGACAGGCCGACTGGCCATTCTCTTTCTTTAGTTATGGCATTGCTAACTGCACACACAGTTGCTGAAAAGCACAAAGATCACGGCTACTGTTAATGACATGCCTCCAACTGATATCTCTCACGATCCTAAGACACACTGGAACTGGAATATACTGTACAAAGTGGACAAGTAAAGTTACGATACACTTCAAAGCAGATTTTATGGTTATATTGCTGTTTTCCTCAGATCTGCTAATGGTCTTTGAAAAGGCGATAAAGTTAAAGATTCACACTTGGTGAATGAACCTGAAGCACATGATGAGGATATCACAGAGTCTGTCACATGTCTGGAAACAGCAGACAGCTTCTAATTCTTGACAGGTTATTTGGGGTGGAATGACTTTCCAATCTTTGTTATTCTAGGCTGATTGCTGTCTGGCAGTGTTTTCCTGCACAGTCAAGCATACGGCATTACACAACCACAGGAGCAAAGTGTATGAGCAGTTTATCAGCAGTGTAGATTAATCAGTGACACATGTTCAGGTTGTGTCTATATGAGCCTGTCTCCACACATGAAAAAACATCAGTGGGACTTTTGCCAAGCTGCCAACTCTGATCCAACCTCAAGGAATCCTTAAGTTACCTGAATGAATCTTAGTGTACTGGTTGTTCCAGCTGAAGGGTTTCAGATGTTATACACTTTTTGTTCATAAAGTTCCCTTTTCCTTTTCAGTCAAACACCTTTGAAAATAATTTTTGTCTCAAGTTTTCTTTTGAGTCATTGAGTAATCGCTTGAGTAATTTCTTAAAATGTGCTTTTATCTTCAGTTCGGCTGTATAAGGAGCAGTGGTGCTCTGAGAGTTTCGTTCTCTCTAAATGGATCCAGGTTAAATAAAGGCTCACTCTGGCTAACTCCACAACCTTTACTGGATTTGACAGAAACCACAACCTCCAGTGCTCACTATGAGCGCACTCTGCATTGCTTGATACAACGTAACCACCCCTTGCCTGGCTTAAAAATTGGTTGAAGTAAAGGCAGACATTTCAGTGTGCTCAGTATAATGTTTTATAAGATTTGAGGTTGTCATATGTGTCAGATCAGTCAGATTATTGTTTTTTCTAAATTCCAAGCAGGCGCCTCATGCCTCTCCGTTAAGAATTGCTTGGTCTAGAAACCTGATTAGTGGAGTGTTTATTCTTGTTCTGAAGGTTTTTCCCATATCAGCAAAAGAACTCCAGAACTCATTCATTCTCAAAGTTCCAGACTGTCCTTGACTACTTGACCAAACGAAAATAAAAGTTTGATTGAATTCTTCACTTCCACATAATGCTGTGCTGCAACTCTGTGACAAGTCTTCTTTTTTATTAACACAATTCTAAAACTACAAAGTCTTTTTGAGAGGCATTTAAGAGAGAAAAAATCTACACGCTTCTTAAAAGGTTATTATTTAACACATAACTAAAACAACTTAACCTCTTCATTGCAGCAGATTAAAGACTTATCTATTTACTTTTTGATAAGAGCTAATGCCAGTAAACAGGTGCGTGGCAGCATCCTATAGTATGAACACAGAGTTAATGTCACATCTATCCAAAGATAACGAGGGGTTTTTTGGCCTTAGCAAGGTTTTTTTGTTTGTTTTTCTGTGTAACTGAATATATGTAAGTTGAGTTTCTTATACTTATGTGATGCAAAATTTTAGCATCCATTAACTTATCAAATGAAAAAAACAAAAACAAAAAGAAACAGTGAGATTATCAAGACATGAAGAATGCATTTGCTAATGATATAGAACCAGTTGACATGTAAAGAACTAAATAAACAAATAACTAACTAAACAAATAAAAGATAAGAAAAGCTGTGGATGCAGTCCAACCTCTCGTTGTAAAATTTCCAACAGCTTTAAATAAAATCGAGGAGAAATTTCAAACAGATGCAGTAAACCTGTTTGGATCCAGCATTTAACTAAGAAATTATTCATGTCTGGTTATGAAACTTCCCCTTAAAACTGTCTCTAGTTGTCCTTTCAGCTGTGCTTGATCATCAACATGCTCCAACATTTAAACAACATGCATTTTCTTGCGTGTGAAACAAGTCATGGTTAATAAGTAGAAGAGACTTTCCTTCAACAGTCATCTATTGCTGTTAGTTATTTTGTCACAGTGAAACATCCTCCTTTGAATAAGTTGTTCCTTTAAGTAAAGGCTGCGTGCTAAATTTAATGAGACTAAAGCATAAAATTATAGCAAAGGACAGATATGACAAGGATTTCTGAACAATTTTGTTGACTGACTGAATGAATGAATGCAGCATTATTGTTACAGAAACATTGTTTACTGCTCCAAATGAAATGAACCATAACTTGGTCATTCAACTTTATTTCCACTGATATGGATATTTTGTTACTGCTTTAAAGACATCTTATCACTAAAAACTTCATATAAACCTCTAAGATATCGGAAACCATAAAGATGGTGCATGACCATAAAGGATTTCATATGGCCCGTGTTTCACTGAGCCTGATTTGCTGACATGCTGTGCGGCTCTTGAGGAAAGACTTGATGCAAAAAAATATCGGATCTTTGCAAGAAACTAATTCATCAAGAAATTTCCAGATTTACAAATCATTCAGCTGGATGAGCTGTTTTTTTCAGAGACTCGAGCATTCAATACTGACTCCTGCATATCCGTTTCACTGATGAGCAGACAGATTAACTTTACTGATTCTATTTAGTGATTTAGAAAATGCACGCGGGATCCAACTTCTGTTAATAATGAAATATGTCAAGACAAAGGCTTTATCAAACATTAACTCACTCGACCTAAACTTTACAAACTTTATCTAAAGCAGACCTGTCAACAGTGTGACTGATGATTTTCTTACTGCTCACCTGGTTTACAGATAGTTGATTTTTGATCTTGAAGTCACTGAATATATTAGATTAGTGAAATTTAGCTGCCATCAGCTACTCTAATTTGTGGAAAGTGAAAGGTAATCTTACTTAGAATATCTAATAAATTATTCTTATATTTTTAGTATAGAAGAGCTGAATTTAAAACTATTTCGTGCATGTGTGAGATGCAACATCCATTAGAGTTTCAACTGTAAAAAAAAAACTGTTTGACAAAATGTCTTTGTAGGAATGAGAGACAGGAGATGTTTGAGGATGACTTAAACATTACTACTGTAGTTATGGGGAATTATCTTGTTTTGGGCAGCCATATCATGTGAAGCATGAGGGATTTTCTGAGTAGCAATACTAAATCATAATTGTAATGCTGACAATGGAGATTTTGTTACTTTGTGTCCTGACAAAGATTGTTAAAAAGCAATAAAGATATGATGCCTGGTGCTTCAACTAAATATGACTGTATTGATGTGTCCTTTCTTCAGAAAAGAGATTCTACAATATGCAACACAATTCGGACACAATAACCTCATGTGGAAATTCAAATATATCAGTATGTCAACTTTTTGTTACAAAGTGTGTGTGAAGTTTACAGTTATTTCAAGTTTGGAGCATTCGGTATGGTTTGGCCAATCGGCTTGTTACGCCAAAGTTAATCATATGAGGATACACACATGCATGCACGTACACGTGTGTGAGAGGTGTGGAACGGTGGTATCTCTTATAAGGACAGGAAAGGGAATGTCACTCCCACAGCTCAAAACAAAACAAGCCCTCCCGGCCGTGCAGAGCTACACTGTAGGTCACCTGCAATATATTCTGCCACTCACAAGGACTTGAGAGTAGACAGCCCAAACTCAAACAATCAGCAGCTGTTTGGAGATCAGCTGAAAACAGCCGTGGACATGGGGGAGACGGACTCGCCATCCAGGGTACTTGCTGTGCGGAGGGAGGTTCTGGATGAATTACGCCTGGATGAAGTGGCTCAGAAAGGGACCTGGTCCACCAAGCCAACTCTAAATGAACGGATGAAGGAGTCGCTGAGGTAAAATTTGGAAGGAGGTGATGCAGGGGATGGATGCAAAGGAGAAAAACACAAGCTGCGATGGGATTCGTGAAGTTTTAAGTAGCTGTCAGTAACTGCACACCAAGTCTGTCAAAATGAGTAAGGATTAAAGAAAAATGTTAATTGATATGGATTTCACATGCTTTATCAAAGGTTGCAAGGACTTAAGATTAAAAAAAAAGACACACATGAAATCCCCAGGGAACCGTCCAAAATCTTAGATGAGGTGTTTACCCTATGACGTTGCCCAGTCATTTTTTAAAACATGTTCTGGGAAATTTATCTGAATTTTCATATGTTAATAGAAGAAAATAGTAGTGTATCAACACACTGGTGTTATGAAGACTGTTGCTGCTTTTCAAGGTCAACTGATAAAAGCTGCTGCAGCTGATACAGTTCACAAGTCTCCAGTTTGTCTCCTTCCTAAGAAAATGTTTTAGAAAGCATGATACATTATTCAGCGATTCATAAGTAGGCACATTTAAAACATAATCTTCTTTCAGTTGTACACAAACGAGAGAAGTGGTACTGAAACGCTGCACGCTGAGTATTGCTGTGATGCCTGTTTCAGGTGTTCCGGGCCCAGACTAAAGCAATCCCTGCTGAGCTGGATTCCTGTTCTCAGCTGGCTGCCTAAGTACTCCTTCAGGGATTACGCCTTAGGGGATCTGGCGTCCGGCTGTAGTGTGGGCATCATGCATCTGCCACAGGGTTTGTATTCAGAACTTTTTACACTGGATTGAGTTCATCCTCACATCATACAAATAAAACTTTGAAGACTTGTTCTTTAACAGCCTTCTTCAAATTTGGAGATATATTCGATTTTTTTGGTGGGTTTAACTTGGAGCACAGGCAGAAAGCATTATAGCAACCCTGGCTCCATCTAAATGCTGAGACAACAACACTGCAGTATGACTCTGGTCAGATGTCACAATGGTAGTAATGCATTTCCTCGCTGTATCAATTAAAAAAAACTGTAGAGCAAAAATGTCAAACAATTGTTGGTTTACATTTTCAGTCATCCAGGTCAAGGTAGTCCTTTTAACTTTTTTTTTTACCCTTAACACTTTAAAAGTCAATCGTGTACCTACTTTATCTCCAACTTCAATAGTGTTGTTTCAGGGACAGGCCGTCTCACTCCAGTTGTTTCCTCAGGCATGGCGTACGCTCTTCTGGCTTCATTACGTCCAGTGTTTGGCCTTTACACGTCCTTCTACCCAGTGCTAGTCTACTTTATCTTTGGTACTTCCAGACATATCTCCGTAGGTGAGTGGAAACGCACGAGTGAGGAGTGAGGAACAAACTGTTACATCCTTTCGCCTTTGTGAATGAGAGAGCGTTTGTTTTGTCTGTCCAGGAACATTTGCTGTGGTCAGCATCATGGTTGGGAGTGTGACAGAAAAACTGGCACCAGACAGTAATTATATGGTAAATGGGACAAATGGGACGGTGGATTTCGATGAAAGAGATGCAGACAGAGTGAAGATAGCCTGCTCCCTCACACTGTTGTCTGGGATATTTCAGGTTGGTGTTTCTCTTTATGGCCATTCCGCTTACACACTCACAACTTTAAGTCAGCCTTTAAGTCTGTGTCACAAAATCTTTCTATTTCCCCACTTTTGAATACTTTGCTCTCCTCATTTTTTCATCCTAAGATCCTGTTGGGGGTGGTGAAGTTTGGTTTTGTGGTCACCTACCTGTCTGAGCCTCTGGTTCGTGGCTACACAACGGCGTCCGCATGTCATGTGTGTGTCTCTCAGCTGAAATATCTGTTTGGAGTGACGCCAGATCGCTTCACCGGTCCTCTCTCTCTTATTTATGTGAGTATGCTGTGGTTACCTGAAAAAAATTACTCTTTGGCTTTGTCTAAATGATTCAATCAGTTAAACCATTCAGGTCCCAAAAATGAATGCACCATTGGAAAAGAAATGGGAAACAGTTTCCAAAACCGTACTTTCAAACTAGCAGCCCATCACCCTCCACGGTAACTGTTATTTAAGTGCAGCAACCTAAGAACCTTAAGAGCTCCGTAATTGAACCAACATCAAGCAGGATGAGTCACCTCTCTGCTACCTCAACAGGGACTTAGGGTCACAAGCGGAAGAATAAATGCAGAGCCAAGAAATAGATGAAGACATTTTTGGAGGTTTCATAGACAGTTAAGATGAGAGTGAATCTTGATGGAGAGACAGATACTGGTTCTATACTGATGGAGAAAGGCTTGAGACAGGTTTGAGTAAGACAGCAGAGGGGGTGAGTAGGTGTAACAATGTGGGCTGCTCTCTTTTGAATTAGTGGGCCTCTGCATGCTCTGGCAGTAGTAAAGAAAATCATATCAGGCAACCCAAGTAGACTCACGTGGAACACAGTCTGCACAGAGTTGACCTATCAATTGCTGTTTGCAAGATTAATTGCTTTACAGCACTGATTGACTTAGATAGGGTTAAATTCTTATGTAATTCAAAATCTCCACCTCCTCCTGTGATAATGAACATTGCAAAAGGGACTTATATTGCATTAGTATCTAACAGCAGTTATCAGAAGACCCTGCAATTAATTCACCACATGTGTATGACTAACTAAGGCTCACAGGCAACGTGACCAAACCTACAAGAAACCAGTCAATGTGCAGTCAAGTTGTATACTTGCAGCTGTATAGTTGCAATTACAAATGCTTTGTGGACTGAGAAAATCAGGAGAACTTGTAGAAACAATTGAGAGATTATATTAGTGAGAACAGTAAGAACAGAGACAGATCTGCCCTTTGAGTTATCATGTACACAGGAACTCTGCATCTCTTATTTGTTTGTTTTTTCTGTTTTGTTCTGTCAGTGATGGTGTCTGTCCTGCTCTGCTTTCCTCACAGACTCTGGTGGATCTCTGTGGACTGCTTCCTAAGACTAAGGTTCCGGAGCTCGTGGTCAGCCTTGTGGCGCTCGCTGTGCTCATTACAGTCAAAGAACTCAATGCTTGCTACGCAAAGAAGCTGCCTCTGCCAATTCCAATAGAGCTCATAGTTGTGAGTCTTCCATTTTCACTCAGGCATCCAGCAGTACTATTTTCAGTCCAGCAGGGGGCACAATAAGAGCAATTATCATATGGGACTCATAGGGAGAGCTGACAGAAAGAGGGGCTTTGGAGCGGAGGGTAATGATTCACTAAAGTACTCATATTTAATCAGAATAATTATTTCCTTTTTCCCAAACAGATCATTATAGCAACAATCACTACCCACTTTGGTGGACTCCGTGAAGAATATCAAATTGATGTGGTTGGAGAGATTCCCAGTGGGTAAGATCATCTCTGTAGTTGTGAAACGCCTGTGTTGACAAAATACAATGACAGGGAGATGGGAAGGGCAGCACAGGGAGGACTTAGGGACAAAGATCACCACATTTCATAAAAGTGAGATGTTCCGATGAAGAGAGAAAGTTACACCCGGCACAGAAACATAATCGAGATGTTTTGTAAGCCTCCATCATAAGTCAAGTTTGACCTAATTCCGTCATGGATTATTGTTATAAAAACAAACTTGACGTGCACCTGACTTTGAACTGAGACTCATTGAATTCCATTTCAGCTTTTTTCCCCCGCAAAAGTCAATGTTGACAATAGGGTGTGTTTCTGTGTGTCATGGATAAAAATTTAGGCTATTCAACTGTTTCCTCCTGTTTCAGGCTCCAGCCCCCGCGGGTGCCAGATGCCACTTTATTCTTAAGTGTTATAGGTGATGCTTTTGCTGTGGCCATTGTGGGCTATGCCATCAACATTTCTCTGGGCAAAACATTTGCCCTTAAACATGGCTACAAGGTGGATAGCAACCAGGTGAATAAAGCACACATCCACGTTCACACTATGGGATCTCCGATCAGTTGGTGCTCCTCCTGACTGAATAAGACAGAAGTGAAACTTTTATTTTACTCTTTTGTCACTTGGTCACACATCTCACATTAAGAGAGAAATTATTTGAGTTGCCACGGATCAAACCCTAAGAGCAGTTCTTATCAATTTTGCTGCTCCTAAGTTCAACAACAAAACATTTATTAATTTGGAAAATAGCCCTAAGAGTCTTACAGAAGCAAATGACAGATAAGGTAAATATTGTGCTCATTTCAGTAGGGTCATGTTACAGAGTAAAACCTGTTTCCTTCTTTTTCCATTGTCTTCTGTTTATACATTCCTGATGTAGAACTGTTACATAAACTGAATTATAACTGAATTATATATACAAATGATTGATGTTCTTCTGATTGCTACCTCAAACCAATCTGTGTGCTGTTTTTACTTCCACACCAAAAAGAGTTTCTCCCCTCTCGCACATTATTGTCATTGCACGTGCTTTAGTTTCTCTTAGACCTTTGGCTCGGATCCTTGCGCTTTTGTTTCTGAGCCTCCAAGAGCAGGCTTGCTAAATCATTGATGCCTAACGAGCTTTATGCAGTCAAGTGTATTAAAAATGCTGGAAGCTGCTCTTAGTGTGGCGGTAGGTCTGTGTTGACCAAGCTTCATGAAAATGAAACTGTCATTGACCATAAATCATCATAGTGTACATGAACTGTATGTTATTAATGAGATCAAATAGCAGTCCACACAGTGGAGCTTTGTACTGTCAAATATTGTTTTTCATTATTTAAACTTAACATCTAATTCAAATGTTGTTTCTGTTTTACTCTCTTTTCTCTCCCCCAGGAGCTGGTTGCTTTGGGTCTTAGTAACACAGTTGGTAGCTTTTTTCAGTGCTACTCTGTGACTTCCTCTTTATCACGGAGTCTTGTCCAGGAGAGCACCGGGTCCAAAACACAAGTAATAACAAAATACATATGGCCTTAAGTACACGGGGAAGCTTGAAAAACAAATACAAACAAACGTCATGAATGCTTTTTAATGCATTAATTACCTTCTCACAAGTAACAAAGGAAAACTTAAATAAAGTCTTAGTTCTGCACTGGAAATGGGACACATCTGTTGGTCATTGGTGTTTTGGCATAATGCAAAAGAATTGAACTTCTGAATCCCTCAAATTGATTTACTCGATTGAATATTATTTGGTGTTCATAGCTCTGCTTTGTCTCTGTGTTTTGTCAGGTTTCAAGTGTGGTCTCCTCTGTTATTGTGTTGATCACACTTTTGAAAATAGGTGCCCTCTTTGAGGCTCTCCCAAAGGTAAAACTCTGCTTTTAGCACCATTTTTCAGCAACAATCAGTAGTTCTGGCATGTATAGGTACCAGTAAGGGTTGTGGAAAAATGATTAATCCATCTTTTTGTTCCTTAGGCCGTCTTATCCACAATAGTGTTTGTGAATTTGAAAGGAATGTTTAAACAGTTCACGGACATTGGCATGCTGTGGAAAACCAACAAAGTGGACTTGGTGAGACTTGAACTGTACTTCCTGCTCAGCTGAAAACTGCTTGGTCTTTCCTCTATTGAGATTCCTACTCAGTGTCCTGTTCCTACTCTTCCCTGTGTGTAGCTGGTGTGGCTGGTGACCTTTGTAAGCACCATCCTGCTTAACCTGGACCTGGGTCTGGCTGTCTCCATTGGCTTTTCCATTCTCACTGTCATCTTCAGAACACAATTGTAACTACACACTGCCAGTTATCAATTATTGAACCAGAATGTGCACATATTATATTGGAGTTTAATGGGTTTTCATGGGGCTGCTGGGCTGTGCTTCTGGCAATGACATTTTATTACATTTCAGACCCCGCTACTCTATTTTGGGCAATGTAGCTGGCACTGAGCTGTATCTGGACACAGACACCTACAAAGAGGTAAGAACAATAAAAAATAATTAGTATTTACACTTAAAGGCTAAGCTGAAAGACAGAAAATCTTACTTTCGCTTGTTTTAACCATGGGATGATCTTTAGATAACATTTAGTTGATAAAACAAATGGTGGAACACTTTACAGAACAGTACATATTGCTGATAGTTTTTTAGTTTTGGCAGCCTAACCTTATTTTGTAGCCTTAGCTGGCTGATTGCAGAATGTTAGTGCACTTTAAAAAGTGATTTCAAAGTGGCACTGGCAGCTTTGGTTGAATATTTCCATTAGTCCTGTGTACATTGGACAGCTTTATTTTTCTGTGAATACCACAGGGAAAATTCACATCACTATGGAGGATGTATGTTGGGAACTGAAACCCAAAAAGCATTACATTTTATAGTCAAGTTACATATCGCTTACTCAGTATATATGGCAGACTAAAAAAATACATGCTTTTTTGTCTGGATTCTTTTAAATACAGGCTAAAGAGATTCCAGGAATTAAAATCTTCCGCTCATCTGCAACCATCTGCTACACAAATGCTGAGATGTACTTGGAGGTCCTTCAAGAGAAGGTGGCGTCCCCATGTGATGTTACCCTTCTGCTGTTTACAGCGCCTTTAGATCCTTTCATTATCTCTTCCTCTTGCCTCACTTTCTCTCTGTCTTAACTGTGACGATTGCTCTTTTCCCGCAGAGTGGAGTCGACATCGGGAAGCTGCTGACACAGAAGAAGAAAAGAGAAGCAAAGGAGAAGCGTAAAGAACAAAAAGAAAAAAAGAAAGCTAAAAATGAGGCACAGAAACAAGTAAGATATCTAAAAAGACAGATGAATAGTGCTAAGTCCAGTAAAATGCCCACCACTGTATTCTAAATTTCTTTTGGTATGTTTCTCATTCTTATTTCCATCTTTTGCTAGAAAAAATCCCACAACCACCACTCCAATACCAACAACTCTTTGAAGGAAGCTGAGCTGAATGAGGATTATGCAGAAATAAAAGAGACAAGCAATCAGAATGGAAAACCTTTAAGCCTTACAAGCTCAGCAAATAACAGCCTCAGCAGAGGGCAAGTAAACTGGGCTTACGAATATGACACACCCAAAACAGACTCAAACAAAAGTTGCCATGTTCAGGCTGCCAGATCAGGCACGCACAGCATCGTCCTAGACATGTGTACAACCAGCTTTGTGGATACAGTCACTGTGAAGATGCTGAAAAATGTATGTCTATCACTGCATTATCTGACAATCAAAAAATGCATGACCCCAGTGGGGAAGCACTTTGATCTAGAATTCTTGCTAGAAAAAGAGCAACAAACATGAAAAAAGTTTTTTTTTTTTTCTTGTCAGATCTTCAGGGACTTTGGGGCGGTGGAGTTAGACGTGTATCTTGCCGGTTGCCAAGGTAAGGGACACACTAGACAAAACAGAGACAGGGAATCACAACACGGCTGCTTTTGATAATGAATGCTTCAAGGTCTCGGCCCCCAGTGGCGCCTCCTTTCGTGAATGACAGTCTAACATAAATACATAATCGTGTAATGCTTTCCCTCTCATCATCATGCCTGCTCTGTTCTCATATTTTAGCCTGTGTGGTTGACCAGCTGGAAAGGGCAAACTTCTTTTCAGAGTCCATCCCAAAGAGCAGGCTCTTTGTCTCTGTTCATGATGCAGTGATTCATGCTCAAAGGAAACACAACCAGACAGACTTTATGCTTGTAAGTGGTCGAATTTTAAGTTTTTCATCATCACTGGTACTTAGTACTCTTGAATGTTTATATCCTAAAGCCTAAATCTTCATTTTTATTCCCCAGGATCTTTTTTGTGAGACCCAAATGTGACCACCAGGGGTCACCTTGTTCAAGCTCAAACAACCCCCCCACACACACACTCCCCTCCAGCAGAGTAGGTTCCATTGCGCACTATTGGTCGTCATAGTCTCCTCCCCTTTCAGTGGGGGAGAATGCACCACCTTGACATGGCGCCTGGTTGCCATGGGAATACAAGGAGCCGTTGTTGTGGCAACAGGCTTTTTATGATATGGTCTAATGAGATGGCCAGCAATACGTCATTGCAGCTCACTCACTTTGTTGTGTGTGAGAGATAGCGATTGGGCGGGGGTTGAGTGGGAGAATGTAACGCTGGTCTAATAGGAGTCTGTATTTATAGTCTGTTCGAGAAGCAGAGAGTTGACTGAAAGGCTGTGTTGCTGTGTTGAGAAGCACTGTGATTGGTGAGGCCCCATTGTATGTGCATCCAACTGTCTTGTCAGTCTGTACTCTTAGGGATATAAAAAAGTCAATGGTTTCCCACATTCTCTGTCAAAATCATTATATATGTCACTTATATCTGTGTCCCACTCGCTTTTATTTCTATATTACTCGTTGTGCGCTCCCAACTCAGATAATGTACAATAGCTGTTACATTTACGGTAAGTAGTGCAGCTTTTAACATCAGCAGCTTTTTCATTTATAATCAGCACTAACATGTAAGAATAAGCTGCCGTCTTTGCCTATAACTTTAAAGAAGTGGAGTTATCTGCCAGTACACCCAGCAGAGGGTAGGCACAGTTAAATGGAACAATATGTTTTCCACAGGTTGAATTAAATTTCAAAACAGCAGTAACAGCCCTAAGATGTTTTGTTTTCACTTTTTTACTAATTGAAAGAGAATTTGATGGCGCAAATGCTCAGAAGGTCCAAAGGGTGCTTTTAGATGTACATCTTCATGACCGATCCCATTGGATGAGTATTTTTTTTACAATATTTTGTGATTCAAGTATTGATTTCTATACATATGCAGATAATGATTATTTATAATAATAATTGATTAACCTTTTTTTTTTTTTAAATGAGACCATGTAAATAAAAACCCTTAAAAACACATAAAATACATCATCATCTGGTCATTTATTGCTTCTCTCTTTCCCCTCCCCACAACTCAAGTCTCCAGCTTGTTACAGAGTTCAGATGTTTCTCTTCTCCTAATGAGGAAGAATGATCAGCATTCCCTCCAAATATTAACACTAATTCACAGATCTACAATACACAGAATACTTAAAATAGTTCATAATACACGGCTGGAAATTGTGATGCATTGTCTCATTGTGATTGGATGTTTTTGTTTTTACAAATGGAAGTTATTTTTGGATGCTTAATTCAATGTCACGTCTAAAGGAAGATAACACTGTCACGGTCCAACAGGTACTCCACACAAACACATGCACATGCCCACACACAAACAGACAGGCACAGGCATACACACAGCGACACACGCACACTCATTCAGACTATGGAATATCAGCAGCTGATATGGGGTTTTTTCATTGAAGTGATCTAACCAGAATCTTTTAGGTTTCTGCTCATTTGGGCCAAGATGGCAGATGAGAAAAATGAGTCTTTTGAAACACTGACAGAAAGGGCAGGGGAGGGAAAATATTGCAACTACGGCAGACAAATCACACCCACAGGACGAGACTGGACGAGACAGCAGAAAGCCAGGGGAAAGGCAGCGAGGTAGAGTCAGAAAGCGGAGAAGAGAGTACGATTGTATGCGTGAGAGGGTGTTGCAGTTCTTTTCCAGTGTAATCTTTGGTCCTTTTGTCCAGGGATTTTTCGTAGCCTTAAATCTGTGTTTAGATGGTATTTTACTGGTGTAGGGGGTGTGTTTTTGTGTATGTGTGTGCTGATGTCAGTGCTCAGCTCATCAGATGACACTCTCAAAAAGTAGCGTACTCTTGGTTCCTGCAGGGGGCAGCAGTTTGGCCTCACTCTCTGGAGCAAGGTACTCCATGTGATGTCTGCCCCAGACTGGGGTGGTTAAGTGCTGCCATCGCTGCAGAGAAAAAAGGAAAGGGGATAATGTGCTATTGCTTTGAAACCTGTGCAAGAAGATACATATGAGGACGCATGACTACGCAGGAAGACTGACCTCTCGCAACGATCCTTTGCAGCGCAGCAATTTGTAGAGAACAGTGACAGGAATACAGAGCATGGAGGACAGAGCCAGCGCCCAGCCAAGTGCCTCACCCCAAATGGGGTATGTGTACACTGTGTTGTAGGTCAGGGGCTTGTAGTTCACCACGTGAAACAGGAACACTCCCTTAATGCAGACAAAAATCTCATTAGTTTTCCGCTGACAGACAAAGCTTACTGAGAAGCATACAAAGCAGCACGTACTACACAGACAAAGGGGGTGATGTAAGACCAACACCACTTCATGTAGGGTAGAGGCTGGTAGCCAATCATACGGGCTACATCGTCCATGAAACGATCCGCACCTAACAGGTGTGACACCAGGATGTTGATTTAAGTACATGTAACTTTCAGATTGTATTGACTTTACAACAATTCTTAGGTATTGACTTACCATAAACCCATGCAACAACAACACACTCCCAGAAGGCCTGCCACAACAAAGTGATCCCGCTAGCTGAGTAGTAGTCAAACAGCTGGAATACATACATCCCTCCCTGATGGAAACAGAGACAGTATTCACCATAAACAACAGCCTATAGATAATTTAGACAAGACAGTTTCCAGTCTTGTTTAGTCTGCCTTAGCATTTATTCCAGTTGTCAAATAAAAGTTTACAGTTTAAATCACAGCATTATTAATCAAATATACTTTAAGGCTTTTTTATGATCCACAAATCATGTAAATTTGAAGTTTACAATCAAAGGACATCTTAAATCGTCACTTTACCTCAGTGACCATGGACATGTCAATGAGGAAGCAGATGATGCAGCAGATGGCAGCAACCACCTCCCGTCGCAAGGAGCCCAGGGCAGATTTAGGGGGTAGCATGTCCATGATTCCTGTTATCAAACCTTCTACCCCTACAAACTGAACAGGGGCGCGAGGTCAAAGAGAGAAAAGGACACATTTGTCAGGAAACTGACTAAGGTAATCGCATGTGAAAATGTGTGTTCTGGACATAGATATTAGAATTTTTATCCAAGCAATATACTTGAAGACTACTTCAATACGTTCAGAACCCAAAGTACTTCGTACAGTGAAGAAATGGAAAACAGGAAACGTCATATAAATGATTAGGTGTTACAACATACACAGAGTTCTTTGTTTCAGCAAAGGGCAGCTTCTGGATCAACTGAGCGATTACTCTGCAACCCTCCCTCTTATACAATATTAGATGTGCTGCAACATGCATCTAATTGCAAGTGTCCAACACATAATTGATTTGACATTTTGACAATTTTGTTGGTGAACCACAGCTATCCAAAGTCTGCCCATCCAAGAATGTTTAGAGGACGTTTGAAGGAAAGTGTTTGTCATTAAGACAAACTAAGATGATAACTGCCAGCTATTTCAACATAAATTAATATAAATGCCAGTATAGTCTTTGGCTACATGGCAACTGCAGGAAGAAAAGAGAGGGAATGATAAATGGGGAAGAAATGAGGCAGGGAACAGAAAGCGAGACTAAATGAATGGTTTGGAGAGTAGACAGGCGCTCTCTGTGTGAATCAGACAGAAGGTCATTGACAAATCCCTGGGCTGTTAAACAATGGATGTAGGCACTGGCTCAAAGAGATACACAACAAACAGGGTGCTAATGCATACAATTCTAAAACAGGACGTGATGTATTTAGGCTGTTTGTGTAATTTTGTACAATAAAACTCAAATGTGATATGAAAAAAACACCACAATATTGAGGTACACATCAGCACACATTCCCTCGTGGTAAAAGTCTTTGTCAAACATTAAAAGTAGAATTCAGCATTACCTGACTGTCCAGGCCCAGTATGAGCAACATAAAGAAGAACAGTGCTGCCCAGAGTGGCGCCAGAGGCATCAATGTCACAGCCTTGGGGTAAGCTATGAAGGCCAAGCCTGGACCTGCATATAACAGAAAAAGAGACAGAACCTTTTGAGCAAATTAATCTCACTGTCAATACTTGAAAGCTTATATTTTGCAATTGGTGATCACATATTAGAGAGGATGTGTTCTCACCACTTTCCGCCACCTTGCTGATGTCCACTCCTTGTTCTGCAGCCATGAAACCCAATACCGAGAACACCACAAAACCAGCAAAGAAACTGGTCCCACTGTTTATAAGGGCCAAGACAAATGCATCCCTACAAAGAAATAAATAAAGCAATCAAAAAAAGAAGCAGAATGTGGAAAACATATGCTGTAGGAAAATATATATCACAAGGTGATGCATCATGAGCTTAAGTAACACGCTCAAGACAAACACACACAGAGGACATGAGCTGGGATAGCAAATTGGGGATCAATAGCCATTTCTCTGAAAGCTTCTGCTGTCTTTTTAGTTGGTAGGTAGAGAGAGAGCCGGTTGTATGCATCCGCCAATTAGTCAAGATGCACTCTGCATCCATGCTCCCATTTCATCTGTGAATGAGAGCTGACTGCCATCCAAGTCAAGGATCTAAGGATGGAAGGTTTATTACGGCTTGTACACGTCCTGAAGTCCAATGGGGAACATTTGTCTCATTCAATATTCAAGAATGTGCAAATGAAATCAGTTTGACTGGACTTTGTTAGGTTTGCCTCAAATATGGATGATGCTACATTAAAGCTTCACATGCATCTTGTTTGCTGCGAAGAACATCTAAGCAGCGGCTGCATCAAATATTTCAACATGGTTACATGTTTGTATTCAAGATCAAGCTCTTGCTAAAAAAGATATATAGATATAGATTGAAAGTAGCAGTGAGAGGAATCTGCATTAATCTATGTGATCAAAACTACTGACTTAAGAAAGGTGATGACAATCAATATGAAGTTTATATTTGTATTAGTTTGTCTGCCTTACTTATCAAACTAAGTGATAGAAAGTTCAACTCTAAGACAGTTAATTTCTTAGAGTTGACTTTAATGATGACTTTAATAATTCAGCTCGTGTTAATTTTGAAGCAGCAAATATTTATTAAAACATCCAAGGAAAGAGGAAAGTTGTACTGACTGTTTAGTATCATGAACAGAGGGTTAACACACATAACAGTAAATACAAGCTAAAGCTAAACATAGTAAGGATTTAACACAGTCTGGATTTAAAGTATGTCCCAAATCTTTTTATATGTTCACATAGCACCTAAAAAACCCTCTCCAGGAGGCCTTTCAGGATTATGCGGTATAAGTGGTGTCTGTGTATGGGTAGACCCATACAGATGGGGCAGGTATGTGGAAGTGAGAAAATAGAGTTGAGTCCATTTTTATACTCAAGTGTTCTCCGCAAGAACCTTTGTTACATTTCCCACACATGAATAAGAGAAAATGCCATGAATACCCTGAAGGAGATACGGTATGCTGAACACTAGTTTGTTATCAAAACAAGAAAGACTCACAATTCCAAGAAAAAGACCTGAGCTCAGCTGAGTAACAACACCACAGTAACTATGTATTTAATTTTGAGAAGAGAATGTGCTCAATGTGTTAATAGTAGTTAGTACATCAGCAGCACTCATTTAAAGACCAGAGTTGTGTCAAAATTATGCATTATTTCTGATACTCCACTCTGGACTGGACTACTGACAGATTGACAAATATGTAGATCCTTGAATCTTACCAGCCAGTGTTATTATATAAAACAAGTGTTATGACCCCAAAACCAGCTCTGTAATTTACTACTTATGGAAATCTGAAAACAGCCCAAACCAAGACTCTTCTTATTTCATGACCTACCATGGTGGATGTGAGAAACAAAGCAGACATACCTCAGAATAAACTCATCTTGAAATTTCCAATTTAGGTCATGAGAGTAATTGGCTGATGGTGAGATATTTATGTAGCCCCTTATATCATGATTCCAAACATGCTGGCAAGTACCAGCACTGAGATTTTCCAAAACAAAGTCCCTACTACTGCTATGGAGTTATGTAACTGTCTCATAAGGGTATTGATACGTTTACAGATCTGTTGCTTTGGGTTAAACAAACGCAAGAGCCTGAAGCAGTTAAAACAACTATAATGAGGCCAGTTAGAACCAGAAATCTCTAATCTTTATTTAGGGCAAAATGTGTGCTTTCTAAGCACTTATTACTACAGCCTTTCAGAATGCACAGTTAAATATGTGCTTGTAAAAATAAAACAGAAGTTTGAATATAAAGTGGCCTGCTTGGAAATGCATGTCTTCTGATATGATCGGGGATGTGAAATAATTCAAATGAGAGTACTGTGCTCTATGTGCCCATTTCATTTGTAGAACTATATTGTATATCTACGTGAAATAATCATTGTAGTAAATTGCACAGAACTTATGATGAAACCTTCGAGTCGAATTGAGTCTTGTCAAGGAAAAGAAAACAAGTTTTCTGGTGATTCATGAGATTGGTAGATAACCTAGTTTGACACTGCATTTCTCTACAAATGTAGAGAAAGAAAATGGATTTCTTGCAGAAAAATAATCATGCATCCACTATTTCAACTGTATTGCGAAGTACTTGAATCAACAGTCACATGCAGCAGGATTCACAGTGAGACCTTGTGTTGATGCTGGCCTAATTTCACCAACAGTAGAGTATAATTTTATGCTGTATGTAGACTCACTGGTAACAGTTGTTGTGGAAGCGATTGTAGCTTCCCAATGCAGTAAGGGCGCCAAGTCCGATGGCATAGGAGAAAAAAATTTGTGTTCCAGCATCAATCCACACCTGTTGTGAAAAGACATGTATGAGTAAACACAGTTCACACACTTTTGATCAATGTTTCTTGGACTGAAGTAGAAATCTGTCAAAACTCCTTGTCACAATACACTCCTGGGAACAAGTCTGCATTGAAACCCATTAATGAGCTAAAGCAAAAGGTAAACCTGTGCTTCTCCAAGCTTGGACCAGTCTGGTTTTAGGTAGTAAACAATGCCATCCAAAGCTCCAGGTAGAGTGACTCCATGGGCCAAAAGAACCACCAGAACCAGGTACGGAAACAGAGCTGTGAAGTACACAACCTACAAAGAAATGGAAAATTAGAGCAATGAAGTACATTTGTCGGATTTAAATAGGTGGGGAGGTGAAGTTTGTGTGCTATATGACAACTTGCATTAAGTGGAGGGAAAAAACTCAACTCAGATGAAGTAATACATAAAAATATGTAATTGTGTGTGAATAGTTTGTGTGTGACTTCACCTAAGGAAAGCCTAAATATGGTTCTGATCACTTTGATTAAGCAATTACCTGCTTTGCAAATACTCAAGTCAAAAGTAGAAGCCCATTAGGTCCTTCCTGTAGTAGATGTGTAATGGGGCCTGTCATGTTACTTTGAAGAAAAGGTAGCCTGTGAATGGAAAGCCAGACAATTTGTAAACCTCCTGCAATGGCAGGGGTTTTTGGCAGACCTTTTCAGAAGGTATTCTTTGTCAAAATATGCTGAGAAATCCACCCTGTTACGTGGTAAAAGCATCAACTCCCAGGCTCGTGAGCTTGGCAAAGGTAAATTATTGAGAAAGCACACATTTGTGTTGATCGAAAGGAACATGGGCAGTAAAGCCCCTTTCCAGCTTTCAAACATCTACATGGTGGAAAGTTACTAATCAGCTTACAAATGGCTGGCTCAGTCTCTTTCTTTATTTTTTCCCCTCACTGTATGAGCTTTGGCTACTCTGGAGACTAAAGTATGCAGACACAGCCATTTTCAGAGCTAAAAAATAACTGTGTGTTTATTATGTCAATGCATCAATGCAAAGAGTTTCAAAATAAACACATATTTTTATTAATTGTGCATGTAGATTATTACATAATAGAGATACAAGGATCAGTTAAGATTATGGCTGCATTGAAAAAGAAAATACAGAAATAAGCCGGGAATCACGTGTGCTTACTGTATATTGTGCTTAAATCATTATAGTCTAGACTCTGATCCTCTTTCTAGACTAAAGCTGATTTGGTCAGAGCACACATCAGAAATATTCAAACATTTGCATGAAGGCATGCAAATATAAGTCAGTACAGCATGAACTCAGACATGGTATACAAATAAAGCAGTAAATATTTATCTGTATTCCACAGGCCTGAGCACTAATGTTACGAATGGTGCTTCCAGAAAGCATTTTACCTTTCCTGTAGACTTTACTCCTTTCCACATGCAGAAATAAACAATGATCCAGGTGGCAACAAGACAAAGCACCATCTCATAGCTTATGTCACCAGGTTCGTGCAGACCTCCAGACAGACGAAGTACTTTGCGTCTAGATGGGGAAACAAAGAATTGTGCCGATGAGACATAAAAAACAATGCAAGTGTACACGCATGACAAGTAAAAAAAATGCAATAACTTTATTTACATATGAAATCAGGTTTATGTATGTATTTAAAATATGGTAAAAACAATGACCATAAGCAACAGAATCATTTGGAAATCTATACAAAGTCCTTATATAACACTAATCAAATGTTATGAATCAATTACAACTAAGTGTTGAGATCAGTGAATGTGTCTAAAGAGCACGAAAGTCAAACGGTAACATACTCCCAGAACTCAATGACCGGAGAGCGCAAACCCTCAGCCTCCATGCAGCTGCCATTGAGGAGCAGTTGGGGCAAAGACACATTCAGCATGGACACAGTGGAGGGGAGGTCGGAAGGGGAGGCAGCAGATGTCGGCAGAGCAGGCTGGGCAGCACTCCGGTTGTGGCAAGTACGTCTGAAGTCCTGTGTACAGTTAGGGGTGTTCCAGGGGTGTCCACAGGTGGCCCAGGGCAGTGGGTTTGTGAAAGAGTGGAAGAGAAAGTAGAGGCCCCACACCAGAATCATAATGTAATATGTGTTACAGAAGAACACAATCACCATTGAGGCCAGGCCCAGACCTAACAGAGAGAGGGACGCATGTGGAAATTTTACAGAAAATAATGTGGAGGGAGTTTAAAACTATTTTTCATTAACATGGAAGGAGGCATGGATACCTTTAAAGAGTGGTGCAATATTCCATGCAGAGACCCCCCCCTGCTTCATGAACTGGCCCAGTGCAATCTCCAGGAAGAAGACGGGGATGCCCCCAATGAACACAATCAGCAAGTAAGGGATCAGGAAAACCCCTGCAACACAAACACAAAGGAATATAGATGGAACGTTATGGCCGAGTAGAGATAGTTTCCATAGTGGAAAACATGGCCATGTATCAAATGAAACCACTGACACAATTTCAATAACTAAGGAATGATGGTACTAGTGAGCACAAATACTGAAGACATAAGCAGGTCAGACATCAACATGGCTCTTTGTATTTGGCATTTGAAACAACAAACAATCAAAACAAGGAGGAAGCAATAAAGGACAAAAGACAAACCAAGGGAGGGGAAGGCAAGGCTACAGATAGAAGATACAGAGAAAATCTATGTGGGAGATAATCTTCCATTCCTCAAGTGTTTGAACATTTTTGGCAAGTACAGAATGGGCTTTGAACTGAAGCGAGAAAGGATTATTGAATAGACTCAACTGTAAGACAATACACTCATGCAGCAAAAAATAAATGCAGGATTTGTTCATTTTGTTTACTTATCAGATTGTGAGTTGTGCTGTTCTAAAGGCTTTTAGATTATCATATTGTTGCAGCAGCACACACTGACCAGCAGAAAACCACAAATAAGCCAGGGCCATTTTATTCATGACATGGAATTTTTAATATAACTGAGTGATGCAAACACAGTGCGCAGATGGAAGGAGTCATGTGACCAGCTATGACGCAGAGTAGAATGAGGCCAAGAAGAAAGGAGGGAAAAATGGATGGGTGGAAGGGGAGGTAGGTAAAAAACTGGGACAACATTGTGGCAGAGAAGCTTTGACAAATAACTAAAGTGACACTCAAAGGTGTTAACCATTTGAGCACTGCAACAATGTTACAGAATGAAAGTGTATGTCTCATTCAACTCGTCATTCTCTGAGAGTAGAGCTTTAGCCATATAAGGAAAGATTCGTGAGTGTGAGTCTAAGACAGAAAGGGGTGGGAAGAACAGGAGATACGTGGAAAGGAGGAGAGTGAAAAGGACAGAAAATAGTGTAAATGCTTGCGCTGATATTTCCCAACATATTAACCAAATCATGAAAGAACAGCGTTCTTAACAGGCTTAAGTAAATCCTCTTTAATCATAACTGGACAAGACACATCAGGCCAAGCAGCCGAGACAGGGCTAAACCAATGATCTGCAGAGCATGAATTCCTTACTTTCGTAGCACTTTCATTGATTCTGAACCAGAGTGACTACTAGGACAAGTTATAACACTAGAAGTTCCTGCATTTTCTTTGCGTTAGAAGCTCTAACTTTGTTGGTAAAGAGTATACCTAGTGTGGTGGATGAGACAGTGCTAAGGGGGGAGAAAGGGCTTGGCACAGTCACATCATGGTTATTGTATGACATATCCATATGCCTCCTTATCAGGACAGTATCAGGACAGGATCCGGATTGCAGAAAGCACCTCTGTGTGCCTCATGAGTGCTGTGCAGGCGCACAGGGGGTGGACTGTGTGAGGCAGGCCATTGTTATATGATACCAGAAGGTGGGTATGAGAGCCGCCAGTCACAAGACACATACACATAAGGGAGAGGGAGGGAAACACATTCATACACACACACACACACACACACACGCACACGCACACACACACACACACACACACACACACACACACACACACACACACAATTCTAACACATTCAGTTTTATTTCAAATGAACACTATAAAATCTCAAGAATGGGTAGGGCAGTGATAAGAACATTCAAGGCCAAAAGCAGCTGTCAGGTGAAGTTACTACAGAGGACTATGACATCTCGCCTACTAAAAAGGAAATGTAATAAAACGACCTTGTACGTGAATGAGAGCAGAAGGAACACTGTGGGGCAACTTGCACTAAGTCTGTCTGTTGAGCAGTAAATGGCTATAATAAATAAAAAGCACCACGTGAGGAGGCACAGCTTTTGGACTACGTGTTCACAGACACGCAGGCTGTGCTTACAGTATTATGTCTCCCTATGTTGCCTTCACTGTTGCCCTACATAAAATCTGTTATATACTGATCCCAAGAAAGCGACCAATTTATTATTGAAATTTGATTTTAGTTTGGGAAAGCTTAAATGCTTAACAATTGTTTTCTGATTTAAGGTCAGTATTTTACAGAATCAGATTTACATATCGGGTAGATATGTTAAGTCCTCAAGGACTGAAACACTATCCAGCTCCCGTGGATAAAGTACTTCCTCTTCAAAGGACACAAGACAGTTAGGACTCACACTTGAAAAGGAGAAGTTATGAGAACACTGGCTTTGCTAGATCCCAAAACTGTGACTGATAACACCAAGCAAAGGTGGTTGCAGGACTTCAATGCAATTAGTTGTCTTAAAGTACTGGGATAGTTATGTTTTTAGGTGATATCAATATTAAATTTCAAGAAATAAGGTTGGATCAGAATAGACTGACACCGTCGATCTGAATGCTGTACTCCGCAAGTTTTCATAAGAACCAGCGGAAACTAAGAATTGCATGAACTGCTCAGACAGGCCCATCCTCATTAAGAATACACAGGTGTCAGTGACTGCAAGGTAAGCAAGTTAACTGCAAGTGCTGCATGTTCCACACACAATCTATATGGCTGGATGCATAACAGATTTATTATTGTATTATTAACCTTAATAATAATCGCCTTTATTTGCACAGTCTTTTTCACAGAAGAGTCGTATCTTGAATGCTTTGCAAACACCCACTAAACAAATTAAGATGTGTGTGTGTGGTGAGGGTAAAATGTCAGTCGCTGGAGTTATACTGATTAATTTGAAACTAATAAGTAACAGCTTGGCAGAACATTACCTGAGCTCAGTGTGGATTTTTAGAGGATGTACACATGTAAAGCCCAAACAATAGATTCCCTTGATTTTAGTCAAAGTTATTTTCAAGCGAATTACATGTAGCAAGTTGAAAAAAGTTTTTAAAAAAACTGCCCCACCAAAAAAAGCAACACCTTGATTTAAATAAGAAAATGTTCTGGGATGGGAGTACATTAATTCATGAGGTCAAGATCTGATGTGTTACATGACTAATTAATTAGATCAGTTTGATGCTGTAGATTCTCTGTCGAGCAAGTCTTAGTAATCCTTAAATAAGGCTAAGCAGATTTCTTGGATCTTACAAATGTTTCAAGATACTTTTTCACTTTATCATCTACTATCATCTCATAATAAGAGGGGTTGTTCACACTTGCCACATTGTTATAGTCATAGTCATGTGTCACTTATCTTTGTGTAAGTTAAGTCATTGTGACCTATAAATTGCTAAAATGTCTGATAGAGCAAGTCAATTCAACTGACTTTGTAAATACAGTTAACAACAAGCTTTTTCCATCAAAATATGTTTTTTCTAGATCATTTTCCCTGATGGAAATGTTATATAGTCAGTCTGTCCTGAGCGAAACAATGCCATGATTCATCAGCTTGAAATTGTGAAAAATAGGTTCAAAGAGCATGAGAGATCATCTTCACATAATTTAAACTCACTGGGAATCTTTGGGATGTGCTGCGGAAGACTTTGCCTACATCCAGAACAAATCATGTAACTCTGGATGAAAAAGACTAAGGCGGGATTTCATAAGCTTCATAAGCATGTGAGCCGTAATTGAAGCTAAAGATGGTTCCACTGAATATTAGAGTGTGGGACTTTTTTGGGACATTTGTATTCTACAAGGAAGAGAATAAATAATGTGTAATGATTCTTAAAAAAAACCTGAGAACTTAGGAATTGCTATTGATTTATCAATAACTATGGGCTGAAAATAGCAGGTCTGATTTTTCTTTACTGAAATATAAATCGATTGTATAACCAGGATTTATAATGGAATAATTTAATCAAAATGTGTCACAGACCTCAAGATTTTATGAACAAAATATTTCCTCCAGTGGGTGCACTGGCACAATTGTTGAAACGTCCTATATTTGTAATTTTTTCAAACTAATCTGGAATTGCAACCAAACAAAGAAGAACAGCTCATAAATTCATGACCTTGGTAATATTTTTTTTGCAGGCAAAACAGAGACACTCACCTCCTCCATTCTTGTAGCAAAGGTAAGGAAACCGCCAAACGTTTCCCAATCCAACAGCAAAACCCACGCAGGACATGATGAAATCCATCTGTCTGGTCCAGGTTTCTCTCTCCACAGCTGGTCCTGAAACAGCCCCATTTCCAGTGGCAGCTGCAGCCCCATCCTGGCTCTGTGGAGGGCCTGCTCCCCTGTTCTCACCACAGCCCGGTCCTGCACCAGGCACCGGCACCAAGGGGCGAGCTGACCCCCCGCACTCCTCCTCAGACAGAGCCCCTGCCTCCAACTGAGAGACACTGATATCACCTAGACAGAGAGAGACAAGAGGGGTCAGGTCAGAAAGAGGTGATAAGCTAAGTCAGGAAGATAAAAGCAGAATGAGCATGTTTGAGTACCCTAGTTAAGAATTAAAACATCAAACAAATAAACAAACATCTCATCTTGTACATTTGTACTGGAGAAATTAATTAGTTTCTTGGTCCAGATGTACTGATTTAAAATAGAATATGCTTTTAATTAACAGCAAGGAAATGCATCTAACCTTAAAAATTCACTGGATTTTTTTGTATATTAAACTGCCAACATTGCATTGCAGTATACTGTCATCACTGAGCCCTCCCCCGATTTCCATTGCCTCTGACTCTGTCTCACAGACAGTGATTAGTGTGCTGCACCACAACACAGCAGAGGTCTGCCTTAAAGGTACAAATGAAGCCCCTTTGTTACTCACAAAGCCTTCATTTCCTCAGGTTAACCACTGTACAAAGCACAGACATTCTTAAAAGAAAAGGCACCATCGAGCCGGTACATTTGTAGCATTCCATGGTATCAGTATTCGCCGCTGTGTCATAGATGCAAACCAAGGCAGATGAATCCAGATCAGAGCAGTTTGAGGGGGTGTGTGATCAGAGAAGATAGTGAGAGGGATGGAAGTATCTGTGGACCATCTTAAGGACAGGATATCTGCGGTTTCAGCTTAACATTGTGCAGAATAGTTACAGTGAATAAATGTTACCTAAAAAATCCAAGTAAAAAATAAATGAGAAGCCTGGTCTCAATACACAATACTGGTAACAATGTTGGATGCACGCTGATTAGTCACCTTATCACAAGGTGGGTAGACCTTACCAAAATGAGTGGAGATTACCTAAAGGTAGCTGCATATATTTTTGGGTTGGGTAGAAAAACATAATAGTAGCTTCATAATGTAAGTAGAACAGTTAAATGTACCATATTCAGTTGCTGTGTCTGGTAGTGTATGCATGATGTGATGGACAATAAAGTCAAGAGCAGGTTGAAAGGCACTAGTGTCAAATTGTTATGTCACCACTGTAGAAGAAGTAACAGGAAGGATAATATTCACACGTATACGTTACATTTCCTAAAATATATTTATAATCATTTGGCAAACAAAAAAGTAATTACAAAGCACTCCAGGTCCTAGACTCACCTTGGCTGTTCTCTTCCAACTCTGGGGACATATTCTTGGATAGCGGCACAAAAATAATTTATATTTCACAAGAGCTCGTTTTTGTTCTCTTTTTCAGTCAAGGGGGGAGCCGAAGTTTTAACAATGCCCGGCTAAAGAGGGCAGCGGCAGGGCTCAGAGTGGCAGCCAGAGATGTAACCACTATGTACAGTGCTCCGGTCGTCTTTGTGATTTTCTTTTTTTTGAGTTAGTTATTTCTTCTTGCTGAAATAGAAAAAAATCTCAGTTTTTTTTTATATCACACGTTGGAACCCCTCAGCTCAGCCAAGAGATGGTAAAATGTCACAAAGCGCCGCGGTCCGTTCAGCCGTTGAAAGAGGAGATTCAAAAGCAGTCGACGAAGCACTTGAAGGTAAGCCTGAAGAATCTCATGGATAACCGTTAAATGAAAATGATACTACGCTTTAGAGTAAATAATGTTTTGGGGGAGTCGTTTGAGTCAACAGCCTAGTCAGAAGTCCATGACTCTGTCCGGGATATCGCGGTTCGACGACCGAAGAATGTGATCTGCTGCTCTCCTCAGCGCGTCCGTTAGCCGTGACGGGCTCCCCCCGCCTCCCGCCGCCCGCCGCCCGCCGCCACACGTGATTGGCTGAGGAGAGCCCAGTGCGGGCGACCAGCATCAGCAGCACAGTCATGAGCACTCACAAGAATCGCAACAGAACCGTGCATACGTCCTTGACCTGACATCATGAAAATAATATAGCAGAACAGTGTTGAGAGCAGAATCTGTTGGCTTCAGAGTAGTAATGTTCATTTGTTCTTTATCTATAGGGGGCGGTGAATGTTTTTTACTGCTATTTCTGGTAATGGTGAAACAAGCATTCAGATGCTTGAATTAGGCAGAGTAGAAACACCAAGACACTGCTAGAACTTTTACTACCAGTAAAACCCATGCTTGAATATTCAGTTTGAGTCCAATACCTGCTAACAGCAACATTTAGTTTAGTAAAAGTATCAATTTGATGCACCATTATGAAATCACATCATTACAAATACAATTCCATGTAAAATGGTTACACGTGTAACTGTTTTAGTGGTGATCAAAACTTTTGCCAACATATTGTGTTTAAGATTTTCAATCTGTTATGTAAAATCTCATTTGAAAAAGAAAAAATAACAAAAGAGAAAACACAGAGTACAGCCACTCGTCCATCAAACTGCTCAAGTTTGCGGATGACACCATGTTCCTGGGCCTCATCAAGGCAACAATAAGACGGCGTACAGGGACACGGCGTCACAGCTGGCGTTGGTGTGCACGCAACAACCTACAGCTCTACGTCAACCAGACGGTGGAGATGGTCATGGACTTCCGCAGGAATCCTACCCCCCAACCCCCACTTCTCATCCGCAGCTCCACAGTTCAGGTGGTGAAATCTGTGAAGTTCCTGGGCACTACCATCCCCAGCAACCTCAAGCTGGAGACACACTCGACCTAGGTCATCGAGCCTCCAACAGGAGCCTGTGTGTGTTCTGCACAACAGAAGATCCCAGCAGAGGGCTTGGAGGATAGTGGGGGACCCGTCTCACCCTGCTCACACCCCTTGAAGGTTCAGAAAATGTTAACATTCAAAACTAGTAGGTCATAACTGGATTCTGAATAATTCCCAACAAGCACCAAGGTGGAAGGGAATCCTGAAAGTATAAAAGGGGCCCCGAACTCTGCGTATTACTAATTCAGCCCCAAAAAGTATAACACAAACATTTTATAAGCATTCCACACCTTGCCATACTGTCTCTCACAATTCCAGTGATGTCACTGAGATGATGTACCCGTCATTAGTTTAACATGCACTACATATTATAGGTTTGCATAACTCAACTTAGTATAGCTTTGTGGTTCTTTATTGTAATCTTGAATCCACTACGTTTTTACCTTATTTATCCAACAGCCCTGTGTCCATTCGAGCCTATAATTCTAAGGTAATGCAAAGGTAATAATACTTCAACTTGAAGCTATAGAATTAGTCAGTCCTACTTATAATAGGGATGTCACAATTCTTTGCTCCAATGTTATGTTTAATTGAGGTATCCAAGTGTGAATCTAAATGTATTCATGGTAGTGTCTTTAACAGTGGACGGTTTTGTGAAGCGGCAGGTTCCTGTCAGATTGCCCATGGTGTGTATATTAATGTCTTCACATTTTGAACCATTTGCTTCTCATGCCTGTTTAAGGCTGCAGTCATAGATTGTAGTGTTGTCTTTGGTGTTGAGTGACCTCTAGTGGTCATCATGCACACCAACAGCAGTAGAGAAATCAGATCACAGGATGGTACCAACGAAGCATAGCTTTATACCGTATATTTCATAGCTTTTCATGACATGTAAATACAATAACATGGTGACAGATTCAGTGCAACGTCAAGCTGATGTTAACTCAAACGGTGGCAATAAATAGTTCAATAAATTACATTTAAATAATATAATAAATAGTCTTAAATAATAAATAGATTTCGGTTTTGGGGACAAGAAACACACAATTTTGAATGATAAAAAGCTAACTTTGGATTTCACCTGAAGGACTGCATTAGCTGTAGGTATAACAAAGCAAACTTTTCAAATAATACTTCATGATGAAAGGTCATTAACTCTGGGACAGATGAAGAAAATCTTACATACAAAGTCTCATAAAGAAATCCCCTCAGGAACACAACTGCATATGACTATTGTGGCATAGCTTTTAACAAAAGGCTTTTACACTAACAATAGATGCCTCGCAAATGTAAATGGAAGGCTTGTAATCAGACTAATCTTAGATTTGACTGCATCCTAAACTCGATGTGATGGTGTCAACATATTTCTATCATTCTCAATACATTTCATTCATTTAAGGCGCAGTTTTAAGAAAATTCCATTCATTTTGATAGATAATAGTTTATCACTGATGACCTTTAACTGAAAGGGAACACGTTCCCCATCCTTCCCAGTAGCTTATATAAAAAATTACAATACATTTTCTTTAAAAGGAGATATGTGATGCTATATTGTGCAATTTTCCACTTTGATTACAACATTTGTTATAATGGAAGCATTATCCAAATCTCAGCGTATTCATGTATGAAACGGAGTCTGTTATAAAGGAACGGTTGGTTTGTTACATCAATATTAGGTCTGGCTATAGGTCTTGGTGGAGGTCACTGTGTGAAAGGGACTGATAATGGTCCTCAATGCCAGATGTAGCTTGTTGCCTTTGTGCAACTAGTCTCTGGTAGCGGGCCTGTTGTTGGTGATCTGGGTCCACATTTACCCAGCTGTTGGCCACCCACTTCACCCCTCGTCTCAATGGGCAGTCACCGTGTAGAGAATACTCATCTAGCTCACCCATCCAGCCTGTGAAAGCAAGGGGCAGATACACAGCATTTAAGGATGACGAAGAAAAAGAAAACTGCCTGATGTAGTTTAGGATGAAAAAGACCATTTTTAATCTTTATATAATGTAACTTTCTCTACAAAAATAGCAATCAAGAAATATCGTCTTAGAGTTGATGAAGGAGTGTTTGGACAGGTGCAATGACATGGATGCAAGCGATGTTAAATCATACTTCCTGTTACTACTTGTTTGATTAGAGGCTGATGCAGTTTTGTTTAATACAGTTACAGGATTATTTAACTGCAAATCTTAAGAATAAACTAATGTTGACAGCATAAAATGTGAGAGGCGAACCTCTGATCTGTACAAAATGGTTCAGTTTTTGGGGACTCAAATAAGACAATAAAAAAAACCCACAAGCACTCTGGTATACATAGGTTTACATATAATATAGGTAAAGCTTTCTGTTCTTACCTCTACCATCAGAGAGATGGTTGTACCACAAGAGGGCTGTCCCAGCAGTGGGTTTCATTCTCAGATTCCCTTTGTCACATGTCTGCTGGGTGTCTGTCAAATCAACTCCATCCTGCACCAGTGCCTAAAAACATACAAAACAATGAAGTGTTTGTGTCTATGATCATTTGCGAGTCATGGAAAATTGCTGGCTTATTCAACTTATCCTGAAAACACATAGTGGCCTAAATGGAAACTCACCTGCTCCTCATAGGTCCGATTGTCCGCAACAGGAAAGGTGGTTTCCCCACCATCGTCCACAGAGCTGAGGTAAAATAAGACGGTCAGATATCTGTAATAAAACAAAACAAAGCAATAAGTAAAAAATACAGATGACTCTGGGGAAATTCTTCCAAAACAAAATGGACATTGTTTTTATTAAACAAAACATCTTTTTCTGCTTCAGCATGCCCACCCTTATCTAGACAAAGCAAGCAGCATGATGGGGAGCGTGTTATTTGGCAGTGCTTTTAATGCAGTTCAGCCTTAACTCTCATGTAAGAATTTCCAGAAACCACAGATGGATTACCCCTAAACTAGGTACTGTTTGGGAATATCAGTGATAAACAACAAGCTGAATACTTGGAAATGGTCAAACATTTTGTGGCATGGTGTGATAATCATCATCTCATCTTGAATGTAAACAAGACCAAGTGGATAACTGTTGATCTTAGGACTGTGAATAAGTCAAGCACTGTCCTCTTCCAAGGAAAAAAAGGTGGAGATTATTTGAAAAGCAAATGGAATATGAAAAAGGGGATTTTTTATAGATACCTGCAAGAGACCTCTGTGAGAGCAGAAGTATTTCCTGCCAGTCGTGTGTGCGAACAGGGAGTCTCTGAGCGAGAAGGACTGCTGTCATAATGGGCATCGCTAAAGTCTCCGTGCTCATAGCGGATAACCTGCAGTGGTTCACTCAGTTCAACCAGAGCAGAGGGCAAACGTGTCAAACTGATGACTCTGAGTAAAAAAAAAAAAAGAAACATTTAAAAAAAAAACAAAAAAAAAACATTTATAATACAGCAACATGGGATGTTCCACTTATATGTAAACGTTACTGGTGACTAAGAACATGATCAAATGTAGATAGGTAGTGACCTGTTTCGGAGCGCCTGCAACACATGATGAGACTCTTGGCCTTGATAAAGCCAGGTATGTTTGCTTCTCTTTTTGAAGTCAGAATGAAGCTTCACGCTGTGCTGCTGTCCTGGAAGTTGGGACACATCATAAACCTGCCTAAAGTCCCCCAATGTCAGCATCCCTGCCAGAAACACGCAAGTGGAGAAATAATGAAACAAGCTTGTTGTGACCTCAGTATTAAGTACTCTTGAATTCTTCTGTTGTGAAAAATATCCCCTCTGTTCCTCTCCGCTTTGTGAAACCACGTGCTGGAACTCTCAACTGAAATTATCTGGCCTCCATCAGTTCCCCTGGTAGGCCATGCTGCAGCCGCAACAATAGCTCTGGGGTGCCACAGTAGAGGTGGCTGGGGAGGGGAAGGGAGGTGGGTTATCCAAAGAGAGTGGAAATACAGGGTATCCGGGGGAAAATTAAGGAAAGGGGTTAGAGAATAATCAGGTTTTAATTAGATAGGACAAGGGACTTCCGGACTGGGATGTGTAGAACGCCTGGCACAATGGTATCAGGTCAAAATGGTGTCACCCTTCTTCCTGCCTTGCCACTCACAAAAACTTGCACGCAAATCACAGCCACCAGTCAGCACTTTACTATGGTCTTACCAGCATTCAGCCGTGGCACAAACACACGGTCAGACACAAATAGAAACATGAGAATAACTTTAACCATCAAAACTAAGTCTTAATCCACTATATGTATCAATGCTGAAAATTTATATTTTGGACTGCTTAAAATGCATCTCAAAAATCCTAATCGGGATTCTAAAAACATGTCGGTTTTTGGTTCTCATTTAGCTTACCAATAAGGAACTATTTTTGTTTAAGCAGAAACAAACAAAACAGTCCCAAATGTACAAACCTAAATGTAAAGCAGGAGCACCGACCTGTTGAGCAGGCTTCCAGCCCCGTCAAGATCTGCCGCAAGTTATCGGGGCTCAACCAAGTTCCATCTTGAGAGCGAGAGTGACTCACAATCTGGAAAAAAAGAGCAAAATGTTTTGCTTTTTTTAACCAAAGAGTAAACAATGTTACAAAAATTCACAAAATGTGTTGCAGAAATCAGTTTTCCTTCTGGAACAATATGGGATTATGGATGTTGAGCATTTCTTTGCTGTCACCTCATGCTTCTGAAGCAAACCATCTTGATTCAGATCCAATAAGCTGAAGACCTCCTCTGAACTGAGAGAAAGCAGTGGATGGTGGGACTCCTGTCCCTGGCCAGGTGTTGTCGTGTGGCTATCCATCAAACCCTTGAGCTGAGCCAGCTGCACCACCACCCGGCACTCCTCCTCTGACAGGAAGCCAGGAATCTCTGTCAAGAACATGACACAAGAGTGGAAAATGGTATGAGGTATTACATTTAATTAATCATCTTGTCATTGAAATGATAAACTGCACAAATCCAGTTTTAAAAGTCTAGATAGTTAGGTAACTCAGTCATTAATAACTAGCTGAGATGAAAGTGAGGATGAAGGGTTCATGACCAAGCAAAGGAACTGGCTTAGAGATAGGCTAATCAAAACCAAATAAAGTGTTTGCCTTCCTGATAAGACTATGGAGATCTAATGTTATGCATAATGTCTCACACATTCACACTTTAAGATTACACAGGAACAATAAAGCAAACCAAGATAACAAAACCAAAAAACATTTAAACTATACATATATAGCTTATATATATAATCTGTACACTATGAAAATACATAGATTGTATTACTATGTAAGAATCTCTTATATTATTTTCTTTAGTCCTAGTTTGAAAGGTGACAGGACATCGGCAAACACCCAAGCATAATTGTGCTTTACTCAACATCTGCATTGTTAATTGACTGACAAGCTTTAAGTGGATTAGAGAGATCTCTGTCAGCAGTAACTTGATCTTTGACTGATTAGAGTAACACAACCTTTCAGAGTGAATTTAGAGATCAATGCAGGCTGACAAAAACACACACAAAGCCGCACAAAAAAATCTCATAATATAACATAATTGCAAGATTGCTTACAACACCAAATGTAAGTATTAATATATATTCATTTATTCATACAAATATTGTGTGAACAAGGAATAAAAAAAGAAGACCTCACCTTCATATATTATCAATTCAATATCATTCATATATTACTAATCTTAAATTAAATCCAAATGTATTAATTGCTGCTTTAATAGGTGCTTTTGTAAATAACAGCAGTGTTCTAATGCTTACAAAAAATTGTAAACAGTCTTTTCGTATGGAATCATTTGTGGTTCCTGAAGACAGTTTTAATGAGAGACAACATTGGATCTCTTCAATGGAGCGGTCAGTGCAGTAATCATGGACTCAAGTGCTGCTAGTATCACTTAACACGAAGTGTGATATTCAGAATACTCAAGTGCTTATTCTCATTGCACATTCTAAACTATCTCATAAAGGTGAATTAAAAAACCCAGTAGTTTTTCATCTTTCACACAACTTTTTCTAATCTTGGTGTGAAAGTGAGTACTGTTCCATGATTTCCCCCTTTTTTCATCAACAAACCATCCGTGTCTCTCAGTCACGACCCCCTCTAATGAAAGGCTTCCGGCAGGTTGGCGGTTTGTACAGTACAGGGCTTGTTTGTCACATGTGTCTCTTACACTGTACCCTCGGTTAATCCCCATTGTCCAGTCAAGCCTCATTAATCTGGACAACTGATATGAATGAAGGGGGACAGAGCCTTCCTCCTCTCCCTCCCACCAACTGTTGGTCCTTCTCCCCCGGAAAGGAAGTGACCTGCTTGTCAGAAGGGGAATCAGGCCATGTCTACACAGTGGGACAACACAAGTTTGGTCAGTATCCCCACACACATACAAAATCCTACGAAATGCACACTTTTTCTGGCAACAAAAGGTTTTTTTCACCTATTGGCAGATATTTGTATGTTTACTAAAACAGGCATGTGGGTTGGAAGTAAATCTGGGCTATAGGTTTGGAGTCTCACTACACAAGGCCAAGTATTTTCCTCCAGGTGTGGTAAAAAAAATCAAGTGCAGAAGTACTTAAAATACTTAAAATGCCAATTAATCAGCTTCATAAACCTTTAGCCTCCTCAGATAAAGTGAAAAATGCTTAAACATAGAAGCAACAATACATCACTCTTAACATTACATTTTCTGCCCCACCCCTTCTCCCTACGACTCTCTACACCTCCCCTCTCCCCTTCCTATGCAAATCTCTTCACCACCCACTATAAATACACATATTCTGCCATTCTCTCCTCCACTGTAACGCAGAGATCAGTATTACTTCGGGATAACTACTACTTCCAGACTTCTGACCAAAAACGAGAATATTTCCTCATTAGACAACCAGAATGTCTTCCAGTTCGGCTTCTCTTTTACTTTTCCTTCTTCTTGCTGGGCCTTGCAGCACATCAGCGCTGGGTGCTGGCAGAGTAAAAGGAGGAATGGAGGGACGTGTCAAGTCAGAGGGCAGGGGTCGATCAGGGCTCAAGGACAAAGGCGGAGACAGGACAAGTACAGCTAGTAACAGTGAAACAGGACTGGGAAAAGCGCATCCTCCCAAACCAGGAACGGCTGTGAATGATGATGGTGAAGGATGGGGAGAGTTTGGCGCTACAACTAACTCTAGGTCAACTTTTTCAATCAGTGATGGTGGACTGTGGGAGCCCCACAGCTCCTCTCGCTGCGTGCCCATCCCGTCGGGCATGGCCTTGTGCCAAAACATCGGCTACGAAAGCATGAGGATGCCCAACCTGCTTGGTCACGAGTCTCCAGCTGAGGCTGTGCAGCAGAGTGCCAGTTGGCTGCCACTACTTGCCAGAGAGTGCCACCCTGATGCCCGCATCTTCCTCTGCTCTCTCTTTGCTCCCATCTGCCTTGACAGGTAAGTTTGAACAAAATAAATCAAAGTTCTTGTATCAATAGCTTTTTGTTGGAACTGTCATTAGTGAGATGCTCCAGTGGGATGAAATTGAGGGTAAAAGCCCAGTTTTATCAACAGAAACCTAAATGGTAAAATGGAAGAATTGCTGACAATTTCACAGAGACTCACAGCCATCAAGGGAAAACGCCCTTTTTACAGCTATGCAAATTAGAGTAAACCTTGGTGGAAACGCAAGCGGTTTCACAGATTCTCAACCATCAAAGCTTTTTAGGAGTGACAAGCTAACAAAAACAGCAAATGTTACCTACCCCAAAGCAAACAGTTCATAACAGCTTTCTAACCACCCTGCCCCCTCCCTTCCACTCCACCCCATCCCACCCCCACCTACTGTTTCAATGTCAGGTTTATATCACCCTGCAGAAGTTTGTGTGAATCTGTGCGGGACAGCTGCGCCCCAATCATGAGTTGCTATGGCTACCCGTGGCCTGAAATTCTGCGGTGTGATCAGTATCCTGCGGACCATCTCATGTGCATCTCCTCCATAACAAACACCTCTGCTCACACAGGGGGGCGCAGAGGTGAGAAACTGCAGCCACACACATGCTTGAGCTAACTTCATTAAACTTGTTATCTAATTAGTGCTTTCATTGTCTCAGTGCCCCAGGCCAGCTGCCGGGATTGTGAGCTGGAGAGGGCCTCTTCTTCAAAAGATACGCTGGAGATCTTTTGTAGGAGCGATTTTGGTGAGTTGTCACATTCCTCTACCGATAACCCTTCTGCATCTATTCTTGTTTCTTCTTTTATCAGACCAGAGCCTACTGCTCCAAAAATATAAACTACTCAGACATTGTGTTTATCTACTTTTTTCCCAGTTGTGAAACTACGTCTAACGAGGCTCAAATACAGCCCAGTAAGTCTATCTCAATTCTCATTGGCTGGCGACCCAGAGGTCCTGAAGCATGGACCCCTGTTAGGTGGACGGATTCGCTCGAGCATCGAGCTGTGGCTGGAGAGGGATGCCACCTGTGTCAGGAACATGACTCGGCGACATCCACGAGGCAGCACTTTCTTAGTGACCGGGACGGTGCAGGGGGAGCGTCTGTTGGTCAACAAGGCTTATGCCTGGCAGCGACAGGACAAGAACCTAATGGCAGCTGCACGCAAATGGAAACGTCACAGATGCAGGAACTAACTTAGAAAATTCAACATGACGGCACGGAAAAAAAGAAACTATGGTTAGAGATTATAGTTTAGAATTCAATCATAGGCTCCAAACTGTAAATAATATTTTTTCTCTTTTCATACTTAATCATTTTAAAAACTAGCAGGAATGGAGAAAACAATATGTAATGAGCATGTGAAAAACCAATATATATTCAGCCATGGACATGGAAATAATAAAATAAAAGTGTACATATTGCATTTGTAAATGTCAATGAAATATCTGCATGGGTATGAATTTTCTCAATCAGATCCTGCTGGCAAAAATCCCAACCTGGTACCTGTGATGTCCCAGTTGACAGACTTTTGATAGTAAACTTATTCAACCCATTGTCTGTTCTTGGTATTACAGTAATTTCAAAATAAATCAATAAAATACAAAATAAATAAGAAGAAAAGTATTCAATTTAAGTAAACGTTTACTGGATAAACGCTTCTGTTTTGTTCATTTCAGGGTGCCACATCAGTGTTAATATAAAACACAACTCCCTCACAGATACTTGAGATTATCTCTTTGCAAGCATTTCAAATGAACACTGGACTGGTTCTCTTTTCTAGGTTAAAGGAGTTTCCCAACCGTGACAAATTCAGCCACAACCCCCCATCTACAACACTTGTTAGACAGTCTGACATAAGCACAATGAATTTAGTTTTGTGCTGGTTGGTAAGCACAACATTTCCCTTTAAATGGAAATTAAATGCAATCCTCTCACTATTGGTCCCTCATAAACACACTTTACTGTGTACTTACCAAACAGCAGAGGTTTCAGGCTGAGGGTCTTCATTTCAACAGTTCTGCCCGGCACAAGGGTCACCCACTGAACATGTCCAACCTGTGAAGAAGGCATGCAATGTTTACAGAAATTCTGCTATTTACATGCAACTTTAGTCACCGTAGGTCTCTTATAGGCCATTCTGTAGCATTCTGAGGATGTTAAGCATATTTGGGACTATGTCTCAGTGTACCATTTGGAACTATTCCACTTGGTTCATTTCAATCTATTTTCATCTCATTTTGTTTGTTTGAAATCTTCCTTTCCTGGACGTATTACTATGGTATGGGACATGGTGGTCCCTACAGCAGTCTCTCCACAACCGAGTAATTCTTCAACGGTCCTGTTAGTCTCTTACCCGTATTCCCTCAATCCGTGGGAGGCTGAAACTTTGGCCCTGCTCCTCCACCTGCAGCTCTGCGGTGGACGGTGCCGGTTGGGGCAGCCCGTTTCCGGGGTCACTGACCGCCACATCCCCGCCGCCTAAATCCCCCGGGCCGTTGTTGTAGTGCACGTAGAGCAGCAGAGCGATAACGTTTATGATGTACACATGGAAGAAAACCATGACAACAACGAAATAAGCACGAGAGCAGACATTGCTTCTCTGCACGTTCATCCGGGTGGACCGAGGGAGAGCATTATAAGGTAGTGATGGTTTGTCACTGCTGTCAAACTCTTCCTCCTCCTCCTCCTCATCCTCCATAAAATGATCCTCATCCATAACTGCACCACACGATTACAGATCAGTCCAGCAGAAGAGACCTTACGAGGTAATGTAAAAAAACAAAAATCCAACAGATTATTTTTGCAGCTGTAGTAATCTGTTTAGCATTAGCTAACGTGAGCAGCTTGGCTTTTTCTACGGAGCACAGCCCGCTGCGAACCTCCGGCTGTTTGGAGATAAACCGACGCTGGCGTCTCTGCAGTTTTGACCCAAAGAAACACTGTAGCTTCGAGCGAATGTAAAAATTTGCCGAGCGTGGTTTTCTTTAATAAATACACGTGTCATCGTTTCTTAAAGCGCCCTAATCCCGTGTTAGCTAACTGGTCGGTGCTCTGCCATGACAACCTGCTTAACAACAAGACAAACGAGCTAACGGCTGAATAGGCCGCTCTTCAGGGGCTGCGCTGAGTCGCTAGCGGCCTCTAGCGGTCAACATCCAAACTATCCATTATCCATCCATTAGCCCATCCATCCATTTTCCATCAGTCCATCCATTTTCGTAACTGCTTATTCCCTAAGGCGTGGGAACTGGAGCCTATCCCAGTGGTCAATGTGCGAGAGGCGGGTTACACCCCGGACGGTCCGCCAGTCCATCGCAGGGTCACACAGAGACACACAAAGACAAACAACCATGCACACTCACTCCTAAGGGCAATTTGGAATGTCCCATCAACCGAACATGCAGGTTTTTGGAGGCCGGAGAACCCGGAGAAAACCCACACAGACACAGGGAGAACATGCAAACTCCACACAGAAAGGTCCTGGTTCCCCCGGGACTCGAACCCAGAACCCTCCTGCTGTGAGGCGATGGTGCTAACAACCACCGCACATCCAAACTAATGGATGGGTTTCGTGAAATATTTCAGTGTGAAATAGGTCACTGCAACTGTGACCTTTGTGTTGATAACATTTATCAAATATATTAGAATAAGTCCAGGGTCACTCTGCTATATAAAATTGTTTAATTCTCAAATAGAATAGAATACAATGGGGAAACATTTTTAAAATCATGATTGGTTATTTCATATTATTTTAAAAAGCTCATAGAAACCAAACAAATGCCATGGATTAACTTTTTAAGCACTTTGTTCTTAGTCACATTACCAAAGAGGAAGAATCACCAGACATTAATACATTCATGAATACATTTTCAGAATGTTTTATTCTAACATCTATTATTTGTCTTATGGTCTTCCTAATATTTCACTATTAAAAGAGACATCATGACTTGCTCTAGAATTAGTATTACAGCTAAAGTATTTGAAATGTTAACGTTTTTATCATCATTATTTTTGCCTCTAAAGAAATGGGGGGCCTCTCAAATCCCTTCCCTCCATTTTTGAGATCAGCATTTTTGAGATACACAATTAAAGCATGAAAGTAGCTTCTCTTCCTTCGAGTCTGTATGCGTCATCAAGGCTAAATGTGTGACAGGGGACTGCTACGAAAACAGTCTGGAGCACTTGGCAGGCTGGTCTTTATGACCTGGTTTTTATGAGCAGAACAGCCTGCAACTGTTCAAGTTGCAAGTTGTTTAGGTGTGGTGTGATACGGTCTTTAGCCCCAATGACTTAACTCTTTGTTTCACTGGGACTTTTTTTTCTAACCTTGGTGCCTTCATCATTATTCATCTATTTAACTTGTCCCCTTTCTCAGTTCCCCACATTTTGAGCCTTATGGTTGTCTTGACATTAAGAGGAGCCATCTCACTCCGTTTCTATAATTTGATATTTAAAACTCTAAAGCTACTATACTGGAGCAGAGCACCTTTTCCCTGCAACGTAAAGTTTTAAACAGGTTTTTGTTTTATTCTCCCCCCACATTTAGCATTAACAGTCCCTCCTGGATTTTTTTTTCCAATCAATGAATTTTGCCTGGGAATAAAATCGCCTCAGTATCTTCTATCAACCGCACGGTGGCGATCAAGACCAGTAGCCAGAACCTTCTCCCACTGTGCTGTGTCACCCAGGATTTCCCACTCTCACTGTGGAGGTGTTCAAATGATCCTCATAACTTAATCCCACTTACATCATTTTCATCCTCGAAGGCACAAGAAGCTTGCTGAATAAAACCTCTTAAAAATGTGATAGAGGGGAAGGTGCCGTATATGATACACTGTGAAAAGTATTTGAATGAAAGACTGCATTGTGATTTACACAATTAGAAAGAACTATTGTGCTATTGTTTGTGTACATATGCTGAGATCTCAGGGTGGTTTGCTTTGATAGACAAACCTAAACTTGGCATCTGTTTACCGTGTTGTTTTTTTGTGGTGGATCTTACGGCTCGATATCCATAATTCTCATGCATTATTCATTGCGATTTTTCTCGGAGGAGCATGTTTTAAAAGGCAACGCAGCCTGCATAATGAAAACTCATTTCCCCGGTGAGAACGCCCCCCCTAAATTTCTCTGTCTGACCCCCACTTCTTTCTGGAAGTGGGGGGTGGTTTCTAAAGGCTTTCAGACACAAACGAACACACACACACAAACACGCACAACCACACACACACCCCTTGCGGTGTTTTCCGGGATCACGCCACCGCTTCCACTCGGGATCCACACGGCAGCAGCAGGGACATGGCTGATCTTCACGGGACGGGACGGCCGTGGGTTTAAGCGAAAGTTGCCACGGGTCTTTTTTCGATCAGGGGGGGGGGTTTGTCAACAATGCGCTTTTCCGGGCGACGGGACACTGCGACACGTCGTCTAAGGCTGGGGTAGGAGATCCCGGACTGGTGTGTGTGTGTTTTTTTTTTTACGACAAAGTAGTTGGAGGAACTTGTCGCAGTGGATTTCATCCCAGCGTGCTGGCCGGATTACCACACACACACAAGAGTGGAACAATAGTCCCCTGCAGCCGGAACACGGTATGTTTATTTACCCCGGGGCTCGACCTGTGCGTAAATCTTTCCGGGATTTTACGACGGTAATGTGGGGATAACGAGTTCCGAAACCAGGATCGTCCTACCCACTTGACATTGCAGGTGTAGTTATTTTTTCTGACTCCCTAAAATCCACGCGTAAAACGCGTTATACCCCACAAAAGAGGGTCTGTGTGGAACTAGTATTTTACGTTTCGGTGGGATGGACTGAGTGGGTAAATGGCGATAAGGTCCAGTGGGAGTGTAAATGCAATGCCTCTGTGATTCTGCATCCACGTCCGTGTCCCATCGCGAGTGAATTCCGTGTAGACGTGGGGGCAGTCTTTCGGATAACCCCCCAGCTGCCATTTCCGTAGAGTTTCGGAACCCGACGGGCGGGCTGTGGAACTTTTGGTGGCCGTGCCCGGCTCTCCTCCCCCCGGATTCCTGCGTCAGGAAAACCCGGGGAGAGAGGCGAGGGGCCTGGAGGGTGGAGGAATCTCCCTCAGCCCGGGCCTGGCGTCCATTCCCCGGGGTCGGGTTTGTGGCCCGTGGGATTGTTTGTCCCACCGTTTCCACTAACGCGCGCGCCGCCTCTCGTCGTGTCCAGTTAACGTGCGTGACGGTCACTCCGGTGCACAAGACGTGTGCAAACGGCCAATTGTCTGTGCACGTCTGCATCCGGCATGTCTCCAGGCTCTGGATTTAATCTCTGCGAGCCGGGAGTATCATTCAAAGTTCAATTATTTATGCCAATCTCACTGTGGGATGTCCAGATTGAAAAATTCGTCATTTCCTTCAGCCTTTGTGATGCACCACAAATGAAATATCAAACCTATCCAAAACAACAATTACCTGCAGTATATACACAATGAAGAAATGAAAGCATAGGTTCTTAATTGCAGTCTCTGAAGGCCAAACAGGTTTTCCTGAACTCCTAACTATGTGTGTGCAGCAGCACCATGCCACTTACATCATGAGTGTCCAGATTTCTGACCAGGGTGTCATGACGACTGTTAGTTGTAATGCTGACAGTATTGTAAGTTAGTTCTCATTTTGTGTTTAAGAGAATGCAGTACTTTTTAGTTGTTTTTGTTAAAAATAAGATATGCTCCGGAGTTACACACCACATTTGCTTGTTGTGGGGAGCAAACAGTTTCGGAGAGACAGTCGACTATTTATTTTACATTCTTCAAAATAAGAATCCCACTTGCTAGTTCACTATCACAGAAAAGACCTTGATGTTCACAGAAGACGGCAATATTTCTCTCCCAGAGCGCTCTTGGGTGGATGTGACACATCATTGTCAAAGTCTGCATGTCATGAATGTTTATGCAAAAAAAAAAAAAAGATTCATATGGAAACACCCCAGAACACAAACGGCCAGAACAGAGTTTTTTCTCCAAAGCGTAAACCTTGGATGGACAGAATCAACTTGTTGCTGAATGTTGGGGTGAGAGCCATAGCGGAAAGAGAGGAAATGCGTATCTGCAAATGGAACGGGGTCAGTGGTGTGCACGGATGATGTAATGGTTGGAAGCAGTAGCTAATGAACTCCAAAGAGCAAAGATTCACGCTTTCTACTCACAGTTACTGTGAACTTAACAGGACTGTGTTTGGTACAGGTGGATGAAATAATAAGTGAGCGTGGAAAGCACATTATTGAGCTGAACAGAAGTTTGTGGTGGTCTTGTTTGTGTTTAATACATCTGCCGTTTGCACATTAGGAAACTGCCCTAACTGGTGGGATTCTCATTTCGGCTGCAGTGTTGCTGTCATCACTGTGTGTGGATTTCTGAATTTTTTGCTCGTTCTTCTACAGCGTTATGCCTGTTGTTTTTCATTCATCTTCTTTCCATTATTTCCTCTTTTAAACATACTCTGCAGATTTAGGTTAAGTGTTGGAAGAGCTGCTCAGGACAAGCCATGAGGTATATTAGGAGAATGGACTTTTGTTTGCTTCTTCTGGCTATGTGTGTGGGATTCTGTAGTTGGGCAGATTTGTGCATTACTCATGCATCCTCAGGCTGCTGCGCAAAAGCAGTGTTTTGAGTGCCACTGAGAGCCCGTTCCACTCTGCCACATGGCATGTGTGTGCAATCATGGGTATGAATTGTGAGTCGATGGTTTTCAGAACAGAATGAGGTAAGAACGTAAGACAAAATGGTTGGAACAAATTGTGACCTTTTAAGCATAAACTGTCTTAAAAATGGTGGTTTGTCTCTAAGGTAACTGTGTCATTTGCAAAGTGACTGAGTTTGGGTGGCTGTGTGATATGCACCCTGGGTCCATTCAGTCTTTGGCCTCCCAAAGAGGTGCCATTGGCAGAGGAATCCCAGAGACAGACTGACAAGCATAGCATGGAAGTTTTTAAAGCTGACGTGAGCATGTGTTTGTGTGTGTGTGCACGTGTCGGCATGCGGGACAGCTATCAAAAGATCTGAATTGTGAGTTCTCAGCTCTGTTTTCCTCTTCTCTTTACCTCAGAGACAGAATCTTTGGTTCCAGCCCAAGTTTGTAACCTAGCAACCTAAATGGTGTGTGTCTTGAATAAATCAGACTGTTCTCCTCCTCTGCCCTTCTCAGGGGTGTGTTGGTCCACCTCCATGCTACCACATCCAGGCAGCCTACACATGCACGTGGAAGCATCCATAGATAGCTTGGTGATGTGGAAGAGGTTTAATTCTCTTAGTCTTTCATATTGTAATCACACAGCCCATGTTAACATCCTTATACGTGCATGACATGTTGCTTTCAGATCCAACTTAAGCAACAAAATGCCCGCACTGCCCTGGCTCATCAGTTCAGTGGGAACAATGTCTTGCCAGGTGTCTACTGAGTGTGGTCTGCACATGCTGCAGGCTGGAGCCACATGTCTCATCCCACTCACTCATGCCCTTCACACTTCAACGTCCATCTGCATCAGACAGACCACAACATTCCACCGGCATTCATAAGGCCTCATTCTTCCTAAAACCTTTTGTAAAGGTTTCTGACACCCTCTTCTTTTGAGTGTAAACAGCTCCAGTCCCATTCTGGCTGCACATAGGCAACATTGTAGCTTTCCAGCTAATATTCAAACTAAAGCACGGTAGAACAGTGAATTATTTATCAAACCAGGGAGGTGACCCAAGTCCCAAGTCCTTTAAAGATGGAGGTTCATACAAAAGTTTGTGGGGGTTTTAGTGTTGCACAGAAAAGTCATTTAAATATTTCCAGAAAGTGATATCATTAAGTGAACACTTAAGGATATTAAGTGTGGCAGTTAGGTAGAGATTTTAAAATGATCATCATGATTTACACAAAATTGGAAATCCCAACCAAGTAAATGCAATAAGCTGTCATCATATCCTCAGGGGTTTTTGTTCAGGGAATGAGACTCCAGTTACTGCTGGTGCTAGTCCAACTCAGATAGCATAAATACCGTCAAATGAGTTATTTTTGTGTGCTGTGTGTGCATGCATGCCCAGATAAGAGCTTAAGTGTGTATCCATGATAACATGGCTATGTATTAACTGGGTAATAAGCAGAGTATTAGATACTAGCTGTTTCCTATTTCGGGACTCATTTATTCCTGAAATTTGTGGATGATAGCTGCTTTGAGAGGGTCTATGTCCCTCCCTAATGATGTCTTGGAAAATATGCAGATGAGGGGGGAGGAAGGTTTGTTCTATGATAAAGGACAAAGTGAAATAAAGGAGAGCTGCTCTTTTCTTGCTCTGTTGTTCCCGTCTTGAACCGTTTTTTTTTCTCTTATGAGACTCTCATTTTATTGGGCTGATACATTGTCTGTAGGGATATTTTGGTGCAGAGGGGACAGTTGTCCTAAGTGAGGATGTTTGAATTCCCTTAGAGCACTAGTTGCCTTTATAGGCCTGAAAGACCGAACCCCTAGAAGGGTGAATGGCTTTTGTTGAAGCCTCCAAGGACAAACACAAAGAGATAGCAGTGGGTGCAAAGTGTATTTGTGTGTATTTCTTTGTGTGTTCCTATGTATGTCAGCTCCAGAGTCCTTATGGGTTATATGGAAGGAGCATGAAGTGGAACAGAGGCAGAAAACTCTGCCAAAGCTGCCTTTACCTTCAGGCCAGAGCAGTGACAAGCAAGTGACTTTAGCACAAAAATACACAAGTACCAAGATACATGTACTTTGCATATCTTTAGAAAGCATGAAATGTCTGCTGAGTGCAGTCTAAGGACATTTGAAAGAAGGCTTTGTGGTTCTAGGCAGAAATACACTGTGCTGAAGTTAGGTCATCTCTGAATACATTGAACATGTAGGACACTTTTCTGGAGAAGTAATATGTGCTAACCCCCAAATATTTGAAGGACTCCTGCAGCTGCTTATATAGTATAGCCCAAATAATTTGAGGCTTTCCATCATAGTTTAGCTGCAATCACATGGACATAAATAGAGCTTAAGCTGAAAATAGCATTTTGCTTTGAACTACTTCAAGCTGCAGTTTGCATCTCATGGAATCTGCATGAATAGTTTACGTAACTGTCAGTGTCTGTGTGTGTCAATCACAGCTCTTCTGGGGAAGCTGGTTTTTCCCCCCGAAAATCTCAGAAGAGCTGCACAGTCAGCCATTGACATGTTTTCTTTTCTGTACATTTTTGTGTTCTCATTCCCTCTCGCTCTCTCTATCTCTCTGGGGTTGTCTGTCTCTCATTCTTTGTCTTTTATTCTGCCGTGTTTGCACTTGGGACACATAACAATGAGACCACATGCTGCGCAAGCAAACACAATCACTGGGAACCCAAAGAACTATGGATAATGCAGAGGGGCTGCACTGTAGTAGCTTTGCCGTACAATAAAGACTAACAAGGTGGTTGTTGATGTTGATGGGTATAATGAGAGAAACAGCTCTGATTATTGTGTACTCTGTGCTGGATGGTAATTTTGCCGGTGTTTTTGCCCTTCTATTTAGGCCCGTGGGCCCCTGTGGCGCAGTTGAGAAAATGGACAGGATGAAGATCATCAAGCGAAGGCTGTCCATGTCTCTGCGCAGCTCTCGGCCCGTCGATGACTCGCTGTCTGAACTTGCAGAACAGATGGCTTTGGATGAGCCATCCACAGCCAGAGACAACGGTGAGCCACGTTCACTCGCACACCTTGGGACTCATCATCACTTGACAAAGAGTACGTCTCAGTAAAGTTTTCCCTCACACAAAGAAACCTAATCTTTAATAACATTATGTGTGTGAGACATGTTCATGCTGCAATGTACACATAAAATCCAAGACACTAAATCCTTAAGTTTTGGAGCAGATATGAACAGACCCAAAAGGATGAATAAAAGGGGTGACATTCTTTTTCAAAAATCTATGAAAGGATAATTCATATAATTTTATAAGTAAAAAGGATAGAAGCACTGAAGAAATTTGAGCTTTTAGTACACTTCATATAGTTAGACTACAATTAGCAGGGCCACACAATCCATATTTCAAACCTTAAAAAAAGAAAAAGGCCTAAAAACCTTTTGTCATTAATCATCAAGCATGGGATCCTGCCTAGCACTTTAAAGTTAAAACAATTGAAGGCCACTAATCCGAAGATGGCCATGAAAAGACAGAAAAGCTTGTTCAGGACACCTCAAGTTATATTTGATGTGATTTGGCACCATATGAGTAAGTTTGTTTGAATGAATATTCCTTCAGTTTTTAGATTGCATTCAAAGATATTCCATTTAAGTGGAATGGCTGGGGTTGATTTAAGTCGAAAGTTTAAGAAAGCTGCTTGTCTGGAAGTAAGTCATACTTTTTCTGCAATATCTCAAAAATGATTGAACAGCCTCTAATATTTTGGTGTTCTATTTCACTGTGCAACTACATGAATGTCACCTTCACTAAAGAGCCATCAGAGGGAAAGTATTTAAGGCTCACCTGAAAATTCACTACCAAAAGGGTACAAATGAAACATTTCGCATTTATTTTTGGAAGCCTTTTTATGTCAGTTAATAAAGGTGTTTTATTACAAAAATGACCTGAGATATGTTCACTGAAAAAATGTGTGCTAAATACTATTAAATAGTCTAACTGTTAAGGATGAAGTTCGGTTTATCTTTTTTCTTCTTGACAGTTTCCTGTTCAGCACTATAGCAGCAGAACTGTTATCTGAATGCCTGGCTATGCAGAACACATTTGCTTGATACTTATTTGGACTTTTGGTGTTTACAATGGCAGAGGGAGTATGAATCTTTGATTCCAAAATACATAAAAACCAACACGCATACAGAGAAAGTTTCACCTGAGCTCTCAGTTTGGCAGAGGATGGCTGTCCTGTCATTACCCTCTCATCAGCTTAATCCCAATTAACTCCACTCCACTCCTTTACTTATCACCAAGCCTGAACAGCGGAATGAGCTGGAAATGTATTTGAATTCCCAAAGATTTGGGGATTCAGGTACTCCATTGTGTTTGGTTTAATCTTCTTTCTTTCTCTGGCATGTTCCTGTGTGAGGTGACTTGGAATCATTTTAGTGGCAGCCACAAAAAGAGCTGGTGAAATTCTCTAAATGCCAAAGAAAGGATATTTTCATCTTACCTTTATTAATTCATTCACCAGAGGAAAAACTGGAGCATCCCTAATGAATGGAAAGAAGATGATTTAGTTCCACCATTCCTTACTACCAGAATTCTTTAGCATTCATCTTAGAGGAGGTTATTTATTTATGTGTACATTAGATGGCAGTAGATGTGCAGTCCTAGAAAAAGCTGATGACATGTAAACCCCTTTAGATGATGCTATGCATAGAATAATGTTTGGTTGAAAGCCTGCTGCAGTTGGTATGGCCAGACAACAGACTCCCCCCCACCCTCCATTCATTTAAAAGAAGCACATATGAAAAAAACATACATCAGTGCACTGGATGAGCTTGTTTTTTTTATATTCTAAAACGCAGCTTCAATTACAAAGCAGGTCTTTGTCCACATTTAAATGTGTCTTTGTTTTTAGAGTAAAGGGTAAAGGAACAGCAACAGTGCTGACACACCTAAAACCAGCTGAGATCTCCCAAATATTTATGAGACTCCCAAGTAGGGGCGGCAAAATGCGATAACTTGTCGGGGCACTATGGAGAGTACGTAGAGTTCTTTGTTGAGCCAGTAAGTGTTGCCAGATTTCTGTTGCAGTGCAGCTGATATTTCTTCTTCTTTTAAAGGTTTTCTTTCATTTCCCTAAACAATATTCTTAAACAATGGTTAAGCAAAGAGAAGATTATGATTATGCTATTCATACTGTCTCTGTTTGGAGAGCAAAGTGTGTAAAGCAGTGTCATGATTTGAAACTCTGTGTGGTATCTTACAGGATCACAGGTCGAACTGCAGATTAATCCGAATGCCTACATCCTTTTTCTGGAAGTAAGCAGGAGACAAATCAGGGGTCAGGCTGATGGAGCTAATCTCTGTGCCTAGGATGAAAAGACAGGGAAGAGGAAAAGGGCTGTCATTTGAAAGCAGCGGGCTTAGTGTTTTTACTTGATATTTCTTTGTTGTGAATTCAGGGAGTGATGATGCTGTTCCAGATGCCGGGTTGCAGTATGCATGCCTGTGCCTGATTAATTTAAATCCCTGCATTTTCTCTCCCGCCTCTGCTCTTTAGTGTCTTTAGTTGCTGGAGTCATGTCAGAGAGTACAGGCTGAGCGTGATGTAGAGGATGAGAAATGAGAAAAAAGAATTTTAACCAGAGCTCTACATCATCATCTTGTTTTTCCCCTTTTCTTTGCTGTATCAACATCTTCCACACACACATGCGTTTGACATTTTATTCAGATTTTGTAGAAGGTGAAAAATAATTCTCACTGTTTTCAAAGTGCTAATGTGAAGCAAGGTCTAAATTCGATCCTGTTCTAACATAGTATTCTTACAAGACTTAGGAAACTGGTTAAAACTGTGAGCAAGACTGGAGGCAAATCATGTGAGGAATTTATGGGACTAAACCATAATCCCTCTTAATCACAGTGGAATTTAAGGTACAATGTAGAGTAAATGAGGGTTTATTTGAATGATAGGACGTTCTTGAGTGTTTTTTACATTCTACAAAAAGAGATTTATTAATGCTAATGACTCTGTAATGCAAGGGATGACGCAGACATTGCTAAGACCTTTTTAATTTGTAAATTCCAGTGAGCAGGTATTAATCCAAAATGTTCTTGAGTGGCTACAGTCAGCGAAGTTTATTTTGTGGCTGATCATTCCCATACATCTGTGGCCTGCTTCTTCCTTTTGTGTTTTTCTTTTCTGTAATCAGTCTTCATCACATGTGACTCAACATGTTTTTCACTTTGCATGTCTCAAGCACTTTCCATTTCCAGTTTTCATTGCTTTAATGCCCAGCTGTTCTTCCTCTTCTAACACAAATACAACAACTGTATGCATCCCTGCCTTTTATCTATTGCTATTACATATTGTACTGTTCCCATGTGTTCTGCTGCCTTTAAGTGTCTGGTCTCTGTGTGACTTTATGTCATCTTTTTTTTCTCTTTCTCTTCTCCTGTCATCTGGTCCTCCTACCCCTCACCTTTTCATTTCTATTTATTCTGTTTTTCTTGGTTTTGGGCCTTTCCTCTTTTTCTTTTCTTTCATCTTGCTGCCCTTCCTAAAATGTCCCCCATTCTTGGACACTCCCTTCTCTTTCTGCTCTCTTTTCCTCCCTTTTTCCCGGCCACCTGTGTACTTTGTGTGTCTCAGTGCCCATGGTGGTGTGCTCTGTGCACCCGCCTGCCTCCCACAGTGCTCCCTCCTTTCTGCGTCAATATGCTGGTCATCTGGGCCGTACCGCCCTGCGCAGAGAGCCAGGTGGGGGGCTGGAAAGAGAAAGAGCCTCCTTGAGTCTGCACAGGACTGGATCTCTGGGTATAAGAACACACACACACACGCACACACACACTGACTCACACATAAGCAGACAAAGAAGTGCCAAGAAACATAACATTCCATTTCTCACTACTCTGAGTACTGCTACAGTCCATGTTCTATTTTTCAAAATTTTGCCTGGTTGTTTTAAAATAGAAACTATTCTTAGTTTAATGCAATTATATAAATGAACTCTCCTTCAATCAGTAAGAGCCAACTGCATGCATAGTAATGAAGCTGTGAAACATGATTCATAGGAAGGTTATGGTTTAGCACGTGACCATGGGTGTGCCTAACACTGTATCAACGAATTAGTGATGATGATTCGCACGGCCGCTTCTGGTTCCTGTGCTACAGCCTGAGAATTAAAACTCCTCAACTTTCCACTTGAAAGAATATTAGTAAAGTGAAGAAGCAGACTCAGTGTAAATGTTCTGAGAAAAACAGTCCAGAGATTGTCAGATAACTGTAACCTCAAAATTAAAAAGGTTTTGTATGGCATCTTTGTAACATTGACTTATTCACTCTGTCATTTAATTTTTTACATTGTATGAACTGTTTAATAGTAAGTGGTGTGTTTTTTGGACTGTGAATTGGACTGCCTGTCATTTACACAGATGAAAGGGAATTATATTTATTGTTCTTGCTTTTTCGAAGAAAAACTATGAAGCTCAATATCTGGAAACTATATAGAAAAGTATCAACAGCATTATGAGGTTCAAGGTGACCTAATTTGCTCTCATCCAACACTTACAAGATGAGTTGATACTGTTCTTTTAACTTTAAATGACACACTTACTACAGTACACATCTAATTCAGTCTTAATGTTGAAAATGGCAAGTGAAACAAACGCCCTGACCTCTACAGATACCATTCTCTATGGTTTTTCAGTTTGATTTGGATATATTATCATTAGCTGTTTGCGTCGGTGCGGTTGTGGTTTTATGATTATGCAGATTTCTGTGGATGCATTTGCAGAGAATTGCTCAGCGTTCAGTAGTTTGTGTGGATATATGAATCCCTGTTTTGGCTTATGTGGATATTTAATGGAGGGGCCTGGACAATGCTGCCACCTGTGGGTGGAACACAGTGATGGGATGTGTATGTTTGTCCATTTGAGAGTTTTTAAGACTCTAAATCTGTATTAATGGAAACAAAGTTGACCATCCAGCCAATATTAGCTAAAAATGAAGAAAGCTGACACTTAATCCAAGATATACAAACACTCAACGTCCCGCCATCACATTTACACTGGACTGCAGAAGACTGCATTTCTCTTGCCATGCGCATTGAATTTGAATCTGAATCTCTGTGAGCTGGGAATACCCTGTAACAATGTGTACATCAAACGTGCTCCCTCTGAAGAAATGCGTCAGGGAGGAGATCTCTGTCACTCCTATTAGCAGCTTACTTTTAAATTTGTTTCCCATACCAAGTACAAACTTCTTTTTACCATACTTAAACAGTGCAGTGTGATCATATAAAAAATGTTCTCATCTTTTAAGGTAATACATTTGTTTACTATAAGCTGTAACCCTTATTTGTCTTTTTGCTGTGCATTATTCAATTAAAGCCTGAGTTTGTCCAGACTTTTTGGCAGACAACTTAGAAATATTTGAGTGTGGATGAAGCTGATATCCAAAGCTGCATGAAGCTGTGCTCAGCAACGCCCCGAGAGCACCAAAACTTGACTAAGAACCGAAAATAGATGCTACTCTATTATTAAAATTTGGATAAAGTATAATTTCAAATGTTAGGAGGTATGCTTTGTGTGTATGTGTGCGTTTCCCACTGGTTGGTCTCGCTGACTCACTGTATGCCACTCGGCAGTCAGAGCACGTTGCACCCTTTAATAGAGCGACATGATGCAATCTCTCTTTCCTGCTGCGCTAAGGAGATTACCCATCCTTTCTTCTGTCGCTCATTTTCTCTCGAAGTGCTTTTCAAACTTTCACAATTTTTATCCGTAAACGAGTTCTAACAAAAGTACACTTGGAATTTGTGTTAATTGGCTGGAACTTGTGGTGATTTATGTCAGAGGGGTTGGTTTTTCATCTGTTGCTAACCAGGCCAACACCCACATCCACTACACTGTACTTAACAGTGATGAAGACTGCACTTTTCTTTTTACCCTGCCTAATCTCCCACAATGTGTGTATCTGTATTTACACTCTGGTGGATTAGTTGACTGTCCTGTCCATTTGAAAGATAGAAGAATGGGGCTGAAAGCTGCTGAATCTTTTCAAAAGCCCGAGCGGCTATTTTTGATACTTTCCCAGATGTCCCCTCTGGTTCTTTTCCCCCTTCTGTCTCATCCCTTTTCTCTCTACATACATCAAAAATACTATATTTAACCCCCCACATAAATCTAGAGTGGGGAAAAGATAAAAGATGGGGAGCTTTTGTTCTCCTTGGATATTGCACACCAAGAGAAATCCGGTCTGTGCCAGAGATTTAATGTAATGCATTAACATTGCACTAATAGCTGTAGCCCTCTCCCTCACCTCCTATGCTCGCTGCCATCCATTTGCTCATCCTTGGGTTGGATTTAATAAGAACAATGGAATAGACTCCTTTAATGCGGTTGATCCAGTAAGCATTGATGTATGCCATGGTGGCCTCGCTGCTTAACAATCTCATGGCAAGGCTTAAGCAAGATGCTGCTAACAAATGCTTGTAATTTTCAGAAATCTTGATTTAAAGGGTGGGGGTTGTTGGAATGTAGGGCATGTATGGCATGTATAGCATGTATGGCATAAACAGATACAGTACCCTAGACAATCTGCTCCCAGTAATTGAATAATAAGATTCCTCAGACGCAGATAAAAGGTTCAGAGGTAATTACTGCAGTCTAAATTCTCCCACTCCCTCCCACCCTTGAGAGGATGCTACTCTCTGCAAACCGGTTCCTCAGGGAATGTAAGTGCACTTTGAAGTTTATGTCCTCATTATTTTATTGACAGAGTGTGGTTTTGTTCCTTTTTCAATGTGAACCTAAATTTTGCTTAATTTATATATTGTGACGTGGATTTGACGATGAACCGATGGGGATAAAAAGTGACAACGTCAGAGAGACCTCGAACCAAAAGCTGTTTGAAATGGTTGCGAAAGAAGATTACATTTTTTTATGTATAGAACTGCGCTTGTGAATTTAAAATTTCAGGCCGACAGTGATGGATGAATGGTTGAGTGGGAAACTACTTTCCTTGAAGTTTTAACAGCCAAAAGTTCAAAGACTCATCTCTCTACACCAGAATGTGTTTCGCAGGACACACACTGTTGGTGACCAGCATGATAATCTGGGTCAGTGTGTGTTATGAGATGGAAAAGCGGGGGAAAAAGAATAATATTGTAATTGGATAAAGCATGTTTCCCATCCTCATGGATATTTCATACCGTTCACCTTCCATCCCCAACCACATTAAAGTTGTTTTTATGACATTAACAGGATAAAGTATTCCCACGAGCCCTCATATTTGCATGTTAAACAGAGTTAAAACAATTAGGCACATTGATGATGAATAGATGGATGTCTCTGAGAGAAAGCTAACATTTAAGTTCATCGCTATTGACAAATTGGGTGTGAGAGTCTCTCTGCATGAATGTGTTGTGTTAGTTAATGTTTACAAGACAACCTGATATTGGACGTGATAAAAGACCTGACACTTTATCTGTCACATGCTGTAACAATCTGTCTCCTAGCCCTTTAAATGTTTATTCATGACATTATATTCAGAAGAGATATTATTTTTACAGTTTTTTCCTGTTGACATTTTGGGGGCTTTGGCTTTCCAAAGCATCCAATTTCTCCAAATTTGCTCTTTGAACTTAGCTTCGATATTGGGAGAACTGCTGTTGCATTGAAAGCTTATCTATGATGACCTGGAAAGAAAGAGCATGCCTCCACCAGGACACTGCAGCTTTTGTCTTTTCATGACCAGAAGCAAATCTTGCAAAGGGATGAGACCAACCGCATGACAAAAAGAATGGTGACACTTTGACCCATGAATACTCACCATCATTCCTGCTCTATTATGCAAGTCAGTCATTCTACTGGGTCAGATTACACCCATCTTTGAAGTCAGCCCTCATTTAGATCCCAGTTCCACACCTGGAAGGTTTTATGACTGCATTTGGGAGGGTGTGGTGCTCTCAAGCTGACATCTAACCTCGGAGGTAGAAGATGTATTAACACCTCTTGTTTTTTTAGTGTCAGTTGAGAATAAATGTACTTTCTTCAGACATATTTTCTTCCAAATGAGGAACAAACTAGAAAGGTCCCATGAAATGACAATTGAGTGGCCATCCACTGCTCTTTCATTGGTACATTATCATAAAATGTAGATGCAATATTTGTGCTAAACAGGCGCTGTGTTTTTTTTTGTTTATTTGATTGAAGTGATGCTTGTCTTTGCTAAATAAAAATGTGAACTGCCCTCATAGATAGTTGTGACAGCACCCTGATATCTATTGGAAGGTGAATTTAATTTCTTAATCTACCGACTAATGGACTACAGCCCTGAAATATTCCTGTCATTATATCTAAGAATGTAGGTATTTGCATTTAATGGATGAGACTTTGCCAGTTTTCCAGCTAGTAGGAATAGGAGTTTTGTTAATCTTGTTAATGAATACTTCTGCTTCACTAAGACTTGCATCAGGTATGTATATCTGCAGGTGTCAGACAGAATTACATTAGTGGATTATCTTTGCGGGGATGTACATTTTTTAAGTATGTCATTCTTTGTGTCAGATACTGTGTTTGGTGTCATCAGAATGAGCATGAAGAATGACTTATGTCATGGTCATATAGAAGGACAGAGAGAGAGAGGAAGAAAAGAAAGGACCTAGGATGTGAGAGACATCAATCAAAAGCTCAAAAGGGTTTAATTTTCTGCCTGGGGGAGTCATAAGAACAAGCGGTCAGAGGGTGGAGAGAAGTGAGGGAACATGAGTAAGAGAAGACGGAGTTTAAGGAAGAGTCTGATGATGCAGAAAATGTTGTCATCGACTCGTGAATAGAAAGGCTGCACTGATATTCAATGCCATCTCTCGATCCAGAGTGAGGGAGGGTGAGATGGGAGACAGGAGGAGGCGGAGAGAAAGACTGCTATCACATGAGAGGGAGGAGAGTAATGGCAAGGTGAGGGGAGGGAGCAAGCAGACGAACGGCAATGAAAGCACTGATAGGGGCGCCACGGGCAAGGAGGAAGTAATCGAGAGAGGGGAGTGGAGGGGAGAAAGCAGCACTACATCCTGAATAGAGTGGTGCACTAACAGTGGAAGAAGGAGGAGGGTGAAGGCGGACAAGAGAGAAAAACATCAGGAAGAAGAAGAAACTGTAATGCATGTGGCTCGTGACGGAAAAAGGGAACAGATTCAGTATCCAGGGAGTTCAGATAGGTACCTGATAGATGACAGGGTTTTTTTTTTTCATGGGGAGCTGGAAGTTGAATGCATTCTGAGTCGTTGCACATGTTTGCGTGCTTTCGCCTGGATGGCACAGAGGAAGACGGAACACCTGTTATTCTGACAGATCCCAACTCGCATTGGTCGGGCTGTCTCTGCAGCGTTTTGCCTACCTGCACGGCGTTTGACCTTCCTTAGTCAGCAAGCAGAGTGTGACTGCGGAGAGAAAAAGAACGAGAAAGGAGGAGAGGTGGAGGGAGGGAGCGTCTTCTGAAAAACACAGAGAGAGGGATAGAGTGGTAAAGTGGAGTAGCAGCCATGGGAGTTGTTGCTTTGTGATTCGTGTCCAGGACCTGCTCTTCTCGTCTTGGGCTACAGAGCTGGCTCAGTTGATTGTGTTTTTTTTTTTACACAAGAATCTGGGACCTTAGATAATCTACGCCTTCTGCCACCCAGACCAACTGAAATGACGTTTGGTGCTTGACAAGGCTTGAATGTTTTTTTTTCTTCCCTTTTTAATTTTAATTTTCAATTTGTAAAATGCATTTTTAATATTTTTAGATATCAGTTTAAACTTTAGTGCTTGGACTCCTCTGCAAGAATGGATATGTCAGACAACCCTCAAGGGTCTTCTGCCCGAGCGCTGAGGGTGGGAGACTCGAAAGTGGGGGAGCCTAGGATAGGAGAGGGGATGAGAATGGGGGAGAGAGACACCCCATTGAGGCTGTCACCTTTCCGTATGCTTCGAATGCTCGACTCGTGCCGTCCTCCAGGGAACCGGATTGGTGAGTCTCACCGTTTTGCTCATCCTGTTTTCATTTGCCTCCCAAGATTCCGATTTCCTTAAATTCTAGTTTTTTTTTCAAGACTTATCATCAATCAATTGTCCTGGGGTTTTATTTTATGCAGAGAAACTAATTTATGCAAATGAATTTCAATTATAAAATTCTTGCATCTTCTGCATCTCATAAATATCAGAATCTGTTTTCCTTTATTGGACTGATGTGAGATGAGAGAGGCAGCGTGTTAGCCCACAGCAATGTGTGTGGCTATCCACGGGGATCTCTTAGAGTGGGATTTCTCTTTTGAAATTCTTAGCAGTTGAATTGTCAGTAAAGTGTAGTTTGTACATTTCTGCTGCTCTGGGCAAATTATGGAAATTTCCTGCATTCAAAAAACGTTCACAAATTTTTACCTTAGGCAAGCAACAAAGCAGAAGTGATAGAATAGAGTTTAAACCTCAACTCCATTTTTGAAAAGTAATAGGGGGAAATGTGGCTCCCATTTAAAGTTCTACTGCAGATTTAAACCTACTGAATTTAATTGTCCAACCTTATCAAGATGGGGCTCATGACAAGGATTCCCAATTTCTTTTTCACTGGAATCGTGGCCTTACTAGAGTTCTTTTAACAAATTCTTGGCTATCAATTCCAACTGCAACTCCTCTTACATATGCCGAAAATTAATTTCTAGGTGACCGGAGTCCGGGCAGAGCTTGGTGAGTAAAGGATGGTCCTAAAAGTAGCCCACTCGCTCCTCTTGCAGGGTGTGTGCAAACCAAACTAGGCCGGCTTTGCTCCATACAGCGAGACAGTGGTAGCTCTTGACATTAAGTGTCTGCTTTGGCATCTATGCAAATGTACCAGAGGAAATCAGCAGGCACCAACTGATCAAAAATTATTAAGCAAATTTTTCTGCTCTTAGGGGGAGAAGGTGTTCCGTTGTGTCGAGAAGCATCTGCTCTGTACATATGTTACAGTTATACTGTTGTCAAAAAGTCTTGTTAACACTTGCTAACGTAGCACTGTTCAGTGTAGTGGGAACGTGTTCAGTCGGTATTCAGTCCCACATCAAATGACCGCAGGAGGCACCAGTATTTATTCTTATTTACACTGATGACTTTACAGGAACATGCATTTACACATTACTGAATGCATTTATTGACAGTAATTCCAGTCTGAAAGAGAACAGGCTTCATTCTGCTGCTTTTCTGGCAGAAGTTAACAGAACTGCCTTATAAACTCAGAAAGTATAACTTCAAAACCTGCAGTGCACACAGCTTGTGGGAATATCCTTATGTTGTCGTTTACATACCTGTGTCCTGTTGGTTAGTCATTATAAGAAACTCCAGTCCAATGGTTGTTTTAGCCTTCTGTACAGTAGGTGTAATGTCCCGGCTGCCAGCGATGGGGAAGATCAGTTTAGCTCTAATGGATTTACATGCGGTCTAAAGAATATTGTCAGTGTAAAAATGGTGCTAGGTTGTTATGGTCTCAGGTAATGGAATTTTCCTTCCAGTTGAGGGAAACCCTGTTTCATCCACCCACATCTGCTTGGCTGTTTTTGAACAGGCTACATCAGGACGTCTCAAAGTGAAACAGACTTGTGATATAACAGTAGTACTGGATACTCACCTGTCACAGCATTGTGGACTTTTATGTGCATCCATCACTGTGTAGATACCCTGGATCAGTTTCCCCTAAACTCTGGTTTCAGTTCCCTACAGTTTAATGTTTCACCATTTTGGTTGTGAGAGTCGATTCCTGACATTTGACAACTGTCTGCTCGGTTTTCTTACCAAAGTATTTTTATTACCTGCACTCAAGTGTCAGTCTTCTACACCACAGGATAAACATCAGACTTGGATAGTGAAACTGTTAAGACTGATTTCAAGTAGTGAATAATATAAATTAATTTATGCTTATAGTATAGCTCTGTTCCACTGTCAAAACAATCGAATTTTAAATGTATTGATACATTGTGGATGGCTATAGATGTATAGGTTGATTTGTTTTGACTCTAAGTTGTGAGCCACTGGTGTTATCTACCCATCTAAATGTCCTCGAGCAAGATAGTAAACCTGAAATGGCCCCAGTGTGCTACTTTGATAAGAATTGCCCCATTAAATATGAAATAAACATTGAGAAGAATCACATGTAATTGGAGGTTCATAAATAATTTTTCAATAGTAAATTACTTTAAATCTGAAATGTAATAAACCTTTCACTCTCTGAATAGCAGCATTAGTTAATACAGTTAGTTAGTTAACTTTTCAACAGTTTCCAGGCATAGCACATTTAGTGTAGATTTATGAAAAAAATGGCTCGTGTGAAATGGATGCAATATTTGTGCATTGTTCCTTTTTATTGTCTAAAATCTACTCAGTATTTTGCTCCATTTCCCTCTACTGTCAGAAGTCAGGATAAACCCCGTAGCCTGTCTTGTTTTCCTCCAATCCTAACCCTTATTACATACAGGGATGCAAACAAATGACCTGGAATAAGCCTCGGTTGTTCTGCAGCTGACACACAGCGCACTGTAACAAATTGCTTTACCTATCTGGCCCACAGTTGTTACATCCCACTGCTCTCGTGTCACAGTCACTCAGGGGACTTATTTTTCTTCTCCACTTAATCACTTCCACCCACCAAAACTATCCTCTCCCCAATCTCCCAATCTTCCCTCTCTCTTTCTTTTCTCCACTACAGAAGGGTTGTTGTATTGGTAAACACCACTGTTGATGGTGGTACATAAACAGTCAGCTTCTATTGGTGCATCGCACTAAAAGTTTATGTCAAACTCAAGGCAGACGTGCACACAAACACAGAGGTGCAAATGCATATTCTGCGTGCCATACATGACCCAGACTCTAGCTGCAAGCCAGTGACCATTCCACCCTTCCCCCATACTTACTCTCACCCACATCATTGAAGGAGGCAGTCCTGTCAACTGCACCGTGACTCATTAATCAGATAGACTGTGGGCCGGCTGAAGGTGTGGGGGCTGGCCGGCCGAGATGGGAAAGCTCATGTTGCATGTGGTAATATTGATCTCTCACCTCCTCATCTTACCAGTGGCATTTTATACACACTTGGTTAACGCTTCTGACATGGCTGGGTGGTACAATCCATTATTTGGGGATTGAGGGACCGCTTCTGTAGAAAAGTAACCAAGAAGGTCTTGTAGTCTGATCACCCCACAGAGAGAATAATAGAGGGGACATGCTTGTATCATGAAACAAAAAAATGTTCAGTGTACCAGAGTGTAATATCTTTGTTTGTGTCTTGTAGGTATCGTTCATGAAAATGTGAAGATGGGTTCAGACGGAGAAAGTGATCAGGCATCTGGGACATCCTCTGATGAGGTCCAAAGCCCAGTCAGGGTCCGCATGAGGAACAACCACCATCGTCGCATCTCCAATGAGGTACCGGTGACTGACCTACATCCTGCTTAGGCATGCTGCGCCTAGAGATGCATTCTGAAGAAAACAAACCTTAAAACATTAGTGATCAAGATTCAATAATAATGCCAAAGTCTGTTGAATAACATTCACTTTGGCACCAGCCACTACATAACCATAAATTAGATTTTATGAAGAGAACTATAAAGCCTGTCAGATTGTTGAGCTTGACTAAAAAATTAGACTGGCTCATAAATCTGCTTTTTCTTGTTGGTAATATGCTGTTTTCCAGCCATATTTCACTCAGATGATGTTATATACTGCCTTTTCTGACTGGACTCATGTCATCACTTCACAATGCAAAGGAAACCCAGAGGGCTTGCATCCCCAGCCATCTTATGAGTGCATCGCCCTGAATAATGTTTTTTTTTACTGTCAGCATCTAATGCTGCTGTGAACTGCATGCCAGGAGCCAATTCTGGGGGGCATGTAGACACTTGGAGATATGACAAAATGCCAGTATTTGATGCGCTGGTAATGAGTACGTGTTGTGGTGTCGTGATATATTTATGCTGGCAGGTAACTCACAAGATTTTTCAGAATAATAAGTGCGAGACTAGAACCAAGGAAATCTGTTTTTCCCAGCGGAGTGTGTGCTGTAGAAGGTCCAACTCTGAATATTATAGCAAAATTCTTTATCAAGGTTGAAACTTTGGTTTTACAATAGATATATTATAATATTCTTTGGACACTTGGGCAAAAAAACTAAAACAAATGAGCATGTGTTTTATGGGGCTTTGGTTACATTTTTATATTAATGCATTTACTGAGCAAAGTATAACAGAAATGTTATGTTATTTCAAAAATATTAAAAAATGTATATTTCTTAACATATTTTAGGTATGCAGGAGAACCACATGTTGGTCCTTGTTAGGGCTTGTTTGTTCTTGTATGTTAGATCAGCACAAATCATACCCTGTACCCTTTTCAGATGAGCTGTGGCACGGTGAACATATCCACGTGTGCAAGTGGGGATTTGTTGGTCAGTGGAAAACATTTCTGTACATGCTTCAAACAGCAGCAACTTAAAAACACAAGTTATTGAATGTAGTTTGAGTTTTGTGAGTATATAAGGGGTTAAAGATAATGACAATTGCTGAGGTAACTCGCAACACAAGATGAAGGACATTTGATTATTAGATGAAACGAGTCTGAAGTACGATTACCAGGACTTTTATGAAAGATAATCTGAATCACTTTCAGTGGTTGTGGACTCGGTTTGAGCAACCTGTGACCACATTCAACATGCCAGGCTATGAGAGGGCAAAGTGCTCTAATGTGGAAAAATCAAACAAGGTGAATCATCTAACTGAGTCATTTGGTTCACAGATTAGTGCAGAAACACAATTGTACTTGACCCCCCGTTAGTACCTATTGCGTCATTGCTGATTGCTTGTTAGAACATGAAAATAAGCCTACGTTGTTCCAAAAACTCAATTTGTTGTCAAATGGAAAGAATGGATATATATCTAAAATCTTTGTGTTACTTTTGAATCTTAAATTGTTAATGAAAAAATTACGTACGATGATGCAAACCATCTTGAACAATGATGATAAAAAGCCTTTTTTGTGCACGGAACTGCACTTTTAACACAGACCGTATGTCTGTGTGAGAGCTGATTTAGTTTCGGTAATCGGTATAGCTTCAGCAGTAGTTTATTTCTTCATGTTAGAGTAAAACATCTCTGCAATGTGCCCATGTATTGGCCAGACTGAATGTCTGTTTTGCAGACTGATGAGCACAACAGTATTACTGGAAATGCCTCTGGATACGCAGCCTCCTACTGCTGTGTGCAGGGGAAGGGACTAATTCAGAGCATGTTTACCACACAGGGAGAAAAAGAAAGGGATGAAGGGCAGTGTGGGATAGGAACATGCTGGAGTGACAGACTAATTATGTATGTGGGAATAATTCTTGGTGTGACAGAGACAAGAAAGGTCCAGAAGAATAAATCTCTGTAGATGTTAGAGTGAAGACGATGAAGGGCAGAGCGATAGGAAATAGGATAAAAACAGGGTTATAATATTGTGCCCCTCAATCCCCCCCTTCCCCCTATATGCCTCTTTCCCCTCAGGAATCTGTCCATTCCTCTCTCCTCCACTTCGTGCTTACCCCCCCCCCTCCGCCTCAGTTTTCCTCCTCCTCTTTTAGAGCATGTGGATGGCACTCCACCACTGTGCCAGCCCTCTCTCTGTATGCCTCTACCAGTGTGTGTGTGTTCAGTCATGTATCAGGTCAGAGACATGCATCGCTGAAAGCGCCTATGTGTGTGTGAGTGCATGTCAAACACGTTTGAGGACAATGAAGGAGCTACTAGAGCTGTTCTGCATTGTGAGTATTGGTACCCACGTGCGTGTTTGTGTTTGGGTCTTTGTTTAAGCAGTGAGTGGCATCGGTATCAGTGTCTTTGTGAACTTGTGACCAAAAGAGCGTGAGGCATGTGCTTGTACGACAGTCCTTTGTTTCATTCATCAGTGCTGATGACTTTCATCTGTGATGTGGCGGTGTCTGTTTTTGTCCTTGTTTTAGTATGCAGATACCTGAGGAATCTTACTGATTTAGTAGTGGGTTGCACATGTGATTCCCAGCTAATTGAAGAAAACATGGCTGAAAACTGTTTGCTTTTGCATTACTTTCCACGTTCACCATGTATTATTGTTTTCTACATGTTTAGTGTGTAATGACACTAGTGGTTGTGGTTTATATGTAATCCTGCAAGCCAGTATATTATTTTAGGCTGTGATGTAGTTAAAGCCCCGACAGACATAAAAATCCTTCTGCATTTTATCTTCAGAGACACTGACATTGCTCTATCCTCCCACTAATGTTCCCATGTAAACATACACATTTACACTTCCATGAAGAGCTCCCGCTGTCGGGTGTTTGGGACTGGGCCAATCAGTCAAAACTGCCATGGAAACAAGGTTGGATTGACATCTAGCTACATGGTCAGGATATGCTTTGGGGAAATGGGGAGTTATTCCAGTTGATGCAAAATGTGTTATGCTGGAACATGTCCATGACAAAAACATACTGTTAATCCATCCACTGTCTATACAACTTACTCTGGAGCCTGTCCCGGCAGTCATTTAGCGAGGGGTAGGGTTCACCCCAGACAGGTCCCTGTTCACAACGCACCATTAATCTATGTATTCAATTTGATTTAAAAGGTTAACATTTTATCGCTGGGAATATAGCCTTTTAATAACGTTTTGATGTTCTCATTTGTAATTGAATGAATTAATTACAGCTGCAATCAGCATTGAATCAGAATTTGTTTTGATACGATGGTGAAATGTGAAAAAGAAAAAGAGCAAAATAAATTTATATGAATTCATTTATATCGTGTCAATGATTTAGCAACAAAGACAAAGACATCTCAGATCTTTAAACTTAGAGATTTGTATATTTTTTTCTATGTTCCTTGAAAAATGGAACACATGCTCACACTGAATAAGATGTTGTTTTTAACTTTCCTTAATAAAGAAAACATGTTGGAAACTATGGAGGCTAAATGTGAAGAAATTAAAATACTTTTCTCTTTCAAGTTCAATAGTTTATGACCTTTGTTGTCATATTAGTGGTTCATAATGCACCAGTAACCATAGAAACATTTGTTTCCTGAGAAGTCTGGGTTTAAAAGAACGTGAAAGTTTGGCGACTGTTTTAAAAATACTTCTTAAAAACATATGCTGCTGGTCAGTTTGAATGATTCTTGATTCAGTGATTAAATCTTGAACTGTGTGTTGATAAGAAAGTGGATGTTGCTAGTTTACCTTCTGGATATGTTTCAGCAGTCACTTGTGTGCTCTAGTGTCTAGAAATATTCTAGAAATGTTCTGGGGGACTGACGTGTGAAAACCCAAATGCCCACAGCAGTCACCCTGGACCTCTTTTTGAGATTTTCCACCCAGCCCTCTTGTCCTATTCTTGCAACCGATGCAACAATGTCTGTAAATGTCAGGAAATCGAGCAGTTGATGTGCAAGTAAGCATGTGTGTGCGCGCTGGTAATGGTTTGCTCTTTACCCAGACCTATACACTGTCCTTTTATCACTGTCAGTTATTCTGAACACATATGGATACACGAAGTCCTCATATTACCACAAAGATGAGACCTATCCTCCCCATAGCATGTATCCAGATAAAAGCTCCCTGCTGTCATGTGCTTGTGGGAACTGTGGTAAAACACACATTGTTCTTCAGCTAAATATCTGTGTTGTTCATATGTGAAAACTAGCAGCTTTCTTTTTCTCTTGTTATTACACAGTTTCTTGCCCCCCATGATGCTGTTATAAATACTGCTGGCACAAACTCAGAATGTGCACACTTTGCAAAAAGCTAGTACTGTTTTTAGTCAGATAAAGGTTACACATAATTTACAGGCTCTCGTATTCCAACTTTTATGGAAACAGGCTGGCACAATTGGCAGAATATATGTTGCTCTGCAGTGGAATTTGTGAACGTGGGGATGCTGCTGCCATCAGCGAAAATGTTTTAGAAAAGCATTTGAATTTCATAAAGATGTGTAATTTCAGCATATCATAGTGAAACTACATTTTATTAGTACTTACTTCAGAATTCCTTGTTATTCCAAAAACTTAAACTTTTTTCTATGCCTTCATGTTTTCATTTGGACTAATTACACTCTTTAAAATGAACACTTTAGAAAACTCAAACCACATCTCTGTATTTTTCCTTCCTCAGGACATAAACAAACGGTTGTCTCTGCCAGCTGACATCAGGTTACCGGAGGGCTACCTGGAGAAGTTTGCCATGAACAGCCCCCCCTTCGACAAACCCATGAGCCGCAGGCTACGGCGCGCATCTCTGGTCAGTACTCACCGGGTCTGCCAATGTTTGTCCATTAAAGAAAGTTCCATTCTCGCCATCTTTATGTGCCCTTTTCTATGAATTTCTTTGGGTATGTGTGGTGTTCTTTTTTTTTCCTCTGCTCTGTTTGCAAAGCAAAATAAAGATGAACAATCAGACACATTGTCCACCACTATCAAGGCTGGATAGGCTGTTAAATCATCTTACACGACGTGTCGAGCAGGCAAAGGAAAATGGTCACAATTTTAAACCCACACTGAGTTAAGCTATAGAACGTACAATAGCTCAGCGGGGGGGGATGAAGGATAAGTTCTGTATTATATATCCAGGACAAGAGCATTGTGGGTAAGAATGGAGGGGCGCTGAATGGAGGAGGGGTTTTCTGCTGGATGGATAAAGAGGGGGGTGATGGGAAAAATAGGCAAATATTCATGAATATGCAACATATTTCTTTACTGTATGCCTCTTTGTTGCTGAGACGCGGCTGATCGTGGTTGGTCACACTTAATTCAGCATAAAATTGAGTCTGACTCAACGGAGCAGGAGTGCCCTGCTTTTTGTTTCACTCATCCTCCTCGTTCCATCTTTGTTCTGGTTCAACACACTCTCAGTTGGCCCCACTGACGCAATTTCTTTAAACACAGTTATTGAAAGCCTCGATATTGTGTGGAACAACAGAAAGGGTCTGCTTTCCTTTCACCATTTTTGCTGTAATTATTGAACAGGGCCAATGCCCAGTCCCTCAGCTCTCAGCTTGAAGCAGCTTAATGACGTAGCTTTTCTGCGGGTATCTCGCAGAGATGAAAAGAAAAGGATCTTTGAAGTGAGGAAAACCTAACGATGTATAGAAGATGACGAGGTGGAGCTGAAGATGAGTACTGTCACTGGAACTGTGAGAAGGTATAGAAATGAAAGGGTAGAGAAGATAAGATGAAGCTCAGGAATAGCTCTGTCGCTGGGATTGTTTGAAGTCCAAACAAGCAGTGCGGACATTTTCTATGGTCTTTCCACCTGTCTGTATCTTTAGGGTTGTTTTATGTATGTGATGTAATAGATCTATCAATAATTCAGCAGCACTGTCAGACTCATCTGCCGCAGCTCTTCTCCTAGCTAGGATTACACCCCAGGACACCTTGAAGTGAGCCGGAGAGCAAAGATGAGAGAGCGGAAGGAGATGCTGAGGGAGATGAGAAGAGAGTCTTTAAGGTTTTAATGTCACTATTTTAAAAATTCTGAAGGACAGAGCTAAAAAGTTCCCAAGTAAAAATGCACTGTAAGCATCTTTACTCTCTGGACCTTTTAAAACATTTTTAAAACACTTTTTTTGTCCTCCTTGTCAGTTTCAGCACCTCTAACCAGACCTGGAGATGTTTGAAACATGTCCTCTTTTTTTCTTTTCTTTTCTTTTTTTTCTGAGCTTGTTGAGGTTCAGTTGTTATCGTAACATAGAGCATGTGTCCGGTGTCCCATGGCAGATGTGTGCATTTGAAACCATGTATTTGGATCAAAGAGTTGTTTCCTGTGTAATACAAGTTAAACTGACCGGTATCAGTTTTCGGTCAAGTCTGTTACCCATCGATAATCAATTATTCACTGCAATACAATGAGATTCAGTGGTCCAGGGTGCTGAGGGACGATGCGCCATTTTACCTCAAAGAGCAACACTTGATCATGTTACTTAACACTCACTTTTTCCTTAGCCAGACGTCACAGTGACATAACAAGAAACTGAATACAAAAAAAAGTAGTTTGCAGATATAAACTGCACTAAGGAGATTGCTGTGTCTGGCCACAACTAACTTTTTCTCTAATGTTCTATTATCTGCTGACTTCAAGTAGCAATGCCTCAAAATCTTCTCATTATCAACAAAGGGCTCATGAAGGATGAACTTGTGGGCTAGGATGACATTTTCTTAACAAGCTTCAATATATTTGACACAATGTTAAAGCTTTTATATCTTCACAATGTGTTTCAGTCTCACGATCTGCACATTTAACTAATAAAATATATTCATTGAACTATGTAATTGAATCCCCTTTTGTGACAGAATAACCTGGAAGAAGGTGTCAGTTCAAGATTACTACTATTACTACTACGATTGATTATTTAGGATCTGAGGATGGGCGACATCATGTTAATGAAAGGGCTGTTCTTTCGTCATGCCTCTCATTGCCTGCCACCACTTCTCTCTGCACGGGCCTGTCATTTTCTCTCCTACTCGGTGCTCTCAACCCATCCTCTCTCTCAGCGTCATGCTTTCTTCAAGGCAGCACTTAGAGAAACCATAATTGCAAATGAAATGCTGCTGAAGTAATGGGCTTATTTCTCAATGCACATTTTCGTCATAGCTGTCGATATTTCCATGCTACCATTTTCATGTTTCTCTTTGACCCTTCAGGCCCTGCACAGACGAAACACACGCTCATATTGTTTGGTTTTATGTTGCATTCGTTTTGTCTCTGAAACTTGGTCTGACCTAGTTCTGCTGAGTAAGCTCAAGGGGGCGTTGGGAATGAAATGAACCCGTTGCCATCTAAAGCATACGCAGTCGCAGGAACATGCTCACAAATCACGCACGCATCGAAAGGACCCCAAGATTATGCAGAGACAACTGCTGCTTCCCATAAATAGAACGTGAGCCTGATGCAAAGACGTCAGCCTTTTCTCCTCAATAGACTTCAAAAATTATTTAATGGAGTAAGGTTCATGTAAGTGAAAGTTGCAATAATGTCTGTGTTTTTATTTGATTTATTTTTCTAAAAAGTGTGTGTGGGTTGAGGATATATTTTTCTTTTTTGACCAATTTGGCTCCAAAAGAGCAGCACAGGTCAGCTATTGACAGTCTCTGGAACTGATGGGATCAGCATGTGTTCAGTGTGTGATCACTTGTATTTCTTTATACTGTATGCCAATAGCTTTGTATGGAACAAACGGGTCTTATTAACCTGTTTGAGGTTAGAACCTGTTTCAAAATTAGCAAAAGATTCAGGTTAGTCCTTTTCAGGAGTAAGAGGTTATAATAATGCATATATACAGGACAAGCATGTACAGTATATATGTGTATGTGGGGTTTGGTTGTGTTTGCATTTGAGAAAGACTGTTGGGTTCTTATAGCAGACTATAGGTCCCTCCTATACATTAGATTACAGACACATACTCCACTCAAATGGCCACACACAGGTTGTCCATGGCGCTAAGCATCTTCCCGCACCTCGAACCAAATACAAAACCAGACTATTCAAATGCAAAAATAAGAGGATGCTTGCTATTTGATTCTACCTTTGACATGTGCTCATACCCATTCAAACACTAACTCGTGTCAGTGTGTTAGTGTGCCATTCTGTATCCAAACTTGCTCAGATGTTCAGCGTGCCTTCAAAGCAATCATATGCTTCATCAGCTAACTTGGTCACTGGATACCCTCCCCCTCACAGGCACACACGCGTGGGCTACCCTCATGATAAAGAAAGATGGTCGGGTGCAGGGAGATGAACACAGTTAGAACACGGCAAAGATAATGTTGACAGAGAGAGAGAAATAATTGAGGACAAGCGACGGAGTCAGGGACATATCCTGGTTGACCTGTGGGTGTCACAGCTTGACGTAGCTACATCCATTTATAATTCACGACCTCGAAACGCAGGGGCCACATACATTATAGAACTACACCTGTTGTATATTAACTGAAGTGAGAATTAATTCAGAATTCGCAATGCAAATAGAGATATAAAAATATATTTTCAATGAATATTTAATGCCCACATTGCTATATTCGCCTAGTGTTCTTACACTGACTTTTGTGCCGTCTGACAGAGAAAATACATAGTGACATTAAATAGAAAAACCTCATTCAGCCTCGTTTAATGTAAAAATACAATAATGAAAAAAAGCTTGCTCCCCTGACTCAACAAATCAAGTTGAAATATAGTTTAAATTAGACTACAATTAGACTTTTGTGAGCGAACACGTATGTAAAAGTATTTTTTATTGTTTTATATCTAAGTGTTACACTAACATTAAATTAATGTTTTTGTGAATAGTATACAGAAAATTAAAAATGGCTCAATTTTGTTCTTTAATTGGTTTAACTTTCCTGATAATGTGCAGTTATATAACTGCTAAATATTTTTTCCTGTTCTCTTGTAGTCTGAAATCGGCTTTGGGAAACTTGAGACCTACATCAAACTGGACAAACTAGGCGAGGTAATAACGAAAATCAGTTTGGTCAATAATGAGTTGGCAAATTGTGCGTGTGAATAAGATGTAAATAACTATATTCACGTTCCCCATTTCTGCAGGGGACCTACGCTACAGTTTTTAAAGGTCGGAGCAAGTTAACAGATAATCTAGTTGCTTTGAAAGAGATACGCCTTGAGCACGAGGAGGGTGCACCCTGCACAGCCATCCGAGAAGGTACGAGTTTAAATCATGGGAATTCGAGGAATTTACTTTGAAATAAGCCAGTCTGCCCTGTCAAGATGCTACCTGGTCATTACTGAGTTACAAGCTGTTCAAGTGATGGCTTGTTGTCTGTGACTGATTGTGTCTCTTCTTTTAGTGTCTCTACTGAAAGACTTGAAACACGCCAATATTGTCACTCTCCATGACATCATCCACACTGACAAGTGCCTGACTCTTGTATTTGAATACCTGGTAAGTGTTATTTTGATTTTTGCAGTGTGCAGCCGAGTTAAGCGTTGAATTAACTGAAATCTACACATCTTCCATTCTATCCAATTCAGGAAAAAGACCTAAAGCAATATATGGATGACTGTGGTAGCATCATGAGCGTTCACAATGTCAAGGTAATGTCCAATTAGTACACAATTTTGCACATAAATGAAATCTGTTTTACCGATGCTAGGGGTATTTATTAAACCCTGTTATTAATGCTTTGCTTCTCGTTTTGTCAGATCTTCTTATTCCAGCTTTTAAGAGGCCTGGCATACTGCCACAGAAGAAAGGTTCTCCACAGGGACCTCAAACCCCAGAACCTGCTCATCAATGAAAAAGGAGAGCTCAAACTAGCAGACTTTGGTAAAACAGTTTTCAAACAAATGAAGCAGTCTTTTTTGCTATTTTGAAACTCACAGCTCTTGCCTTACCATACCTCACACTAAGAAGTTTAAAAATAACTGTAATGGTAACACATTTCCCCTAGTTTGTATCAGAAAATATCACATTGTCTTGTGACATAGCAGGTGTCTCAGGAAGATATTTTGACAAAACCTCTATGGCTTCACATCATACTGGATGTAAAAGCTGAGGATGAGATTTCCTGGAAATGAAAGCTATACTGTAAAGAAAAGCTAAGACTTTGGATGCAGTCTCCTTCAAGCTAGGTTGCTCCTGAGAGCCAACAGGGCAGAACAGTTTGGAGTCAAGACTCAATACTGCCCCCTTCTGGTGTAAAACCCAAAAGGATACTTCCTTTGTACATTTTTGTGATTCAGTTTGCAATTAGCTGCTGGTATGTATAATCAGAAAGCAAGTAACTGAAATAAAAGTTCTACACTTTGCACACATTTGTAAGCATCTCATGAATTGTGGTAAGTTGAGCAAAATTCTAATGGCTTAATTCTATGTTGACTTATAATACCACACAGCACATTTTAACCAATATTTTTTGTAATTTACCGTGACCTCTTGTGTTGAAATTCAGGTTTGGCTCGAGCAAAGTCTGTCCCTACAAAGACTTACTCGAATGAAGTCGTGACACTATGGTACCGGCCTCCAGATGTTCTGCTGGGCTCAACTGAGTACTCTACACCCATTGATATGTGGTGAGCTGGCACATAGTAGAAAATCATAAACACTACCATGTCACACACATTTATTTTGAATTTGCTCACATTCTTTCCTACTGCCACTTTCGCAAAGCTGAAGGTATCAGCTGAGTGAGATAAACTAAGATAAGGGAAAAACTGGTGGCTAATGGATTCACAAAAAAAATAGTGAGAGGATCACTCTGAATTGCCACCATGTTTATTTACAGTTTCAAAGTGCCACATTTAGACGGTTTGAACCGCTCAGACAATGCAATGCTGACTCGTGTGATATTTTGTCTGTGTCAGCCTATAGTCATCCCCTAATTCGTACCTCCATTGTGTCTGTCTTTTGTTCAGGGGTGTGGGCTGTATCTTTTATGAGATGATCACAGGCAGACCTCTCTTCCCTGGGTCAACAGTGGAGGATGAGCTTCACCTCATATTTCGAATTCTTGGTGGGACACCTGGATGAGTTTGTTTTTTCCTGCCTTCACGTGCGGGCCTGTGCACACCCTGTGTGCGTAAACGGATTCCCTTTATCACCAACAGGCACCCCTACGCAGGAGACTTGGCCTGGAATCACCACGAGTGAAGAATTTAAGACCTTCAATTTCCCCCGCTACCGGGCAGAGCCCCTTGTCAACCACGCGCCCAGGTATTCCCAGCCGGGCGTGTTTCAAACAGCTGGTTTAGAGATGCTGTGTTTGTGGATGAGCTGAGTCTGATCCGTCAGATGTAATGAGAGTAAGTGCAGGATTGATTTTCTAGAGGGAGTGCAGTCAAGTACAGTTACCTGTTTTTGAGATGGCAGGAACATGTCAGTGTTCAGTTTAGGTTGGGTCATTATTTTGACTCACAGACTGTAACTCACTCCTCACCCCACTCTTTTTATTTTGTCACAGAATAGACAGTGATGGCCACGACTTGCTCTCATTGCTTTTACAGGTAATTTAAATGCTGTGTGCCATACTTATTAGAACTTTTAAGGGATGCTTGCCGCATTTCACAGAATGCAACATTAACACTTCTGTTCCTCTGGGTGGGTCTGTAGTTCGAGGCAAAGAAGCGTGTATCAGCAGAAGACGCTCTCAGACACTCATATTTCAGGTGTCTGGGGGAGCAGGTCCAGACACTGGCTGACAGTGAGTGAACGTGGCATAACTTCATAATTATAATTCACTGAGAAAATGATGACTAACCAGGCCTGTTTTTCTTTCCTTTTAAGCTGCATCGATTTTCTCTGTAAAAGGCATTCAACTTCAAAGAGATCCAGGGAAGAGATCCTCGATCCACCCCGAGTCAAGTAAGTCCTGCAAGACTGAAAAAGAAAAGGGAAAACATTAAGGAATTTGGAAATCATTGACACAAATAGAACAGAGGAGAGGACTTGTTCCCTGTCTCTCTCTCTTCTCCCTCTTTCTGTCGTTAAGTGTTGGCTTTGAGTGTTGTTTTTCATGACATTGTTTGGCCATTTCACAAACAGTTTCTTACCTTAATTTGAAGTATTAGAATTTTTATATTGATATACTCCTGACTATAAGATACTTGTGATATAGTAAATGTGAAGGGACTGAGGTTTTACATCCCCTAAAAAAACATACCCACAAGTTTCACAAAAACACACACACAAATCAAGTGCTCAACCTAATAGGTTTTACTTAATTTCTATGAAACCTTTACACACACACACACACAAACCAATACATGTTCTCTTTGAATAAATTGTTAAAACGTTGGCCATCTCTTTACTTTTTAAGCTAAATCTCATAAATGTTGTCAAAGCAGTACTGAATACAAGTTCAGAAGACGTTTTCAACAACCCTAGCTCTACTTTCATTTATTATTTAGGGTACTAAAAATCAGGTTTTAGTTCCAATCTCCTCAATCTCACATGGAGCTTAGACACAGATGGAGGTTCTTCCTTCGTGCATGTTTTAGAAAGGCCTCATCAAATCCCAGACTTCAATCACACAACTTTGAGGTGCTGTACACCTTCTGAATTCAACCAACTTGAATGATCTGGTGCAGGGCTGTTTCAAAGGGTGAGAAAAAGGCTGGATATGCACAATTTACAAAGACATAGCCCAAGAGATTTGCAAAAGGAGGCTCTACAAGAGAACAGATTTCATAGGTGAACTCTTCTCTCTTTTTATTTAAGCATCTGATGTTTATTCACAGCCAAGCTTCAGGCAGCATCACTAGCAGCCCCGTCTGTTTTTCTGTTCCTGTTTTGACGGGCGGTAGCAGACCCAGTTTCAGTTGAGTGCAGTTTGAATGTCACTGCGCATGATTAAACTGGCATTTACAGAGCCGTCAACACAGTTGAGGATTTTTGTTATCTCACTGTTTCACATGAACTGATTGATGCATGCGAGCCAAAAACAAAAACAAAAATAACTGTACAACAAATTAAGAAATCTTTCCTTCTACACCAAGTCAACAGCATGCACCAACAGGACAGTTTTTGATACTAGGAGATGTGTCATGAATAAATGAGTGGAACCAAAGCAATCATTGGTGAAAGGTGGAAGAGTCATCAGACAAAGGCTGATGGCATGTGGGGATATTCGTCTTCTCTGTATACCTTTTATATCTCCAACATTTTGCCTCAGTTTACGTCAGCCCTTCAGTCTTTGCTGTTGTCCCTGTCTGTGTATGTGTTCAGTTTCCGTTGCCTCACTGTCATGTTCTGATACTCTGTCCCCTTCTCTTTGGCACCCATGCTCTCTTCTTCTGCTCTTTTCACCTTCTCCTTAATCCTATCTCTAATATCCCTTGTGTACCCACTTTCAACTCCTCCGTAATGCCTCAATATTCCCAACCTACCCCCTTCCCTAACCCTAAAAAGCGGTGGCGCATAGGCTAGGCTCCGCACCCTCGCAGTACTTCCAGAGAGAGGCAGCCAATCCCAGGGTTCAGAGTCAAAATCTCTCCTCTACTTCCACTGGCTGAGTGGCCCCTTCCATTCTGGTAAATACTGTCACTTTCACTGTGTCTGTCTTTTAAACAGCTATATCCCTCTCTTCTAACTGTTTGGCTGACCTTTCTGTCTCTCTGCTAGCACCTTGTTTAAACCTGATGTTACAAATGTCTCTAGTCCATTTTAAACTTCACTCAATCTAATTTTCAGATTTTGTCGTCCCTATTTGCATTCCCTGAGCAAACATACAACATATTAGTTAATACTTGTGCAAGTTCCAGTGTTTGTTCATACGTCACGGTAATTTTTCATCTCTATATTATATCAAATCCCCCTCGACTTTTTTTGTCTGCTATGATTCAAGCCCTGTGCTCACAAGTATCAACTCAGCTTTCCCTTTCCTAATCCGGTTATCCTCTGAGTGAGGCACTCCCAGTGTTCAGCTCAGGGTGCAGTGGGGCAACAATACATTCAGAGAAGCAAAGAGTGTAATCAGACACCAAAAAGTCATTTGATAATTTTCATTTGCAGTCCTGTTTCGGTTTCTTCAGCGAGAGATGTAACCTTTTCTGTAAGTGAGGTTTTTTTGTTTTGTTTCTTTTTTTTGCAGAGTGGGTTTGCTTTCTTTTTTTTATAGCATGGATAGGAGTGTTTTTACTGTGTTACTGTCATACAGCTGCCGTTTTTTTAGTAGAAATGAGCACACAAAGTGACTGAAAGTTTTAGTTGCTGTGATTTAGAATTGACATTATATGGCTGAAAGTATCTGTCCATACAGGTTTTTTCAGATGATTTCAATAATCTGATGAAAGGTTGTGTTGTGCCAACTACACAACATCAGTTTGTTAAATTTGCTAACGTACCTAATTAGAACACTAACAGGAGTATTTGAACACCACTAATTAAAAACAGCTTCTGTTAAAGGGCCTCCACTCTTTTGTAATGTATTGTGAGAGGATCACTTGTTAAAAAGAACGTTCAATAGCTGTGGAAATAATGGATTAATTGATCAAATCACTTTTGCTGAAGCCTCAGCAGTATTTTTGGCCCTATAGTGTCAAGTTTTTTCTTTTGCCAGCATGGAGTGAGATTTGCAGATATGTGGTTCAGTCACGTTGTCCAAAGAGTAAAAGAAAAACACATTTTTACTTGTCTCTTTTTCTCCCATGTCTGTCTGTGTTTACTTCTCTTTCAGCCCAGGGGAAGAGCAGGAGGCAGAGTATGTTGTTTTAGTGCTGGCGGGGGCGATAACATGAGGACGACAGTGACACTATGAGCTGTCTTGTCAGACATACATTCACTGACCCTGCCACACACAAGGAGTAACACACGCCTGCCACTTAAAAACATACACTAATACTCAATAAAAAGAAAAAAGGCTATCATCTGCATATACAGAAAAATGATGACAAAGTTATGGCTGAAGAATCTTAGAAAATAAAGACTCAAGCCCATCCCCAAAAGAAAATGAGATATATTGCGTGATGCTGGAAGAAAAGTGGGAGAATGTGATTCTCCTTGCTGCTACTACTGCTGCTGCCCAGAAGAGGGCAGCACTGGGGTGTGACCTGACTCAGTTGTAAAGCAGAACTTGCTGTATCAGTGAGCTGTAAGGAAGAAGTTGATCAAAACACAAATCCAAGGCAAAGAGAGAACAAGGTGGTGTCTGTTGCTCTCCTGTATTTTTTGTTGTATATAAGTAGACTGATCTGTAGAACTGCTTTTTCATAACACACCTCAGACTGACTCCAAACTCTTTAAGTATTGAACCTCAATCTTAAACCCTGCCTAAAGACTTGACCCTTTATTACATGAGCTTTCCCTCCGTCTTTTTCTCTCACGCTCCATGCTTCTTTATCTCAATCTTAAACACTCACAACTACACTTACACTGTTGGCTCACTTGAAAACTATGAGTGCGTAAATTCTTGGAGTTTACAGAGATAAACTTTTGCACCTTATTGTCCAGCTGGGGTCAGGGTGGCTGTCGTTACCTCATCAGTCACTCGAGCAGTAGGATGTACACAAATGACGAGGCATCAAATTGTCAAACCAAGAATAAATAACCCCTTACTAACCGTAGGGCATGGAATGATGTGATGCACTATTTCACTGCTTTGCAGTTTGAAACACTGCAGTCGTCATAGCAGTAACAAACAGTAATAGTGCTTTTTTTACTGCGTGAATTGCTGTTTGTCAGTACTTGAGAAGAATAACACTGAAAGAGGTACCGATAAAGAACGTGTACAAATCCTCACTCGCTTCTTTTTAGACACCCCCCCCCCTCCTCTTTTGCCTTGACTGAGAAGTTGTCTTGATTTTTTTCCTTTGTCTTATGTACAGGTGTTGATGTTGAACTGGTCTGTTTGCACCTGATTTTACCTCTTTGACATAAGTAGATCATTAAAAAAAATCTGTCAAATTCTTCTTTTTTTCTGTATCCTTTTTTAAAAAGTAAATCTATATATGTGTTCATAAGTTTACTTTGTTAGAAGCAATGATAATTCCAGGAAGCTGTACTCAGTCGTAACAGTGGGTGACTGGCTGGGGACGTGTTGCACATTCCTTGAGCTCAGGACTAATGTTATTTTTTGAATGCTGTGAGATGCAGATGGTTGCGCTTGTCTTGCCAGTAGACCAGTTCTTGGTATGATAACCTTTACAAAGCTGGTTCAAATTGTATGTAAAGAAAATTTATTTTCAGCGTCAACCTGTCATTCTTTCTCTATTCATTTGACCATGATGTTGTTCAGAGACTACTTTCCCGTGTTCTTTCCGGTCATCTGTTTTAGCATGTTTCTGTATTAACACCTTTTTAAATTGGTATGTGAAATAGCTGCTGTGGCAAAAGGAAAATCTCCTGTAAATGTCTGCATGGGACTTATCTTATTACCTGATTTTTACACCAAATATAACATTAGCACCTGGAAAGGGTACCAAAAATAACACAAAGACAATGCCATGGAACCACATAGGTTGGATAACAAATGTGACTCCACTTCTGCCACAGAAGAGAAGATGGCTGTGTGGCCTGTCTACCTGGACTGTAACATCCCATGAGTACTGTTGAACTCAGGCATTAAGTTCCTTCATACTGTTATTATTACAGGCTGCCAGAAACAAGAGGACCAAAGTAAGTCCTCCACACACTAGGTGTTCAAGCACACAACTGTTTCACACACCAATCAACTGACATGTCAACATGTACTGTATATGTGAGATGGCCTGTGAGTGTAGATTGGAGTTCCCTGTACCTCAGGCGCTGACCTCGGGTCATATCCACATCTTTCTCCAAAATAGATTTAGAAAGTGTGAAGTGATCCTGTGTCTGTGCTTGTCACAAGGACTACTTATTTTCCCAGAGTGTGACAGTATGTAGCATGTACATAGATGATCCCTCATTGTGTGTACAAAAATGTACAGGTTTGATACGGCCAATCACTTACTGTTTTTTTCTTTTCTTTATTGAAAGTCATAGCAATATTTCTGTAATCAATAAAAAGCCATGGAAACAGGATGAGTGCTGTCGTGTTTATTTACAATGTTGGCTATGAGTAAACAAGCATGAAAACAGGGATGAGTGACATCTTTAACATGCTGGACTAAAACAAGGCAAGAGTTGTCCATGACTCAAGTGAATATGAAGCACAGACTTTTTCCTCCTCTGATCAATGAAAGGAATAACATTTATTTATATATGACATAATATGTGACATTTAAACAATTTGTTTGTGACGACCCTGTGATTTTTGCTTGATATGAATCTTAATTTAATAATATGATGAAGTTCACTGTTCTTTGTTGCAGAACATTGTTTTCATTTCTTGACTTGTTTTGCAGAAATCTGTCCTAAGAGTAAGCTGAGGGAATACTTTGTAAAGTACGCTGTTAACTTTATCATCTGATTTAACATGAGAAACCCCTCAGTTTGAGCTACCTAAAACAATAGGAATTTAGACACACTTTTATTCTTTTAAAGATTCTTCCAATGAGATTTTTTTGCACCTGTTAATGGAAGCGACAGTGGTCTCACACCCTGATATTTGTGGGTCTGAGGGCCATGGGTTCCACCCACACAGAAGCGTGGGAACAGCATAGCTGCGAAACTAGAAACACAAACAATGATTATTATCACTTATTGTATACAATTTCCCCCAAATTCTTCCCAATATATCAGTAGAATTAGTAACAATAAAGGATTACCTGTCTGTTCATGAAAATATATATGATGGGATTGTAGACGGTGCTGCTTTTGGCAAAAAAAACTGGCAAGGTAGCAAGAATGGGGTCCACATAAAGACTGGAGTCTATGATGACTGCGAGTGCCATTGCAGCATAAGGCAGCCAACAGACCAGAAAGGCCACCACCATCACCACTACCATCCGTACAACCTGCATCTCCACATGACTAGTGCTTCCACCCTCCGACACCTGCAGTTTAGTGACCTAACATACCAGGTCGAAGACTTTATCACCACATCAGTGTAATCGGTAAAAGTGCATGACCGATCAGTTTACCACTCACCTGACGAAGGGTCCATAAAAGTCGGGTGTAGGACACAATGATGGTGATGAAGGGCACGGCAAAGCACAGAGAAAAGTATATGATCATGTAGGACTTGTTTCCCATGTCACGGCTGGTCCACTTGGGAGCACAGGAAATTTTGACCCCTTCTAAATCATAACTCCCCCAACCAAACAGAGGTGGCGTGTTCCACACAAATGACCACACCCAGGACAGAACCACTCCCGCAACTGCATGACTGAGGAAAACAAGGATGGTGTTTTATTTGCTGAAGAACGCATCGTTATTTAAAATTTTCTGACGTGTGGTGGTGTTTTTTTTGTATTTTACCTGGTCTGGAACAGAACGGCACCCATGGGATAACACACCACTATGTAGCGTTCAACAGAAATAACGGCTATTGTGCAGAGTCCTGCAATACCTGTAAGAAAAAAAAGGAAAGATGACGATCGAGATGTAGAAAGAAAAATGAACCACATGCACTTCCTATTCATGCTACTATTCCTGCTCTTCATGAAACTGAACAATTCTTCAGATCAAGATTTTATGGAAAAAAATACAAGTCAAGTGAGAAATACCCATGCCATGTTATTGTTATTCAGAAAGGAAAGTAACACAATAATTGAACAAAGGTTGAACAGTTTAAGTTCAAATTGCCAGCACTTTGATACAGAAACTCCATAAAAGTTAAACTCACCAAAAAAGGAAACCGCAAAGCCCCCCAACACACAGCCAGATCGTCCCAGGCTGAAGGAGCCCAATGAACTATTCAGTGTGGTGGGAAGGCCTCCAAACACAGCACAGCCCAGGTCACACACAGCGAGGTTGACGAGGGCATAGCTGAGTGGCTGCCTGAGCTTTCTGTGTCTCACTGTTACCACGATCACCAGGACATTGAAGATGATCCCTGCCACAGAGAACACACCCATGATAATGGCCAGTATTGTGAAACCTCTCCGAGACAAGAGCTCTGTGTCCCCTGAGCAATTAGCCGAGTAAGCCACACTTTCCATTTTGTTGTGTGTAGATCGGGAAATGCAGAGTAGAAAACCCAGGAAGAACTGACTGAAGACACACACCAAAAAACTAAGTTAATCTACCACAGTTCAACTCTAACGTGCCTGATCACAAAACCTCCGATCTGCATGTGCTGCATGTTGGAGCCGTCTAGAACATCTTGAGAGAGGACAGGGATGTCCACATTAATAAGCTGGCTTTTAAATGTTATACCCTAAATCCTGTAGATCCGGATTCTGAAGATGATATCTACAATATCCTCTTACGCTGCACTTTCTATGATTACTTTCAAACAGCTGAGGTTCTGGGATTAATATGGATAGATAATTATTGCAACATTCAAGAGTATTGCAGCTCCTTGTGCACTTCTGTGTAAAAAAGTGTTAAGGCAGTGATCTACTAAAACTCCACAGTGGAATTTTGGTGGATCTGTATTGCAGACTAATTGCAAACTAATGTAAAACTACATCTGGGAGATTTAATATGTTGGTGAAAAGTTCAGATAACATTTTCTGAAAATTGTTCTTCTCTATTGTTGAGAGATGTGTTATTTATACATTTATACTTATGGGTTACAAGCCATTCATTCTGTTTTTTCTTCCCAGTAATATCCATCCATAGTCAATATCGCTTATTTCTAGAATGGTTGTGGGGTGGTGTAAACCTATCCCTATTCCACCAAGACAATCTGGCACCCCAGAGGTTTGTAAAAATCAAAAGGTAGAATGTTGGTGATGCTCAGGTTGAGCATGCGCAGTACTACAGTCTTCACAGGGAAAGGTCTGTTCACCTCCGCACCACTAGGAGGCAACAATGGCGATTCAACGCTGTTTTCTTCCCTTATAACCAGCGGCACCACCGGTGGTAAACAGTTCTGCAAGCATGGCTGCCTCCGTAAAGAAAGCAGCACACGACATCGAAACGCGAAAGCGGACCGACGACGTGCTTCTGGCGGAGGGCATCGACTTCGGGTCCCTGTTGCTGTCGCAGGCCGTGCTGGACGGACTGTCCGCCTCTGGGTTCCACAAACCGTCCCCTATCCAACTCAAAGCGATCCCGCTGGGCCGCTGCGGACTCGGTAGGTTCAGGTTGTCCCTGGTCGAACGTGTGAGCAGCATCAGGAAGAAACTTATTGTGCCAAACAGAGTCACAGAGTTAGAGGAATCTGCTTTTTTCAGAGTTCCCACCGATTGTAGTGATAGTTCTGTTCTGTCCGTTGTACAGTGGGTTCAGAAAGCCCCCAGAGATCCCTTTCGTCTTCTCATTAACACTTCATGTAGGAGTTAAAAGCTCTCTATAATAATGTACGCATTTCTGATAAAAGATAAACCCGAATATTTGATAATTTACGATATTTTTTATTAACCTATTTAGAGGATACATTTTGCATTAATTAGCAACTGAGTGCATATAACGTGTTCCAATTTTTTTATATAGTGCAAGTTTATGTGAAATAGATTGTTGTGAGATTGTTCATTTCTTTTCTACATCTTAATCCAAGCTGTCCAATAACTGTCTTTATTGCCTGTATTCTTTATTTTCAGATCCCAACTCCATATTACTTTTTGCAATAAATCACTTTTTTTTTCTCAGCTCTTTTATGTTTATAGTTATTTTTATATAGTTTTTCAATTATCCACAGTATTTATTACCAAACCTTCATACAGACCTTGTCGTACCCGGTAGCCATGCAACAACAATTCATTGTCAAATTCACTATGTGGCTCTGTACAGTTACAGTAAAGGAAGTCTTTAAGCACCGTGGTGTGTCGTTATGGTTCTGAACCACACGTGTTCAGTTCTTTGTTTTGTGCAAAGCAAATAGTCTGATAATGTGAATTGTCCGCCCGCATCTTAAATCTATGATCCGGCTGTGTAAATTTCAATTTGTCTTTGAACTACAGAAAACAAACTCTATCCTCTGAGCTCTGGGATGTTGCAATTGATGCCATTTTGTGATGAACTGGCACTGTAAAGTTAGAAGTGTTTTAAAAAAAAAAAAAAGTAATGAATGGCAGCTGTGCTGACCTAAATCTGGATGGATGTGGTTGACAGATCAGAGGAATTTATGGAGATAAAATGAAATCCTCAATGAGATCAAACCACAGGATGTGTCATAGCGTAGCAGTGTCTGATGGGGTAAGAACATTTTTGTTTCAGTTTATTGATTTGAATTATTTTTTGTTTCAGATTTGATTGTACAAGCGAAGTCTGGAACAGGAAAGACATGTGTGTTCTGCACCATCGCCCTCGACTCGCTGATCCTGGAGAATCGGACTACTCAGGTGAACAGAATTTGCTCGTGTGGAATTCAGAGAATTGCATGTTCCAAGTACCTCTAACCTCTGCAGTTATTTAATTTTCTTGTTTGTTATGAATCTTTTGAATAAATTACCTCTACTTCATTTTGCTGCCAACACAAAGTCATCAGTAATTACGTTGGTTTTAGCAGTATTAATCTGATAATCTTAAAATACTTATTGGCGAAAGTGTAGATGACAATTTTGAACAAATCAGGGGTACACCTGCTCTGTTTTGGTACTACAATCTCATTAGTTGTGGGGATTAGTGATTGGGATCTGTCCAGCACATGCCCAGCTTTAATCTGCCCCCAGTGTGTAGGCTGTTGTCAGTGCAAGTTATTCACAATTTTCCATCTTTTGAATTTCCTGCAGGTTCTCGTTTTGGCTCCCACACGCGAGATAGCGGTGCAGATTCACTCAGTGGTGATGGCCATCGGGTGTGCCATGGAGGGCCTGGAATGCCATGTTTTCATTGGGGGCAGGCCCGTGAGCCAAGACAAGGTCCACCTGAAGAACTGTCACATAGCGGTGGGCTCACCTGGTGAGGGGGGCCGAGGGATACCGGCAGACATAACCCGCTCACGTGGTCATCGAGCTGTTGGTGATGTTTGGGAACTATGTTCCTGTTTGTGTGCGCAGGTCGGATCAAGCAGCTGATCGAGCTGGGCATGCTGTCCACCACCAGCATCCGGCTGTTTGTCCTGGACGAGGCGGACAAACTGCTGGAGGAGGGCAGCTTCCAGGAACAGATAAAGTGAGGATGGCGCACAGCAGGAATAGACACAGTTACGGGCAGAGGTTTATATAAGCACTCATCACAGGCATCAATGTCATTCATTTTGGCCTTTAAGGATTTATGAGAATTCATTCCTGCCAGAAATAATTTTACAAGACGCATATTTAATGTTAGATATTTTTAATAGTTAGATGCTCTCATTTGAACCTGTTTAGGGTTATCTGCACGATGTACAAAAAGTGTATGTCAACTTTTTGTTTTTTAAATGTTTTACGGGGTATTTGAAAGCGTTGGTATTTTTTTCCACTTATGTCCTTGCTCTTCCTCAGCTGGATATTCTCTTCTCTGCCAGTTAACAAGCAGATGCTCGCACTCTCTGCCACATACCCAGAGTCCCTTGCTCAGCACCTTACCCGCTACATGAACGAGCCCACCTTTGTTAGACTCAACCCCAGAGACATGGGCCTTAAAGGTAAAACCCATTTTAAGGGGATTAAGCGTCAGATTCTACCCTAAAGGTTTTTAAATTGAACCATTGTTTTGAGAAAATGGTAAGTGATTGTTTCCCTTGGGTTTGGGTTCCCCCTGGCAGGACTGAAGCAGTATTATAAGCTGGTGCAGTCCCATCCGCTGCCCCACAAAGTGTTCGAGGAGAAGGTTCAGCACCTACTGGACCTGTTCAGTAAAATCCCCTTCAACCAATCCTTGGTGTTTTCTAACCTGCACACCAGGTAGTGTATTTAATGTTTTTCAAGTGTACTGTCTCTAAAGTTGCTATCCAGGGAAATCAAATGTGCAAATGGATGTTTATGTCTCGCAGGGCTCAGCACCTGGCAGACGTCCTGTCCTCCAAAGGCTTACCTGCTGTTTGCATATCAGGTGAGGTCCTTTTTTTAATGTGACTCACATGAGATGCAGTGGAATCGAGACTTAATATTGACTACTTTTGATTGCTTGACGTGTGTCTTTGAGGTCAGGATATAAATACAATGAATGTAACCATTAAAAAAGATTTCTATTTTATTTAGCTTTACATTTGAGATCAAATATTAGGAGCTTTGTCTAAGGTGACAGAAGGCTTTGAGGTAGAGAAATGCCCTGTCTGAGTATGTATGTGTCCTAATAAGGATGATATACCAAATTTCACCAGGACCCAAATAAGACTCAAACTGGAATCCTAATATGTCCAATGCGTACTTAGAAAAAAACAAACAAAAAAACGCAGAATGATTTGTTAAAAAATGGTGTGATATGTGCAGGCGGTCTGAGCCAGGACCAAAGACTGGAGGCCATGTCAAAACTGAAGCAGTACCAGTGCAGGGTGCTCATCTCCACTGACCTGGTGAGACTCTGCCTCCCTTTCTTTTTCACGCGTTACTGCTTGTATCTGCTTCTTGTTTCCTAATTGGCAGCTGTGGTCTTCTTTTGTCTATAAGTGTATCTGATTTGCCCTCTCTGACAGACTTCCAGGGGCATAGATGCAGACAAAGTGAACCTGGTGGTAAACCTCGACGTTCCACAGGACTGGGAAACCTACATGCACAGAATTGGACGCGCTGGACGCTTTGGTGAGTTTTCATGAATCAGAGGCAGTGTTTGATATTCAGCCGGCCGGGTAGCTGATGACGCTGAAACGGGAGAGCTGGGTTGTGAGGCAGTTGCATCGCGATGGCACTATCCTTCCTCTTGTTTTTGGAAAACATTTCTGGAGGCAGATGTTTTCCCGCCAGCTTGTCTAAGGCAAAATAGCTCGAGGACAAATATTAGCTGCATTAAAAAAAAACATTTTTCTCCATCTTCCGGCTCAGTTTAGTTTTAAAAGGCACAAAAATCTTTTTTTATACTGTCTTAACTTTGCGGCTAACTTTGCTATGGTGGTAAAACTCCTTGAAGGACTTGTGCTGAATGTATTTTTCTCAGGCTGGAGCTGTTCTTCCCCCTGCTTTAGCACCATTGTGAAGATTAGCTCCGGTCTCTAAAGCATTAGGAGCTTTGAACAGCCGAGCAGGGTCGATATCTTCTTAGTCTTCTACATTTAATTGTGATTATCTAGACCTGGCCTGTGTGCTGTGGAGCAGGGGGAGATAATTTAATCTAAGGTTGCATTCACTGCCAGTGGGGATCAGTGTGTCCCTGCCAAAACACCTTATGTCATACCCAGGTGAAACTCCCTCCTTTACCTCTTCGCTGTCATTACACGGGTCCTAATCACAATCCCATTTTGTTCATAGGCACTCAGGGGCTAGCTGTGACCTACTGTTGCCATGGTGAGGAGGAGAACAAGATGATGGCAATAGCTCAAAAGTGTGCCCTCAGTTTGTCTCCTCTGCCTTGTAAGTCCCACTCACATGCTCCATGTGTGGCTTTATATTTGCATCCAGGGCTTTGATTTTATTGTAAGGCAGAAAAAACAATTGTGGCCCTGTCTGTCTGCTGTTCTTTAGCCACCTTAGAGCCCGGGCTGATGGATGAGCCGTGTGACTGGGATGTCTGCGCTGAGGCCTCCACTCCAGAGTCCGTTTCCCAGCTGTTTTCCAGAGCTCAGAAGAAGAAGCGTACAAAGACTGTGGCCCCTTTGCCTGATCCTATTGCAGATCAAGATGTTGAGCACAGAAAGCCGGAAGAGACGCACCCAGGGCAGAACAGGCCGCTCCATGTGGAGGAAAGTCCAAGACAGATGTCCTCCAAAAGGCATGTTGTGCCAGAACACAGCGCCTCTGAATCGACTCCAACTCGAAAAGAGCTGCAAGATGCCCTGCCGAAGATCCCTCCTCTCAGCTCATTCAAGAACCGCTCGAGGTTCGTTCCCTTTCAGGAGGCTGAGCAAGATTTCCACGACTTCATCAGCTCTGGCTTAGGGAGGTCTGTGGAGGTCATCAGGATCTTTGGAAGCAGAGAAGACGGTGGCACCAATGATCAGAGTGGACATCGGGAATCTGTCATTCTTAATGATGACAGTGTTTACAATCCCAGTTTTACGCAGCGTCGTAAATGCTTCAAGTCTGACGTTTCACCTCAGAGGCCACTTTCGGATCCCAGTAACTCTCAGTCCGACCTGGAGGATGAGAAGACTTTGGAAAGCTCAAATGAGACCAAAGGAGATGAATCTGGAGAAGTCACTGTATCCCCGATGGAACCTACACCAGCTGTGCAAAAACTCTATGCTCCTAGAATACATGAGAAGACACCCCATGCAACAAGTGTGAGAGCTTTGCCTCACCATGAAGGCAGTCAATCTGCACTCAGCACAAAAGTAAGCAGGCAACCAAATCAAAACGTCCAAGCACAGGCCGGCTGGGATGGATCAAACACTGTGAAAAAAGAGAGCAGAAAGGACTCCAGGAAAGTGAAAGGGGAACCAAGGAGGCAAAACAATGAGGAGGACCTCATGGAAACAGAGGAGTGGAGCTCGGAGGCATACTGGAGAGCCCATTACAGAGCCTGGAGGGATTACTACACCTCTATGTCCACCTTTCAAGAACAGGGGTATGAAAGTTACTACAACGCTGCTCATAGCTGGATGGCAGCTTACCGCATGAATGCAGTCTACATGAACGAACTCATGAAACGCTGACCCATCCGTGATGCAACTCAGCTTCTCAAGTCATGTTGATTTCCTGTTTCGATGTGTAAATGCATCCTGCATGAAAGGAATTCAGTGCAGGAACGCACTTGTTTCACCTCACGGTCTGACACAACGCATTTAAGTTTATGTTCTTTTCAAATCATTTTTACAAGTGTCTTTCTTTTCCGAATAAATTTCCTTTACCGTGCATGTAAAGTGTATCAGCCATCTCTTTTTCTTCATCTTGAGGAGCAAGAACAAAATTAAACATGCTCCTATTTTTTCCTAGTTATTTGTTCCTAGTTTTTTTTTTTTTGCATCTTACAGTATTGGTAAAAACTCGACATGTGAACAAGATTATTTTGTAAAGTAGAAGTATAAGATGTACACCGGTTAAATGCATTGCTCCAGAAGTTGACACATTCCTCTTCAGTAGGTCATCAGCAGGGCAGGCAGCTCCACACACAATTACAGATCAATCACAAATGGCATCGGTGGTGTTTTTGCTGCTATCCCAAATCATGAAACATTGGTCTAAGATCCGTCAGACTCACTCTGATGTAGACAACTTCCAGGAAAGTTCCAAGATTTCAAGAAGTAAAAAAAACAAAAACAACAAAAAACATCAAAGCTGGCTAGTGTATACATCTTCAACAATTTAGAGGACTTAGATTGACTTGACAGTTATGATACTTCCCATTGCTCAACGTAGTTTCCAGTGTCTTCCTGAAGTTCTTTCTTTTCTACAATCTGTGGAGTTCTGTGTCCAGGAAGCTCAAATATTCACACCCCATTCTTTTCAGACCAAGAGCAGGAAAGCTAGTTACCAAATAATGCAGGTGCCCATTATTTGAATTATTATTATTATTATCTGAATTCTATTCTTATTGTTTAATTTCATATTCATACAGATATTTAAAGATAGAAGATAATGCTAAAAGAAGGTTCAGCACAGTGGTTCTGTTGGGGTCTGCTCTTCAGTACCATGGACAGCTCACTGTGATGCAGTCCTGTAAATCTGTGGTCCTGTAATGATGAGCTGGAAAGGAATGAAAACATCTTCCAATGTAATTCACACTATATAAATCCTAATTTTCAGCCTTGGTCTTTGGTTGAGAAATCTGTAAAAAGTAGAACTGAGAACAAACAACCTTGTACCATACACCTTTAAGAATTTTTTCAGACATTGCTAATCAGACAAATCTTACAAATCCACATTTGATTGTCTCATATTTCACGAGTTAGGCTAATTCCAAAACATTTATGACTTAATTATTGCTGCTTACTTAAAAGAATAAGAATAATTTCATAGACAAAAAGTGACAATGTCACGCAGCACAGCATTTTGTATCCTTACATTACTCAAACTTCTGTGTTTTTCCTTAAGTGGAAGATGATGGAGACATCAGCTGTTTTTATAAATTCGTACCCTGAGCTCTGCATGACCCCTTTCTTCACCCCATGATGCTCCTTTAAAGTCATAACCTGGAGGTTCAGTGCTTTAATATCAACAATGAGGTCACCACACGGACAAGGTGATTAGAAAAGAAAGCATCCCTCAAGCTTAATATGCACAAGACTCTACCTTGTGTTTACACACTTGGACACGCAGAGAGAATTAAAATCAAAGAAGTGAGCCCAAAGACCGCGTGTTTGTGGCAGATATAGATGTTTTTATCCGGCGTTTCACAGTCGGGACACAAGACAAGGTCATAAATAATATCCAACATCTGACAAGATACGCACAGCAGTAGTCTCAACAACGACAGGTGGCATAGAGGCCAAAGCAAAGAGTGAGAGGGAAACTGAGTGAGCCAAGAGAGAGAAGTCAATCAAAGAAGAGTACAGAACGGAGAGAGACACATCCACAGACCTGTTTTAGATGTCTGTAAATAAAAATGCAATTCTTTGACACTTTGAGCTGAATAAATGCAGACAAATTGTGCCGTTTGAAAGTGCAGCTGACACGAAATAACCTGTTGTACAACAGGGAAGCGGGAAATACTGTCATTAGCTTCGAAAGAAAGGGAGCCTCACTTCTGCTGTCACCCACGTCATAAATAGTCTTGAAAAAATTCAATTGGACTTTATGCTGTGAAAATGAAGTCAAAAATACCACTACAAAAGCTCTGCCTGTGCTTTTTCTTTTTGAATCCATGTATGTTTGCGCACAGTTTGACTAAACACTAATACTGGATCTAGGCAGTTGTAGTCACTTTGTACAGTACTATGTTACCAACAATTGTACTCGGCAACCACTAGGAAAATCAGAGGTAAAACACATCCTGTTCAAACTCCAGAATTGTTTTAGTTTTCTCCAAGTGGGTTTTAACTCCAAGATCAGTGAGAAATTAAGTACAACAGAGGGGTCCAACGGGGTTTTGTGAAATGATGCTTTGATATGCTATCAATATGCTGTGTGTATACACACACTGTGTGTGTATATATATAAACAGCATATTGATAATCCACTCACTGTCTGAAGAGATATGTGTTTTTTAAAGTCTGAGTAAAAATGCATAAGTAAAACTGCTCAAGCTTTCAAGATGGCTCCATCTCAAGCTAATAAATACATACATATTTCTACAAGATTGTGATACATTTGCTGCAAGTTTAACAGTTGTTTGAAATTGTCCACTGCTTCCCAGAAACCCAAAACAAACAAACATAAAAAAAAACTGTCATCAGCTACCTGTAAACAGACAAAAAAACACCAATTCCAGTATTGCTTTTGAAAATGCAGACACTGGTGCATCTGTAGCCCCATCTGTGTGCTCTTGATAATTACATTTCCTCAATGCAGAGCATAAGTTGGTGATTAGTCTGCTACAACAGAGACTCTCTTACCTTTTTTTGTGGGTAAACCCCCAGCTGTGGTCTCGCTGACCTAACAACAGACCTAAATGTCTCAGAGGCTGCTTAACCCAAAATGACATTCAATATGAAAAAGGCCAAGAGCACTGCATCAGGCTGGCACTAAAATGTCACCATCCATAGTTACAAAGGTTGACTTTGAAGTGATGCTCCAGGCATTTTTTGGAGGGAACGGATGGAACAGCACATTTTGATGACAGAGACCTGTTGATGGTTCATCCAATATCCTCTGTGTCTCCCTGGTCACCTTCACAACAGGATTCCCTGCTTTAAAGTCTCCGGAACATGAAGTATAATGGAAAACAAAATCCTTTGAAACACCAAGGAGGACAAAAAGTACAAACACCAAGTTCCTAACCACAGAGTACACATATTCAACAACTCTGAAAAATGCCTTCTGAGTTTTGGGGAGAAATAACGTTGACACCTATAAGGCTACTGAAAGCATACTGTAGTTCACCCAGAATGTGGAAATACAACAGGACAACAACAAGAAAAAGACGGATGAAAAGAGGAGAGAGAGAACATGAGGACAGCTTCACGGGGTCTGCCAAACGATGGTCAAATATTACAAAATATTCTATTAACAATATTCACAAAGATCATAGGCTCAGGGCAGATTTGTGTCAGAAATTCTCAGCTCACACCTTGTGCTTCTAAACTGTAGAAGTGGAGTTTCTAAATGAACTTTTTTTTTTCTTTTTTGGTTTGTCAAATACGTTTAGTTAATTGTTGACCTGTGGAGCCAAAAGAGAAAAGAGAAGGGGAGAAATTCAGAAGACTAGAAAAACAGATATTGTATTTATAAAAGTCTCACAGCTGAGAATTTCAAACAGAAATGGGTGCAAAGAACCATTCAGAGTGGCAGCTAGTCAAATATACCATATTCTGAGCCATAGAGACTTTCAGAATAATCAAAATGCAACATTTTCAATCAGCTGAGAGCGAGAGACACGCGCGCACACACACACAAACACACACGTTTTCAGAAACATTCCACTATCATCTATGAGGCAAAAAAAAGAACATACACTCTGTTATAAATACAAAACTCATTGGTAATGCCATCACAGAGACACCTACCACATTTCGTATTTTTAAGAATCAATACTAAAGTTGAATAGTACTGGACCTGAAAAGGATTGGTGGCATATTCCTCCATTAACTGGTTAGTGGGCCAAAATCACGTAAGACATAAGTAGAGTGGGAGAGAAAGTTCTGATTCGTATGTTTTTCTTTCCCTTTTTCTCCATAATCCTTTATTACTCCTGCTAAAAAAAGAGCTAAATGGAAACAAATCATAAAGGTGCTTCGTGCACAGTGACACATGACAAACTCTGGGAACTCTCACCTGACACTCGGAGGAACACACTCTCTCACTTCCTTATCCTCTTCACTCACATTCAAGCACACATACACACCGAGATACTGTGTCCTAATGCCATCTTCCACCTGTACAGAGAGCCTGTGTTGCAGTACATGACCAGAAGAGGGCAGGCGCCACCAGGGCCAGACTAGGACTCTGAATGCCCTCTCCTCTATCATTCTGAGTCCTCCTCTGTCCCTCTGTTTCAGTAAGTCTTTTTCTGTCTCTCTGTGTGATGCGCCTGCACTATAGTCTTCACAGTGCGGACACCTTCACAACATTTTGGTGAGTGGGGCCGGCGGGAAGATGAGCATCGCCCTCGGGAGTCGTCACTAGAGGTGTGGGAATGCTGATGATGGCTGTGGTGATCTGGCTGCTCTGGCAGTTCAGTGGCGCTGGCTCATCTACACGCATGTTCAGACTCGAACGGCTGCAGGAAAAACGAAAGAAAGTACGGATTAGAATAATCCCTCTCCCTCCCCCAAATAGGGGGAACAGAGTTTCAGGAAAATTGTTTTTTTTTTTCTCCTGACCAGCTGTGGCTGAGGAAGAGTAAATTATAACTTATTTCTATGCAGCTTCTCAAAGCTCCCAACATTCCAATGTTTTCTACAAAAACAGACGGACCGGAGAGAAAACATAAAGCGAATGACGAGTATGTGGACCAAATAAAACATTAAGGGTTTATAATCATACAAACCGTTTTGCCTGAGAAACTTTGTTTTCTGTGTGTATGCGATAGGCATTTGAGGTATTTTGTAAAGTTAGCAGTGGGGCTTTTAAAACATGATCCAAACAATAATATTTTCACATATCCAAAAAGTTGATAAAAACCCTATTTAAAAGGTGGAAAAAACATTTATTCAAAAGTAAATGTTACAAATTCCAGAGTGTTAAACTTGGATTTTAGTATCTGGGAACATCTGAGAGTATCTGACAGCTCAACCTGTCATTATTTATGAAGTGGATGACAAAGCTAATGTTGTTGGACAGTAGAGGGTTGTTCATTTCTGGCTATTAGCCTGTACAGTG